ATAGAAGTAAGATTGTTTTTTGCAAGATACTCCTTAACTTCCTAAACATCTTATATAGTTTAATTAATTATAAGCACAGATCTCTTTTTATCTTTCTCTTATTATACTGCTTTTAATATCTCTGCAAGCCAATCTTCTTTTGTTAATGTTGTAATGCCAGGATATTCTTTAAAAAGTCTTTTTTTATCAGGAGGCAAGAAAACACAGTCTATATTGTATTAATTGGCTAACAAATTTTAAGTAGGTTGTGATCCTAATGTACCTGTAAGACCTAGAATGATTTTATATTTTCTGAAGAATCCAACATTTNCTTTGTTGTTAGTTATTTGAATTGGTTTGATTGCTTTGTTGTTAGTTATTTGAATTGGTTTGATTGCTTTGTTGTTAGTTATTATTTTTTTCGGATAAGTTTGGAATTTTTTAATCTTTTGAAACTTTTGGAATTGTTAGGTCTGTTTCCTCTGTATTTGATTAAGTCTCTTCATCAAATTCTTCTTTGACAAATTATATTTGGAGATCCTTAATTATGATCTCCATTTATAATTATTCTCTAGCTTGATTTAAATATTGTTATGCCTCTTCTTTTTTTAATTAATGGCTCTAAAGTCCAAAAACCGCCTTGTAATAATTTGTAGATGAAATATTATTTTAAATGTCATGAGCTTGTGCAAACTTATTTCCATCATTCTATTTTATTCCTTCTAATACATGAAACCTAGCATTTTGTATATTTTTTTCGTTTATTAATTCCTTAACCTCTTCTTCTTTCAAACCATTTTCTTAATTTCGTTCAAAATACCGACCAAATTTTTCTTCTTTAATTTTAAAATCTTCATAATTATTTTCTCTATCTATATTATTGACACTTTCTTAGAATACTTAAAAACATTTATCTTCATTATAAAGTTTTTTCATTTCCTTTTCCATATTATCAACATGATACCTTTCATATTGGTCTCTAAAGTAAATGAGAATATTAAAATAGCTGTGGTCCCTTTGTTATTTTTGCTTTAAGTAATAAACTATTGCATCATTGAAATTCTTTATTCCATCAATATTACCAATGTAAAAATCTTAAGCAACTTATAAAATAAGTTGTGCAGTACCTGGTTTACCTTGTCTTGAAGTTCTACCAAATCCCTGATGTTAGATCCTAATATTTCTGGGTAAAAACGTCATAATAACATGAAGACCTCCATTCCGGTCTAATTCTTCATTTGTAATTAAATCTGTTCCTCTTCCAGCCAAGTTTGTCGCTATAATAATTTCTAGAGGGAGGATGTTCTTTTTCAGATTTTTCTTATTATCAATATATGTGATAGAAGTAAGATTGTTTTTTGCAAGATACTCCTTAACTTCCTAAACATCTTATATAGTTTAATTAATTATAAGCACAGATCTCTTTTTATCTTTCTCTTATTATACTGCTTTTAATATCTCTGCAAGCCAATCTTCTTTTGTTAATGTTGTAATGCCAGGATATTCTTTAAAAAGTCTTTTTTTATCAGGAGGCAAGAAAACACAGTCTATATTGTATTAATTGGCTAACAAATTTTAAGTAGGTTGTGATCCTAATGTACCTGTAAGACCTAGAATGATTTTATATTTTCTGAAGAATCCAACATTTGATAAAAAGTTAGTGCTAATTCTTAAAGGAGAAACAGGAATTTTGTGCTTGAATTATAGAAATTGATGTAATCCATTTTACCATTAAGTATTTTTCTCATGAATTACCCCTGTGTTCATATAATCTGTTATTCTAACATCAGGGTCTAAAACATAATGTACATTTTCCTAGAGTTCAAAATTAGCTCTGATAGCATTTTTAATCCAAACTTTCAACGAAAAATTTACATAATCTAATTGATGATCAGAAAGTGTATTTTTTAGAATTTCCTAGATTAATTTGTTAACTTTTTAATAGAGATATTCCTCCAAATTCGCTTCATAGAAATTACCATCTTAATAACAAAGAAATTTCTTATTTGAGGAATTTTGTTTAACTTAACAAAGCTAATGCCATATAAAGTATAAAACATTTGTTGGACTTTACATTCCTGGAGTGGAGGAGCTTATTTGTGTCCTACTACCATTTCCATCAATAAGCATAGAATCAACCTCATCAACAATTACATATTAAGTTTTTCTGTCCCCCATAGTACTTACTTTTTGGAATTCTTGCCTTAATATATCAGCTTGAAAACTATGAGAATCTCCATAAATTATTTGAGATTTATACCGTTCAGTCATATCTTCCTCATTTTATGATTCCCTAATATTATGAGCTACTGTAATTTTACATAGTTTATAAAACTATTCCGATTACTTTGCATCTCTAATTGCCAAGACTGGAGAACTAGTTACAATATCAACATTGATTTATTTCTTACTACACAATAGGATTGCAAGCATCGCAACTATTAAAGTCTTACCTTCTCCTGTGTATATCTCAGCCAAGCGTCCTTGATTTTATTTATGATTATATAATTCTATAACTGATAATAATTGAACAGGTTTAGGATAATAAGAAAAATGTTGCATTACTTTATTGCATAGAACTACTAAATCTTTCGTTGCCAATATGGGACTTTTTTCGAAATCAGCTTAAAGAAAATGTGGATTTAATAAGGAATTATACACTTAACAGAGCTAATTATAGATTTCTTTGTCAATCTCCTTGTTTAGGGATTGATATTATTCAAAAAGATTTTTTATTTTCATTTGGTGCTGATCACCTTCATTAGTTTAACTTTTCATTTAATATTCTTTTTTAATATCAAAAAATTCTTCAATAGTATTAAATTCTTTATTTATTATACTTTCAATAATTTTTTTATCATTAATTTTCTTAAGCTATTAGAAAATACATTATTAATCATCTTCATCCTTAATTTTTTGTTATATTTTTTTTTTTAATTCTGAAAGGAACGATTCTTCAAAAAAGTTTTTCATTGTTAATAATAATAATATCTAGTCATCAATTACATATATATTCTAATCTTAATAGAATTAGTTAATAGAATTAAGTTTAAATAAATACTATTTTTGTATATATACATTTTAAGCATTATTAATGAATTAATTAAATATTGGTTAAAATTATTAAAAAATTTGAGGATAGACTTACTAGCATTTTGTGTTTGTTTAAATTTAAAATAATGATTATACTGCTTGAATTCAAGTAGAGTTGCCATCTTTATCTAAACTGACAAAGGTACCTTTAATTTGATTTGACAACAACAATTAAACTTGAAGATAATTTTTTTCACCCCTTAAGATTCTTGATATAAAATCAACTTGAAGATTTATATTCTCTATAATATATATTTTTGATCTATTATATATTTGGAAACTAGAATTTCTATCAATTAAATTACCTTTGAAAAAAATAAAAAAGTAACATATATGCATCATTTATGTAGATATTTAAGCATAGTCACTTTTTGGAGTATGCCATATAAATTAGATTATATATGAATATATTTTATTATTAGATTAAGGCAATTTTCCTTAATTTGGTATAATATATAGATATTCTGATCTAATTTCTCTTGAATTCATATTGCACTTTTACAATAGACAACAATGGTTTACATTAATTTAGGTATTCTCTAAATTAATATTATTTCTTAAATTGATTATTCCTTTTGTTTCTATTAATAAATCTCTAATGCCTTGATCTCTATTAGAATCCACTTTAAGCTCCTCTGCCTAAGGATGTATAAGTAATAATATAACTCTAATACAAAACAATCTTAATTTAAGGATTATTCAACCTCATAAATCTGGTTTTTTAAAAGTAAGGGTGAATATATTGATAATCTAGATTTTACAGGAAGATCATCATCATTTGAAAACTCAGTTCTCCATTTCTTATTAATAAAATCATACGACATTTGTTATGTGCTTGTCTTACCAAAAATTTTTGAAATCTATACATCAGGCTATATAATTCAAAATTCTCTATTAGTGATCACAATGTAAAGCAATCAGTTATTACAGCAGAGCATAAACCTTTTTAGGATTATGCCATAGTAATACAGTAGTCAAATCCAATAAACATATTTTATTGCCTCTTAAATTTATATCAATTTGTTTTATTTAATGAGTTATTTTAATTTAGAATTAATTTTTTTTTGGTCACTGTCAAGACATTAAATAAAACGAAAATAATTTTTGGGAAGGATGGATGGATTATCCTGATTTTTTTGAATTAATAAATTGGATGCACTTTTAGACATCTGGTGAAATCATTAATTTCAGGTCCCATACAAAATATTCATCTATTTCTAACATGCTGTATATAATAACTACTCTTCCTTATGCAAGTATCTTTTCTCTTTTTAAATCTTTATAACTAGAAAAATCTAAGGCTTTTATATTAATTTTCAAATTGCATTTTTCTTGTCTCAACTTTCATTAGTTTTGATAAAATTGAATAAAAAAAACATTTATCGCAAGAGTTATTCTACTAGGTTGGAATAAAAAGATCTTAAATAAAACTTCTATTAATTATTTTATTGAATCATGACATTCTTTTATATACTAAGTATATAAAACACCATATATTGGATTAAAATAATTGCAGCTTCCAAATAAACTATTGAAAATAACAATTAAATAAATTATTAAAACATTCAATTTAATTAAATTCTTAGTGTTGCATTTTGGCCATTTATTGAAAAATATTTAATTTTGTAACAATTTTCATTGTTTTAGGAAGCCTTTCAATTTCTTTATCAGATTTAAGGTTGATCAAAGGAACTATATATTCTATTCTATATTGACTAACTATTGTTATATGCATCCAACTATGAATACTATGAATACGAAAGTGGTATTCAAAGAAAATGTAGCTTACCTTTAGAACAAATGGGAAAAAATGTAATTATATAAACCAAATTAATTACATTTTTTAATAGAATTTAATATTTTGTACATGTGTTCTCTAATCAATATCTAATTTTAATTAATAATTCTATAATTATTTGATAAAAATAATGTTACCCTAATCAGAATCAAATCTATAAGAACAGGAAAAAAATAATTATAATGGATATTTCTAATAAAATATGCGAGTTTCACAAATTTAAGAGTAGAATAATACATAGACAAGATCAAGATTCTAACCAACTATTTCTTAACCTTTGTCTTATAGTTTACGTAGAAAAACAGACTATCCTTAATAATATATGAATTCTAATTCTTAAGCTTAATAATTAGCTCCAACATAGGATAATTAACAGTAATTAAAAGAGAAAGATTTTTAAGAAGCATATGATGATGATGATTAAATAGAAGGCAATTTGATATTAGCTAAGAAAGATTTTAAAGCGTTTGACTTAAATAAAGAACTTATTTGTGAGATTAAGACATTGCATAAGATGATTAAATTATCAGAAACAAAAATCTAGTAGTTGCCTGGAATGATTAGTATAAAAAAAGAAGATCAAACAAATGATTAAGACCTTAATAGAGTAGGAGTAGATTTAGTAATATATTTGAATTTATAATAGATTTGTTTAATTGATAGAAGCTCGAGTATGAGAGGGTAAAAAATGGAGACAGTAAAATCAAGTTTAAAAGTTCTATTAAAATATCTAACCGAAAAAGATCGTTTATAACTAATTACCTTTAACGATAATGCTCACAGATTAACCCCATTAAGAAGAACAACAGAAAATAACAAAAAGTAATTTATAACAATTGTTGATAAAATTTATGCTTAAGGAGGAACACAAATAGCCTCAGCAACTGAGATTGCATTTCAATAACTAAAAGGGAGGAAATATAAAAATAATGTAAGCTCTATCTTTTTACTTTCTGATGGTCAAGATAATTCTGCCACTTAATCAATATAGAAATAATTACAATCAATTGATGAAGAATTTACTATCCATTCGTTTGGATTTGGTGAGGATCATGATGCAGCTATGATGACATCTATTTGTAATTTGAAACATGGAAGCTTTTATTTTGTGTAGAATATATATTTATTGGATGAATTTTTTTTAGATGCTTTAGGGGGTTTGAAATCAGTTGTGGGGGAGAAATTATAAGTTAAAGTTAATTTAAGACCCCCTGAAATCTTAAAAGATTTAAAGATATCTAAGACTTATGGAAATATGTGGATAAATAAGGAGAGTCATTATGAGATTGATCTTCCTGTATTGATTGAAGGATAAAGAAAAGATTTTGTATTTGAATTGGAATTACCTTGTTCAAATGCATAAATCTAAGATAATCAAAGAAATCCTTAGATTATGGAAGTTCAGCTATAAATTACTGATCCATTAACGAAAGATAAAATTTAGAAATTTGCAAGTCTTGCTTTGACTATATTTCATCAAGATGAACAAATAAATTAAAATGAAGAAGATATAGAAGTTCTTACATAATACAATAGAGTGATAGCAGCTTAGGTAATTGATGATGCAAGAAAGTCCTGCTAATAAGAAAAATACTAAGAAGCTCAAAATAAATTAGATGATGTTTTAATAAAATTTCAAGCAAATCAACAATTCTCTTCTTAAAATCCTTAACTTATTTAAGATTTATAATAAGCAAAATAAGCATCTCAAAAATAAACCTTTAGCACATATGGTTATGGATAAATGATATAATTGAGTAGCAATAGTTATTAATAACAAGGGGTCAATTCAATTTTCTCATCTAATGGATAGCAGTAATAATAAAATTTAAGATTATCATCTTTTTCTAACAGATTGTAAACTTCAATGGTAAATTAACTGTAATTACGGAAAACTTAAGAGAAATAAGAATTATGAAATCCAATATTTATAAATATATTATCATTAAAAAATTATTAATTATAATTTATTTTTATATCATACAGAAATACATCAGAATAGACATGAATATGTTTGCAAAAGTTCAAATCAATAAAAATTTTATTTAAACTTTAGATATTTAATGTAAAATTAATAATCTATACTAAACTTAAATATTTCAATATATTTGAATAGTTACTTAACTTAATATTACATTTAAATAAGTAATTCATCAAATATTGAGAATATAAGTATAAAATTACTAGATCATGAATATGCATTAAGCAAGATCAATAGGATTATTAATCAACCAAAATTAGTTAATCTGAAAATGTGTAAATTAATCTCATTAGATTTGATGCAAATATTAATATTAGGTGATAAAGTTTACTTAATCCTAAACATTATTAAAATTGAGAAAACTTTTCTTTTCTATTAATTTATGATATTCTAAATATTAGATACTTTAGATCATGTTTAAATTAATATGCATTTGTTAATTAGTGTACATTAATTAGTATAGACATTGATTATTACATTTTTTATCATATGAATAACAACTTTTCTTATTGATATATTTAACTTAAAGCAATTTATTGATAAATTCCTTTTCTAAAATATTATAATATCAATTTTGAATTTTTTGTCATCTACTATATGTGGGTGAAAGAAAAACCTCCGAAAATTCAGAAATGATCTTATACCAAAGAATTTAAATTCTGAGTTAAGTCGAAATTTAAGATTGATATACTAATTATAACATAAAATTTAATAACAAATATCTTCTTTATATGAGATCAATATTTAATTCCTTATTCTAATCTAAAGAAAACCTTCTTAAGATTGGATAATGTTTAATAGTCTCCCTATTCAACAATTTTGCCATCTTCAAATACATAGATGACATCTGAATGCTAAGTTTTTAAATAAATATTTTACTTGAATAGTTGATATTCTATGAGCAATAGAAATAGTTGTTTTATTTTGAGTAAAATTTTAAAGACTTTCTGAAACAAGTTATTCACTTGCTGCATCTAATGCACTTGTTGGCTCATCAAGCAACAAAAAATTAGGATTTCTAAGAATGACTCTAGCAATAGCAATTCTTTATTTTTAACCTCCTGAAATCTAACTACCTTTTGGACCTACTTGTCTAGAAAATCCACTTTTTTCATCAAAGAAATTAGAAATAATAAAGTCATAAGCATTAGCTTTCTTAGCTGCACTTTTAATTTCCTCTATGGTAGCTGATTCTAAATTATATTAAATATTTTCTTTAATTGTTGCATTAAATAACACTGGTTCTTAGGATACAATACCAAATTGATTCCTAAGATACTTAATATCATAATCATTTATGTCTATATTGTTAATAGTAATAACTCCCTGATCTGGTTCGTAGAATCTCATTAACATTTGCATTAAAGTAGATTTACCACATCCTGATGAACCAACAAAGGCCACTTTTTAATATTATTTAACAATAAGATTTAAATTTGAGAATACATTTTTATCTCTTCCAGGATATTTAAAAGACAAATTTTCAAAATGAATATCACCATGAAGAGGAAGTTTAAGTTATTTTCTTTTTAATCTATTTTACTTTTAGAATTCGTCTTCATCATCAAGGATATCAAAAATATTTTTTATGGCTTTCTTAACAACTCCTACATCACCTGCGAATGCAGCATTATCTGCAGCACTCATAGTAGCAAAAGTAATTGCTTAAATTGAAGTAAATAGATCTTTAACAGATATTACACCATCCCTACACATAAGAGCTCCAACATAAAATATTACAGCATTAATAATAAACATTTGCATTTAAGAAAATCCAAAAGCAAATCCAATATAAAAAGCTTTCTTATTAGCTTATTATAATGGTAATTAAACTTTATTAGCATAAAGGTCTAAAATGGCTGATTCTTTCCCAAAAGATTAGACAGTTCTAATATTGTTTACAGCCTCCATAATTATATTACAAGAATCTTTATAAGCTTCATCTGTTAAATAAGAAAATCCATACAGAAATTTTGCTTATAAGACACTTCCTAAGTAAGATAATGGGGATAGACCAATCATTATTAATGTCATTTACCAAGATGCTACAAAAGAGATAACTAATCCACTTATTAGAACACCTAAATTAGAAATATTAATTCCTAAAATAGATGATATAACACCACTGATAACTTTACAATCAACAGATAATCTAGTTGTTAATGTTCCAGCATTATTTTTTGGTATATCATAATATGGAATGGGCATTCTTATTAGTTTTCGATATGCATCCAAACGTAATCTAAAGGACAACTTCTCTCCAACATAAGTTAAAAAATACATCTATATAGTCCAAAGAACCAATACAAATAATCCTATAATAAAAAACCAAAGGGTAAGCTAATCAGTTTATTGTTTTAGTTCTTGATGGATATTAAAATTTGTTGTATTACAAAAATCATTTTCAAGATTGTTTCCTTGTTAATCACAATAATCTTGAGTAAATTATGGGTTAGATTGAATTAATATTGTAATTAATTCAGCTAAGAATAAAGAAAATATTGGAAAAGTAGAACCATTTAATAAAGCTGCAATAATTCCAACAAAAAGTTGTAATTTTTCATTTCTAATATATTAAAATAATCTATAGATTGAAACATCTTCTGAAATTTTAGAGTGTTAATTGTTTTACTCTACTTAAATATGTTTATGATGATGATGTTTGTTGTGATTTTATTGAACTTCATCTTTTATTTCTTCCACTTGATATCTTTGAATTTCTTCTTTTAATGCATATGCAATATTCTATAAGTTAAATCCATTCATTCTAATTTATAGGGATCGTTATGAATTTATAGAATTAACTTATATTCTATTATCAGAAGAACATGAACTTAATTACTCTAATTCCAATTCCTCTTCCTCAATATTCATTTAATTACATGCTAATTAATAATATACTCCTTATAATTTCATAAGTTCATTATGAGATCCATTTTCTATCACAATCCCTTTATCAATAACATAAATTAGATCAGCATTTTATATTGTGCTTAATCTATGTGCTACTATTATAGTAGTGATTCCATTAGAAATTGTATCTAAAGTTTCTTAAATTAATTTTTCATTAGTTCTATCTAGAGCACTTGTTGCTTCATCTAATAATAACACCTTAGGTTTTTTTAAGATGGCTCTTGCAATTGCAATTCTCTATTTTTATCCACCACTCAATTAACTTCCTCCAATACCTACATAAGTTTCCAATCCTTTTTCCAATTTAGATACAAAATCCCAAGCATTGACTTATTTTAATGCATCTATAAGTTCCTCATCTGTTGCATCAATTTTTCCATACAATAGATTTTCTCTTATACTTGTAGCAAATAACACAGGTTCTTATCCAACTAATGAAATTATATTTCTTAATTCAATTAAATTTAGATCTTTGATATTTATTCCTTTCTCATTTCCAAATACTATTTCTCCTGAATCACAATCATAAAATCTTTCAATTAGTTATATTACAGTTGATTTACCACATCCACTTGGTCCTACTAATGCCACTTTTTTGCCTGCTGGAATATGCAAATTCAATCCTTTTAGAATAAATTATTCAGATTGATTAGGATAACTAAAATAAATATTTTTTAATTAAATTTCTCCATTAAAATTATTTAGTTGAATTTGATTAGTTGGATTACTTATCTTAGGTATCCTATCTAAAACTGCAAACATTTAAGTAGCAGCTTGTCTTCCCTTCCCAAAATTTTAAATGCATGGTCCAACTTAGCCTAATGAAAAGCCTCCTGTCAAAATGGCATAAAAAATTATCATAACATCTCCAACCTTATATACTTCCCCAGTGTTATGATTTATTGTCTATTAATAAATTGTTTTATATACTTAATCTGATATCAATTTAGCTCCATACCAAAACCCAAGTGCATATGCCCATACCATGGCTGCTTGTAAAAATCCAAAAGCTAAAGCCACGCCCAATGAATATCTGATTTTCATTTTAATAGCATGATTAAGAGATTATTTGTATTTAGACACTTCTAGATCTTCTCCATCAAACATCTTTACAGTTTTTATTGCATTTATGGCTTATTCAGCTAAAGCTCCTGCTTCTTAAAATGCAGTAGAAGTTTTATTTTCTGATGCCTACAAAATTATTGAAAATATTGCAGTGGCTACAGAAATAACTGGCAATGTTGAAGTTACCACTAAAGCCAACTACCAACCACTAATATATATAACAACAGTTATTACTAAATGTAACCTATTGAAAACCCAAATAACGTCTCTGCTAATGTCATTATAAAAGTAGGCACCTTCTCTCCAATAGCACATTACATTAAGAAAGTTTCATTGGCTACCTTATTACTTAACTCATTAGGGTTAATAGTATCAAACCATCCAATCTCCTATTTTAAAATACAACAAAAATATTTTTTTCTAAATTCAATACCTTAACGTTCTCCAGATATTGACCAGGTCGCAAACATTATTATTGACATTATAGCAGTACCAAAAGCAAGAATTATTAAGTATCAATTAATGAAAATACATTTTACATGGCATTTTTTCCAGCCTCCTCTACCATCTAATCTCCTTCTCTTGAAAATGACTCTGTCATATCTCCTATAAGTATTGAGAAACCAGGATATGCTACACCATTTAATAGAGCTGCAAAACTTCCAATAAGCATGAAAATCTTGTCCTTTTTTGTTGAAAATCTGAAAAGCTACCAATATGAAACTATATTGGTTTAAATAGCTTTTTCAGTTATATTTCTTCTGCTTGAAAGAGCAGCATTTTCACTTGAATCAATAGTCAACATTGTATAAAAGAAATTGATCAAAATGTAAATTTAAATGTTATCAAAGAAATATATATAAAACATTAAATATTGCTTACATTATCAATATTATAATTGTTGATATTTCTTGTTAAAGTATTTTGCATAAATATTAAACAATAGTAATTCTTAAACCAAAATTATGGTAGATGTATCAATTTGAATTAATATCATTGTCTTTCATATTCTATATTTTTAATAACAATTTAAGCAACTATATCATATTTATTATGTCAACTTACAAAATCATTTACAGAACTAATGTTTTTATAAAATCAACTATTTTAAAAGGATTGAGTTTGATTTTATTAAAATGATGTCAACTATGTTAAATTCATTCTTTTTGTATATTGATGGGTATCAAAAATTTAATATACATTCTTAAAATTATTATAAAAATATTTAAAAGCATATGCAAATTCTTACTTTTTATAGAGTTTTAAACATTCAAATTAACTTTTATGTCTATTATCAAAGCTGATGGTTCAATGTTTCTTCATAAAATTATATTTAGCAGAAATAAAAAGTCATTGGAGATTGGTTTCAAAAGTTAATGTATAATTTAATTTCTTGATTATCTCAAAATATCAAATATCGAATTAAATTAATAAATTTATGATTTTTCAAAGGATTAAAATTTTTAAAAACATTCATCATGTTAATTTAAGATTTAAATAATTCTAATTATTATAAGAATATTTTCCAGAATTGATAAATCTTATTTTTAGCCTTAAATAATTTGATTTCTTAGTTTTTCTAATATATTACAGGCTATTTGTTAAAGCAAGAGAATTTGTTTATTTAAATAAAGCAATAGAAAATATATTATTATTGTAAGAATAAACTGCTTTTTACTTAATATTTTATTTAATAATCATATATACTGATCATTAAACATATTATTTCATACTTTAATTTTCTACCTGAAATTACTAAAAATATAAATGAAACAAATAAAAGTTTGATAATCTTTAAGATGCAAAAATATATTGCATTTATTTTAATTTTACAAAACCATTAATAGAATTTAGTATTAAATTAGTCACATTTATTTATTCTTTAATATTGATTAAAATACTAAATTGAAATCATTATCATTCTATGATTAAATTTAATGATCAAGATTTGCTTAATATTGATGATAAAAATCAAATGTTTTTAGAATATATTTAGTTACTTAGAAATATTATTAAAATTATATTGTTGGAAATATTATATAATAATTGTATTTTTGTAAAATATTGTAAATGACGGCATAATATTCTATATTATTTACTTTTGATTATAAATAGTGTATTAAATTTTTATTTGTTATTATAAATAATTTGTCATATAGTATTATAAATTTTTTAAGTTTTTTCAACGATGTTTAGCGAATATTAATATTGTAAATTATAATATACAAAATAATGTTGTGTTCTTTTCTTATTTAGAGGAAGATGAGGATTTTTCTTTTAGATGGCAGATATATAAAGGGTTGGGAGTATTTTTAAGGTTTTTTAATCAACTTATATAATAAACTTTTTCAAAAGTAATTATATTAAATTTTAATGGGAAATGGTATTTGTCACATTGGAGAAGTGAATGGATAAGAAATAAAACGATCTTACGATAAAATCTAAGTTAATCATATTATAGATCTTCCTAATTCATTCGCTTAAAGTCCTTCTAAACCTACAATAGAAACACAAAACCCAACAATTAGTTTAAATTAAGATGATTGTTATGATATCCTTTTAACAAGTTCTTTAGATATGGTTCATTTAGAACAAGATGCAACATCATTAAAAAAGTATGAGTACAAAGGCAAAACTAAGATAAGTACATTACCAATATTGCCTGAATTAGCAAAGGATTCATTGAATTCAGGCAATGTAACTGAGCTATAGCTTCCTAATAGCTCAATAATTGAACCAAAGCCCATTTTAAAAATATGTGAGTAATTAAAGAGTAATCAAAGCAAAAAGAAAGTAAGATTTAATGATGATGATTGAAATTTTGAATTAAATATGTTTATTATAGTTGATTTACTTTATCTTCAATAAAAGAAAAAGTCTTGTAATTACAATTTATTAAAAATTATAATTTTTAATTTTTCTTTAATTATGAATCGACATTGAAGTTATTGAGATGAATGAATTATTAGTAAATTTTATGTTAATTTACTTTAATAATAGATTTAAATTATATAATTTTTATATATTTCTTTTATATCATTATAGGTAATTGTAAAGCATTTGTAGTTAAACAAAAGCATCATTAAATTGATCTTGCTTTTAATAAAGCTATTATTTCAAAATGGATGCCTTTTGTATGAACTATTATTGCCATAGAGCAGATTTTTTTTGGGAAACTCTTTATTAAATGGAAACAAATAGTGAATCATAGATATTTGGATGTTTTTTTAAATGATTATATAGAATTTTTCCAATCTCTTAAACCCTTTAATTATAAATATAAGCAGCTATCAATAAATCTTCCAAAATGAATTAAATGAGTACCTAATTTTATTTATATATATTTTACATAATGTTTATTTAAAATATCTGGTTTATCTTTGGCAATTTCAAATATTTTAATAGCTAAAGTGAAAGTTTATTTTTCTTATATTCTAATAGCTTTATTAGCAAATTCAAGTATTAAATGTGAATCATTAGGATTCATCTTATTATTAGCTAATTCAAATTCAACAAGCCATTCACATACTCGATATAATGGTTCCATTTTATGAATAAGAACATTAAGATCATTTAAATTTATAAGATGTAAGAGTTTGTAAATTAATTGTAATATCTACTCTTTGACTTTAACTTTACTTGTTAAACATTATCTCATGTATTTAAAATTAACAAATAATTTAAGTAACTTTCTAATAGGTCTATAATAAACTTAATATATTTTTTTTTCACTTTTTTCTCCAAGTTATCTTTCCTAATTGAAATCATTATTATTTCTAGTTAACCAATCAACATAATATTGTGATAAACTATAAATCCATTCATACATTTCATCTACAATTTCACTTCTTAATGATTTGACTGAATCTATACTTATCATTTTTTTAGTGAATACTAATAAAGTGATTGACGTTTCTGATATAGGATTTAATTATAGAAATTGTTTGAATTAATTAAATCTTGATTATTCCCACATCATTGTCATAATTTATTTATATGAAAATCTACCATTTGCATTTAATAGACTTTTGAATATATACATAATTGATTAAACATCTTATAAATTAGTCACTAAACCATTCAAACCTACTAAAAATTTATTGAGTAAATTATCACAATCTTCAGAATTATAAAATGCTTCATTTTAAGCATTATAAATACTACATTTAATACTATAATAGAGTTCTTATAATTCTGTATCTTGAATTAATTGAAAATGATCAAAAATACTTAAACATTCAGGTGGTATCATGATATTATTGATAGTACATATATAATTGTTATAGATTTAATCTTTTTCAAATCTTATTTTTGAATTACTTATTAATCTTAGACATTTTTTTAGTAGATTTGTATCTGTTATTGCTAATAATTGTGTGAAATCAAAGAAGAGTTTTCTTTCTATTTATATCTATTACATTATTGGTTCAAATTTGATTAGAAGATCAGAATCAAATAAAGCTGACCAAAGATAATAATAAAACTTGGTTTAAATTCCATTGGATTATAAATGAGCATTGATTTTCCAAAGAACATCAATTAATTCAATAAAAAAAGTTTAATAATTGAATTGATTAAAAGTTTCAAGATCAAAAGGATATAAAAATCTATCCATACTTTAATAATGACGTAATTTAACCAAAACATCTAATTAATAAGATGTAGAATAAACTAGACTTTTAAATCCAAGTAATAAGAAATCAAATGCATGTACAACAATTTTTAAATTATTCAAATTTTGAGCAATAAATTACTAAAAAAATTAAAAGTAATTTTTATTTATAAATTATGTAATTACTTTAATATTGTATCTAATATTTTAGTAATATTGATTCTCTGTAAGCAATACCTCAGTCTAAGACAAAACCCAATTACTAAAGAAGTTATAAATAATCTAAATAAAGAGTTGATTAAAATATTCCTTATTAAAATTTGGTACTTATCTATAATATCTACAAATTTCTCTTAAAAATCTAAATACTTAAACTTATTATTCAATAGTATTGGCTTTAGAGAATAATTACATATTAAACACTAACCAATCTTAATTAGTATTAGCATAGATAGTTCTACATGAAAATTTCAAAAGTTTTACAAGATCCAATTAAGTAGGATCTAGTTTTTAAACTTCTTAAGTCATAAAAAGAATTAAATCCAAAGCTCTTTATTCTTTGAGGAAATGTTTTTTAAATATTTTACAAATTTTACCAAGTACATTCCATAATATATTACATTGTGGTAATAATCTGAGTAATAATTAGATAAATTCAGGATCTAGAATATTAGCCCATAATCTTTTAATGTCTGAACGTGTAGGATCAACCCATTGTAGATTAGAGTTTTCAATCATCAATTATTGTATTTCAGCTTCAATGAAACAAGGATTGAATCTTGAAAGTTGACATTATAAAGAATTATTATTTTTAATATCAGCTCTTCTTAATTTATGAAAGTCTTTTTCCTTAGTATCTGTAATGAATTCTCCTTCCATTATTAAACTAAATAAATTGATTGCTTTATCAACAAGATCAACATAGTTATTTTTTAAGATTAACATGATACTATTTAGTAATAATTCAAGGTTATTTTTGTAAAAGTAATTTTTAACTGCTCTATGTTGGGAATCTAGAGTGATTACAGCTATTTTATGTAATTTATGATTTGGTGTTAATCTTCTAATAACTGCTTCTAGAATAGCAAAGGCGGCTATTGGTTTTGCACTTAGAAGTTCTTGAATATATAAATTGAAGGAGTTTGTAGGTAGCTTGTCTTAAAAATGAAACATAATTGTAGCTAAAATTGAGCCTAAAAAATGATAAACCGGTTTTGAAGTAGAGTTGATTTTTCTGATGATTTGAAAAACTCCTTGATAAATGTTTTCAAAACAAGTGATTTCTTAATGGTTAGTATCAATATATGTAGCAATTAGAGATCCAATTATTTATAATGTTAATTCATTTTCTGTTTAATTGGCTAGATGGAATAAATTAATCAAAAGTTCTTGATTCATAGACCTATAGAGTTGATCAACTTGGGTTTAGAATTAACAGATAAGGACATTTTCATCTAAAATATTCATAGTAAAATATATTAATAAATAATAGTTGACTTCAAAATGCAACCAAAATTGTAAAAATTGAACTAATTTCTTAGGACTGATCTTTGTAAGCATTTTTTAGATACAAATGAGAGACCTTAGAATTCAATAAAGAAATACAAACCAGAAGAACGTTTTGAAGATTATCCAAAATCAAAAGAACTAATTAGATTAAAAAGTGAGTTAATTAAGAAACATAATCATCCTCCAAATTATATAAAGGCTGATTTAAGATCATTTGATTTGTAATAATTGGGCAAAGTATTATTTGTTATTATTAAATAATAGTTTGATGTAATTCTAATAGATCCACCTTGGTCAGAATATGCTAAAAGATTGATGTAGGCAAATATGTAGGTTAAAGAGCATCAATAATCTTGGACTTTAGAAGAATTGAAACAATTACATATTGATAAAATTGCAGATATTCCAAGTTTTATCTTCTTATGGTGTGGATCTGAACATTTAGATGATGGTAGAGAGTTATTTAAAACTTGGGGATTCAAAAGATGTGAAGATATTGTTTGGTTGAAAACTAATAAAGATCATTCAAAATAAAATTAATATGTTGCTGGATAAGATTATGGAGACAATTTGTTTAGAAGAGTAAAAGAACATTGTTTAGTTGGTTTGAGAGGAGATGTAAAAAGAGCATCTGATTAACATTTCATTCATGCTAATATAGATACAGATGTTATTATAACTGAAGAGGAAGTAATGGGATCCACTAAAAAACCAGAAGAATTATATGAGATTATAGAGAGATTTTGTTTAGGAAGAAAAAGAATTGAATTATTTGGAGAAATACATAATATTAGAGATGGTTGGTTGACTATTGGATCATAATTAAGAGATACTAGATAAATGCCATAATAATATAATTCTTATTTCTAATAAGAATAATTTAGTGAAGAAAAACCATTCATGGGTCCTAGGTATTTATAAACTACAATTGAAATTGAAAATTTGAGACCTAAATCCCCTCCAAAAGAACAATAATAATAATAACCACAAACATATTTTTATTGAGTATTTCATTTATTATATTGATTCAATAATAATATTTATTAAAATGACTATAAAGACAAAAACATTAATAAATATGTATATGTTTGATTGATGATATCACACCATTATTATTGCAAATAGAATCATGATGATAATTGATAAGGCTTTACTATCAACTGGAGAATCTGTACAAGATTGGCATTTACCATCTTTCCAAACCTTTGAATAAGCACTTTCAGAAAAACAGGTTTCAGCTGTATAATGTTCATCTTCTCCATCAATGCATTTACCTTCAGCTGTCCAATGACATAATGTTGCAAGTGGTGACCAAGGTGAAAAGATAAATTTACAAGAATCCTTTCCTATAATATCAGAACATTTTTTATCTCTGCATTTATCTGTGTCCCAAAAACATTTAAGATTCTTTTTGCATTAATCTTAATTGTAACTACCTGATGCACATGTTGTCATAGTGGTACATTTTGCAGGATCACCAGATAAAACACATATACTATTTGAAGTGTATTTGCAATTTTCATTAGGAAAAGATTCACATTCTAAAGGTTTCTCTACTCCACATTTATCATCTTCCACTAAAATGCATTTAAAGTTTATATTATTGCATTTTTAATCCACAGTCTCTTTATAATCAGAACATTATTTGAAATCAACACATTTACCTTAAACCCAACCACAATTAGGTTCTACTCTACACCTTTCTTAACCTTCTATCAAAGAACAAGTAACTTTTGGATCAGCTTCACAAACATTTTTCTATTCATTCCAATCACAATTCAGTTCTCCTGGATGATAGTTATCGCATTCATCTTACTTTAACACTTCATCACAAGTGCATCCATTAATTTTTATTTCTACTGTATAGCTAACTATTAACAAAGAGAGCAAGACTAATGATTTAACCATAAATTATTTAATGATGTAATACTCAAATATTCATATTTGAATTCACAAGATATTGTATATAGAATTCAATTAAATATTATTAATATGATATTTATGTTCATTCTTCTATTTCTTATGTATTATTTATAAGATACATACAAATCATAGAAAAATAAAAACAGATTCTAATCTATTTTCATCCTTATTTATCATACTTTAACATGATATTTATTCCTAATTTATGATATCATGAATAAAGAATATTATAGAATACAAATAATTGTTAATATCTTCCTAAGTATAATAATATTATTAACATAGTTGATCTTATAGATTTGATGATCAAAGAAACAAGAAACTTTATATTTAGACTATACTGATATTATGATATAAATAATATTACATAATATAATACTATTCAATATAACAAAACTAAGATGAAGAATAATCAAATCAATGAAACTCTAAAATAAATGGGTTTCAATATCTTAAATCATTCAAAAAGATATAAACTATGAGAGTTAAATTTGTATACAAAAATGAACAGATAATTGAATAGAAATCTTTGAAAAAATAAACAAACAGAATAGAGGAATTTCAAAATATAATTTACTATATAATAATAATTCTTTTATGGAATATATTTACAAAAATAACAATGTAGTAAATTCTTATTTGTAATATCATAACTAACATTTAGGCAAATTTGAAATTATTTGAAATAATAGTTAACTTTTCAATTACAATTTCAAAGTGTAAAATGATTATAATAGACATTTGAGATATGGATAAAACCATTAAATTAAGTTGTATTAGCATTAACTCAAAAAATATCTTGATAATATGTAAAAATTAGGTTTAAACTATAATAGATTTACTTTTGTAGTAATAATATTAAAGAGTTATGAAACTTATCTTCAATTATCCTAAGTAAGTTGAATAATAATACAATTAAAACTAAAGAATAACATTAAAGTTAAGTTATAATTAGAACTTGCATCAGATGGCTATAACAACTATACAAAGATCAAAAAACCTAAGAATTCCAATTGATTTAATACTGGTTATAGATAAATTTAATTAGATATTCATTTATGATTGTAATTCTTAAAAAATAAACTAATGATTCCATAAATCTTTATTTTCTAATCATTTAATTACTATTTAGTTAATTAAGTTTAGAATTGGTTCCTTAAAATATGTATAGTTTTTATTAGTCAATTTAGATTAATAATGGTAGATAATTAAGAAGTATTAATAATTTACTATATTCATCTATTGTAAAATATCAATTACAAGAATTAAATATTAAATTAATGTTCCAATCTTAACTCTATCAATTTAAATTGAAGACTAAAATGATCAATCCTTGTAAATAAAACAATACAATTATTAGTTGACATAAAATAAGAATTTAAATTTTTGAACAATACTCAATAATAATGTACATTGTATTCAAAATAATAATTAAATCGATCGACTTATCTAATGAGATTTGGTAATTCTTTGAAATTTCGTAATAAGCAATTTCATAATAAGATAAATGTCTAGGTACTCGTATTGGATAGTAAATTTCATTAAATGATCCTAAATTTGATATCAATACAACGAGATATTATTGTCCCATTTCGAGAATTGATGATGTAGGTATGTTTGATTTATTGGTCCATGCCATTTATACAGAAATAAGAACTTTTCCACTCACATTACAACATTAAATGTGATAATTGCAATTAAGATAGGATGGGCATATTCTTAATATTAATGGACCTTTCACTAATTACCTTTATCATGGATATGGTACAATAGAAGTCCCTAAATATAATATAAATAATAATTACTTATATTTTGGCATAGTTGCAGAATCATCAGCAATTGCAGCTTTTTTCCAAGTTATTTTCTATTAACTATTAATAATAGTTAATAGAAGGTATAGCTATCAATGGTGATAATACACATATAGGATTACTTTATTTGGCTGACACTCTTGATGAATTAGTTCTGATGGAAGAACTAATTTGGTATATGGAGGAGAAAAAGATAAATGCTACATTTTTACTAAGAAATGAACAAAATTCAATAGGAAAAGTTTTTAGTGGTCCTAAGGGTTAATTAAAAACTATATATATTTGTAATAGTATTTACCATAACCAAATGATTAAACATTAATCCTTGTTTGTGGTAGTAGGTATTAATTATTCAATTTTATTTAGGGCTTTTAAAAAAGAAACTAAATAATAATTGGAATATATCAATCACCAAAATATAGCCATAATTTGATTATATATTATTAAATATTATATTATAAAATATTATATTTAATTATGATATTATTAAATTAAATCTAATTAATTAACTGTGAAAAATATTTATATCCAAAATATTTACAATTCACTTTATTTATTATTTTATTATTAAAAGGATCTAACCATAAATTAAGAATGTCTTAGAACACCATATAAAATGAAAGGATCAGATAATATTAAAAAGTACATTAAATCTAAAAGGAGTAACTCCAACATTTAGTCTTTAAATAATCTTATTCCATTAAATCTGTAACATATACATCATATATATAGGCTTCTAAACTCTTAAACATAAAATATGCTACTGCAAAATCTATTATATCTAAAATTCGAAAATTGAAAATAAAAAAATACTTATACCTCAACAAAAAATTGGGGTAGTGTTAATTTAAAAAAGTTGAATTCTCCAAACCATAATTAGAAATTCAATCTTTAGTGTCAGGAACTTTGATTAGTTCATGTAAATACTATTTATATTGAATATCTTAATCAAATTTATTCTTATATTTTTTTGGAGGATTTTGCTGTAAGCAAATATCATTGTATAATATACATTAATAATTAAAAAAGTCAAGTTTATTTTAAGTTCCCTACCATGATGGACTTACAAAGACTTGTTTTCAAACATTATTTATTATCTTTTAAATAAAGCTAAGTTCTATTGTTTGATCATAATCCTTCAATTCCATCAATTGATTTCCCATAACCATCAATAGAATAGTTCATTCTTCTTTTCATAAAAGCATATCCGCCAAAATTCCTAAATATATAATCTCTAATTCTACCTAAGGTCACTGGCAAATAATATTTTAAACTTAAAAATGAATTAATGATCTGTACGGTACCATTATACAATTGAAATCTAATAGATCATAAATCCATAAATTAAGAAAATAAGGGCTATTTATTGTAAGAATTACCATTGACAATGAAACCCTTTAATTCATAAAAATTTTGAATAAAGGCAATTTTAATAAATCATTTCAATAATATAAATATATATTCTATAGGATGTTGTTTTATAATTAAATTTCACTTGCCTTGTAAAAAGTATTCAAATCTAATTCTAAAGAACATAATTCAAAATTTATCAATTTGATAATCATATTCTTTATATACTCTCAATTTATCTTATTAATCTAATTAAGAAAATAGTTTATTTTAAGTTACAATTATAATAAGAATTGGATTGGATTTAAAAATCAGTACTTTTTTATCCCATTTTTTAATAATGGTATTTATAAACTAAAATAAAATATATTGGATAAATGATTTGGTTGAATTAAATAAATTTTATTTATTTCCTAGATGACTTATGCTAGTATTATTAAAATTAAGATTGATATAAGTCATTGATGTTCTACATTATTAGATTTTTTAATTTGTGGAAATTCTTCAAATTAGAAGAAAAGATGCTTTTTTTTGGGTCAGGTGTTCATTGAGTTTTTTATTTTTCTAAAATTGTAATGGGAAATGGATTATAAATTTTTTATGTAATATTAAAGTAATTGTGTGGAAATAGAGAAAAAGTCTTAAAAAATTTATATAACCATATTATTTAACTTGAATAGTTTAAAAATTGGTATAGTACGGAAGAATAAATAAAAATATTGATATTAATTTTATCTTAAGGAATGTTATAATTACCTATTAATAATAGAACACCAGGATAAAATTTTAGTTTTAATTAGTTTGCCTCTGCACCTAATTCTCCTGATAGAAATACACCAAACACTATTAAAGATTATATAAAGTATAGATAACGAAATTTAATTGATTTTGTAAAAAGTCGATTATAGAGTCGGCAAAATAGTCCAAAAAACCTTTTTAAAGTAGATCTAATCTAGTTTGCCAAAAAGAAATATGATAGTATGCCCAGTCCTATTATGGGAGAGAATAAATTTTTATCAACTTAAAGATCAATAGGTGATTCTATCTAGATTGTTAATGGTTAGGGGATGACAGAAGATACATTATTTGATGAAATAATAGATTTAGAAAATGCCATAAATTCAAATGGATTTGAAAAGAAAGTTATGGGATCATAGAAACAAATAAATCATTCAATAATGAAGAAAGAAGTAACTGAAGATGGTTAAGTGAAAATTAATTAATATACAATATTATAGGAACTTGGTAAGGGATCATTTGGGAAGGTGAAATTGGCTAAGGATAATAATAGAAAATATGTATGAAATTAGGAGTTATGATGTTAGGCAGTGAAAATATGTGATAGAAAGAAATTAAAATTAAGGTTACTTTCAAGTAAAATGGATGCCTATTCATTATTGGATAAGGAGATAGCCATAATGAAGAAGGTAGATCATGAAAACATTGTTTAACTCTATGAAGTAATAGAAAATCCAAATAACGATAAATTATATTTGGTTTTGGAATATATGGATGGACCTTAACTATTATAAATTAAAAATAAGAACATTGATACTATATGGAGATTATTTAGAGATTTCATGTTAGGATTAGAATATTGTATATAATACCTATACTAAATTATAAGTACATAATTTTGCCAATATTGCCCATATGGACATTAAACCTGAAAATCTTTTACTTAACTAAGAACTTAGATTGAAAATAGCTGATTTCGGTGTTTCTTAGATTATGGATGATGATTTGGTCAAATCAAAAATTGGGACATCAGCTTATCAACCTCCAGAAGTATTTACTGAAGATTAAGTAAGAGGTAAACCAATTGATGTATGGGCTGCTGGATTAACTTTATATTAATTAGTTTATAATGAACATCCATTTATTTCATTAAAGTAGGATCAATTAAAGAATAATATACTTACATAAAATATTAAATGGAGAGAGACTTCAGACTTAACAGATTTATTAAAGAGAATGTTAGATAAGAATCCTAATAATAGAATTACAACATAACAAGTGTTAGTATTTTTATTGATTTATTTAAGGAACATCCATGGGTGACTAAAAATGGTAGATTTCCTTTGAAAAATGAATATTAGGGTAATTTTTGTGTTACTGAGAATGATATACATAATGCTATAACAAGATTGTCTTTCAATATGGCTATTAGAACTTTAAATAAATTGAAATAGAAGTTAAACCAATCTCGTTAAAGATTAAAATAAAGAAAGGCTTAAGAATCATGATAATCTGACTTTAATTTTATTAATTTAGATTATTTTTCTAATTTACCATAAGAAATTAATTCTAATAATTATGAATTTTAATATAAAAGTCACATTTAATAACTCTATATGTCATCTTACAATTGACAATGACAATAACTTAATAATCATGAATTAAATTCTATTGATGACATTCCCTCTAAATTTAGATTCAAATATTGTATGGAAATTAGAAAAAAACATACTACTAGGCTTTGAAATTAATACATATTAGTTTACAGGTAACCATAATGATCTTTTGAATCTAAAATCTAACTTAGGCAAACTTGTTACCTATAAAAAAATCAGTAATATGTACAACTTCCTTAGTACTATTGGGAAAGGTAATTATTCACAAGTATGTTTACTCCAGTGCAAAATAACAAATAAACTATATGCTGCAAAATGTATGAGGAAAGAAAATTAATAAGTTTTAAATGATATCAAAAGAGAGATTATGATTTGGTCTATGTTTTAACATAATAATATTGCTAGATTCTATGAAGTATATGAAAGTACAAATACAATTTATATTGTAATGGAGAAACTAAATAAATTAAGAAATGATTATGATCATGAAGAAATTAAGTTAATTATGAAAGTATGTTTATATTTCAATTTATTAGGATATTCTAGAAGGTGTTCATTATATCCATTCTAAGAATATTATTCATAGAGATTTAAAAATAGATAATATATTGATTGATGATGAAAATTAAATTAAAATCATTGATTTTGGATTAGCTTGCCAATTTAATAATATAGAATCCAGAAATATTAGTTGTGGTACTCCTGGTTATATAGCACCTGAAGTTCTGACGAATAAACCTTTTGATTATAAATCTGATATTTTTAGTGTAGGAGTTGTCATGTATTACCTTTACTTTAATAAACATTTATTCTAAGCAGATCAAGTGATTGACATCTTAAAACTCAATAAGAAATTCACTATATCTCGATTATCAGTTTTAAATATACCAGATTGTGGTTATCAATTATTAAGAAGTTTATTGAATCATAATCCAATATAAAGAATAACAGCCTCATAGGCTCTCACTCATTGGTATATGAATTCAATCAAGGAAGATCATTTCATAAAAGTACCAAGAAATCCTTAACCAAAATTCAAAGATCACATTTTATCATGCACAATAATATACTCAAAAACTACTATAACTTCATAAAATAAAATATATTGATAATATAACATTTCTTAATTAAATATTGAATAAAGTTCAAATTTAATATTATAATTAAAAATTAAGTTTAATTTACATTTTTGTTATTAACTTCTTAGCCTCAAATTTCATTTCTTTACTTAATTGCTTATAAACTAACCATCTTTTTTTTGAGATTAACATATATTTATAAATTACTTAAATATTTATATTAAGACTATATTTATTATTATTATATATTAAACAAAAAACTATAATTTGTTTTACATAATAATTCAATCTTAATTATTAGTTTATACAATTATATCATCTATTCTAAAAGTAATACATATATAGATTAATTTCTATTATTTAATTTAAGAAATAAATTGATTAATCTATATTTAAATTTATATTTTTCTTTATAGTATTACATCTTGATCGATCTAGATTAATAAAGGAAATAAATTAGTTATATATATTTACTTTAAAAAATTGAAAATTATCAAATAATTCAATTTACACTGATTATAAGTCTTTATTTTTAATTAATTATAAGCTTTTCAGAAATAGATTTTAACTTTTGTTTTTTCATTTTTAAATATACACTTAATACCAAACTTTATTTTGATCATTAAATATTTATCTCAAATATGATAAAGGACTTTACTTGTTTATAGTTAATAGTAGATGATGAGGAGAATAGAATTTAAAATAAGCAAATACATTTTCTTATATTATTATCAGATATTAATAAATTCACAAATATAATTAAAATAATAAATAAATGTTAATTAGAACAGCTACTACTTATATGATGCTTCATTCTAGTACTCCTAAATATCCAATAACAAGGGAATTTTTTAGAAAGTTGTTTTCATGTACTCTATTTGATATTTTACATTCTTAGCTAAACCACAAGAACCTAAAGAATAATTACTTTAATCACCTGATATGAAAACATTTGCAGCTCATATAAAATAGATGGAGTAAATTCCATCTTAGAAAGAATAAAACTTGACAGTTTTTAATAAATTAAATATTGGTTTTTCAATATTTAGAAAGTATTTTAGATACTTTGTATACTTTTTTTTTAAAATGGTTTACCTCATATTAGATGAATACAAGAGATTTATAATATTTGGAATAATATTCTATTTTTTGTGAAGAATTTAACAATTTTATTTATAACATTTATCACTAATCAAAGAGCTGTACTCAGAATAGTCTTCGGTTAATGATAATTTTCTTATTATCTACATTATAAGCAATTAAATATTGACCATCATTTGTAAGAATGGATCCTTAATATAATCCTTTTAATCTTTATATTTACAAAGGATCATCAACTTCTACAAATCTCCATATATCTACAGCATAAGAATTTTAGGATATCATTATTTTCAAAATTGGATGAAATTTGATTCTATCAACACATCCTAAATTTGATTAAAGTATTCTCAATTAAGTAAATAATCCAGTAGATGAATTTCTTTGCCAAATTATTACTTCTCTACTACCAGTAACAAATTATTCATCATTTATAATGCAAACAGAAAAAATATCATATTAATGAGCATTTTCTATTTTCTATATCATTTTCCAAACTTTTGAAATACTTTAATAAATATTTATTGATTTATCCCAACTAACAGATACTAAAATCTTATCATTTTGACTTAATTATAATTGTAATATTTCCCTTTTATGCTCATTCAAACTTTATGATTATTACCATTAACTTTCACATTTATTCCATATCTATATAGTTTGATCATATCCTGTAGAAAATAATTAATTATCTTAAGAATTAATCACTATAGATTTTATACAATCTTTGTGACCTTTGAGTTCTTAACTTAATTCAAAAGTACCCTTATCTGAAATTTTCCAAATTCTAATAATTTTATCTACTCCTCCAGAGAAAAAGAACATTTAAGAATTACTCAAACATATTGTCTCAATATATCCTCTATGAGATTTATCTTCTTATAGTTAAAGTAATTTGTCATCTTTAAATAAATAGCTTCTTATTTTATTTTCACAATTACTAATAATTAAATTATGTTTATGAGCTATTTATAGATCAAAACATATTTCTTATGGATGTTCATAACATTTTTAATAGGTTATTAATTCTTCAATAGACTTTTTGTAGTCTTCTACATATTTTAATGCTGTATCAAACTATTTAATAAATACTCCTTGATAGTTTTATATATTATCAATAACTTCTTAATAAAATTCTTGATTTTTATATAGACTAATTTGCTAAGCCATTTTTTATAATTGACTTAAGGTTGTTTGTCCAATTTAATACTATGTTAACTTAAGATTTTAAAAATTTTATATTGTTTTTTATATCTAACCTTCTATTTCCTTCTCTAATGATTTAATATTTTATAATAATTCTTCTGTCTTTTTGTATAATTTATTTTTTAGTTTTTCTAAAGTTTTAACTTCTTGATCAAGTAAACGATCTATTTATGAATTTTATTATGTGGCCATTCTATTATATATTTCTAATCCCGTTACTATACTAATTGGTCGAATTAAACCACATTCATCACATGCTACTCTATCACCTATTTTAACATTTAAATCAATATTTAGAAAGTTAACAACTTTTGAATGAAAAGGACACAGAATATTTATAGAGCTCATTTAAAAATGTGATAAAATTTTTATATTCAAATAAGTATTATGTAATTACAATTAGAAAACTAATTAATCTAATATAGTATAAAGTCTATGAAATACCTACTTATATAATATTTATATTAGATTAATCTATATATATATCTAAAAATTAAAAAATGATTATTAAACAATATATCAAATATAGATCATTATTGTAAATTAAAAACTAATTATTTTTAAAAAGATAATATAGAATTTATAGACCATTCAAATAAAATGTAATATTGTAAATTACAATTTTACTAAAATCTATTTTTAAGTTTAAATTACTTTATTTCTTTAATTTATTTAAATCAACCACCCATATGATTAAGTTTGAATTATGATTTATAAAAAGTAATATTTTATATAATTTTAGGTATTAATATTAATAATTTTTAGAATAATTATTATACATTTTCATTAATCAATTCAAGCTTTAAGTTATTCTTTCTATAATTATAATAATAATAAATAGATACAAATCCTGGGAATGTGTAATTTATTCCTAATTCTTTAAGTTTCAATCTCTTCTCTTCTTCATTTGCTAATAATTTTTATACTTCTTTTACTATTTATTCATTAGATTTTTCCTAATTTGAATTATATATATATATATAATACTTTATTTGATTCTTCAACAGCTTTTTCAGACCAATTAATAAAAAACAATTTTTAATTTCCATGTTTATATTTGAAAGGGTCAGGATGTTATTCACTTAATACATTAACAGTTAATTTCTTTCCATTCATTAAATAACCATTCATAGCTTATGCTGCAATAGGTGCTACTTCTTTATCAGCAAATTTAACAAATCCATAACCTTACACTCTATTAGTCTATATATAAATTTAATTAATTACTTTTTTGCTTCTAAATAATTTGACTCCTAGAACATCTCCAAATTATGTAAAGTATTCTTTTAATCCTTCTTCAACAAAACCATATGGTAAATGTCCAACATAAATAATTCCATTTTATCTTTCTTATGGTTATTATTCTAATCTATTGACTTTAGTTTTTATTTTTTATTCTTTATTTGAAGATTCTTGACTTTATTTCTCAACAATCTTTTATGTTTTGCCAATAACCTTCTAGGTTTTTTTTGTGCTCATAATTAAATTATATTAAATTATTTTAATTTATAAACAAATTTAATAAATTCTCAATCAAATACAACTTTAGGTATTTCAATTTCTTCATCTTCATTCACAATAACATTTTATTGTAAAGTAACAATTTATTAATTTTGTTATTCTCCTTTTGCATTATCAGTATTTGAATGATTTACAATTGAATAAAACATTTCATCTTCTGTTTATTTCTATTATTTTGAACTACTCTCTTCTTCACCAATAAAACTTTTTGTCTTTCTAATCTAAGCAGCTATCTATTGAAGATTATTATTATTAGTATTTCCATTACTAGCATTCATTGATTAATCCATTTAATTATCTTTACAGGAATAATATTGCTCTTCTGAATTAACAGATTAGAATATCTATTAAGCCTTAGAAAATTAATCATTTATTGATTTCTATTTAATATCATATTAATAATATTACAATTGTTGATACATAATTGTCAATTGATAAAGTTTTTCTTCTTTAATAAACAAAATTTATTAATTCCATTATACCAGATGTTGCTTCCTATAAATCTAAATCAATTTCATAAACATCTGATTAAAGCAAAAATAAAATAAAATATTTAATTGGTTAAATCAAACATAATTCTAATTCATTATAATTTTGTAAAACTACTTTACATAATCTTAATAAGGATGAAATTACTTCAATACCACAATAATTTAATAAAATATCATGTGGAAATGAGAATATAATAAATAATAATTGATATAATCTTTTTGTTAAATCCAATGAATTTCCTTATCTTAAATTATTTACTACTAACTTTGATAATGATATAAATTGATTTTCAAATCTTTATTTTAATATTTTTAAACTTGTTTTATTAAGTTAATCTTAAGGTAAAAATCCCAATTATATATCTTTAATTACCTTTTATTTTTTTTTATTATCAACTGGTTAATATATTTAATGTCTTTCCCTCTTCATATAATTACTCATATTTTTCATATATTTGGGGAATTCAAGTTCAAGTTATTCAAGTATTCTTGAAATCACTTCTAATTCTATTCTTGTTGTTAAGAATTCTAAATTCATATTATAAATAAATACTTTATTAAGACATAGATTCACATACTTATGAAAGTTATTTAATTATTGAAGTATTTACTGAAAATGATGATTATGTGAATTTAAATAAAATTTAAAGAATAGATGTATTCATTATCAAACCTTTACTAAAACTAGACAATATTAATGTATGTAATAAGGATAATGAAATTGATTTACTAAAATAATTTAATTCTTTAAAGGATTCAATACTTAGAGTGATTCCTCTATCTATCATTAATTTATTAAGTTTATTTTATAATTGTTACATTATACTTTGATTTAATTATGTTTCATATACTACATCTAAATGATCATTAAATGAATTATTGAGTTATAGTATTTCTCCTATTTTCTATATAGCACTTTCAATCTAAATATCAATTAAGATGTCTTCTTTGATAAATTGTAATTGTTATTATAGAAGGAGAGATAGGAAATTCAAGGTTTCTTTAAAATTAATAGAAAAATTATCATTTGAAATTAAGAATTCTTTAATTATTTGAAAGATGATTGAATATTTAGTCTTTTGATTTTTACCTTCAATCTATTTAAGAATATATATAATACATTTAGAAGATTCATTTTAATTTCCTCTGTAGATAGATTAGTTTGCCAATTATTTTATAATACTAATTTTTCTTTTTCTAAATCAATTAAGGTAGACACAATATAGTAAGCATCAAAGATTTATTCAAGTGTATTTACAATTTGAGATTGATAGGAATTATTTCCTTATTTACCTTCTAAATATGTAAATTGTAGGACAGCATATAATTGAGCTAATTGTGTAGCAATTTATGTTTAAGATCTTCTTTAAATGCATAATTCTTAGATTTATTTTTAATGATTTCTAAAGAGTGTAGGATTCAATAAAACACATTTAATAAGTGATTAAAGCAAATTATGATTCCATTCAATTTAGGATAAATGATGAATATAATTTTTGAATTGATCTTCATAGAGATTAATCATCTTATTTAATTATTATTATTGTTGGACTGACTTTGATTTTTATTTGTAGAGTGAGGACAAATACACATAATAAAATATATTTTGATGGGCTTTGTCATTGGATTAAAGATTGATGACTGATCCAATTTCTATAAGGATATCATGATTATATTTCTAAAATTGATTAGATGATGTGGACAATTTACCTTAATTACAAGACCTTTGATGATTAATTGTAATATTAGAGATTCTTCTTAGGCATCTAAGTACTTGTCTTTATTGGCAAATATTTTAACACAAATCTATATGAGGATTGGAGTGAGTGTCTCAGGATATAGAATGTATTTGTTGATATCAGATTGTAGTTGCTATTTTTGATTGAATTCTTTTTAACCCTAAATACATGATAATAAAATATTCATAATAATGATTTAAAATCATCCTCTCTGTCCTAAATCTGCAATGGAAAAGTACTATATGGAATAACAATTACCTCAATATTAAACATTACCACCTTAATAAACATAGAAAAAGAATCATTCTTATTATAATGATAATGCAAATATTTGGAACAATCAACATCAATCTAGTTCTAATATGAAAGTATTTGCCAAGATCTAAGAATAGAAATTGAAAGGTGATAAACTCATTTAATAATTATAAAAATAAGAACAGAAAGATAAATAATTATATTAAATGAGCAAACACATCTATTTCAATTAATTAAGACATGAAGATTAAATGAGAATGTAAACACGTAAATTAGAACGTGCTGGTCTATAAAATCTTAGTCAATAATAATCAGATATTGAAGCAGATCAATTACTTTTAAAACCTACTTAATATAATACAACATTATAAGGAAGACCTGAATTCTTTTGGAATAAAGTAGGTCACCATTCTCAAAAACATATTAAAATGTTAATCAATCCTAAAATCTTAGCCATGGAAGAAGAGGCAGTTAAATTAATTCAAAAACGTATTGAAAAAGAACATATTGTTGAATAAATTAAAAAGGACTTAAAATAAGAAAATATGAAACTTATACGTAAACTCAATGCAAAAAGACAATAAGAAGTTGATGAAATTCATTATAAAGCAGGTTTATCACCATCTCATAAAATGGGAATCTCTAAAACCACTCATCTTAGAAGACCATCACATGCATCTCGACCTTCTATTGATATTATAGAATAAACACTATAATAAATTGAAGATAAACAATAAAGAACAAGTCGTCCATTTACTGTAGATAGTGATAAACCATCTTTTTCATTTCATGTAAGACCTCAAACTAGTAATTAGAATAGTCAATCAATTAAAAATACAAATACTCTAACCAAGTAAATGTTATAAGCATAACAAGATAGTAATCACTTAGTGTCCATAAAAAACATACTCTTAGGATGGATAGATCTGAATTTAAGGGATTATATTTAGCATAGGCATGTGATGTGAGTGACAACAATTTTAGTAGAACTATACGATCAAATTGCACTATTCTAAAAGGAATCTCGAATTAAAAGATTAAAGCATAATAAATACCTCAAAATAATAAATCAAATAATCAACCTGAAGAAGATGTAAATAAAATTTTAGATTCATTTGAATGCAAATTGTAAGATAGAAAACTCCAATATTGAAATTATAAATATATATATATATATTTTTAATCATTTGATATCTTCTTCTTCAACAATTTATTTTACAGGAGGTACAAAACTAGATGTAATTGTCTAAAATCTTCCATCACTAAAATTGTTAGTTTCCAACATTTTCTAAGATAAATGAGTAATGCCTATTCTGGTTTGAGTATGTTAATTCTATTTTGTATATATTTAAAATACTGTATTACTTGCATATAGGATGGTAATATAGATCTATGATCATGTTCTCTATCAATCATTTTTCCAAAATTAGGAGCAGTGGGTACTCTAAATATTTAACTCTTTTAAGATCTAGAATATATATCAAATTCAAAATATTCTTCAAAAGTATAATCTGATTTTTTAGTCATTATATCATCTCTACCCTTTTTTGAATCAAATTTTGGTCCAGCTGATCCTAATTTTCTATTGAATTTTAATAAGTTAAGTACCTCCTTCCAAATTCAAAATTAGGTTCATAATCTGGAGCATAATGTTTTCTTTTATAGACTGTCATCTATTCTCTAGACATTGATTTATTCATAGAATATTATGGAGTTCTTGGAACCTTACTAAATTGGGTAGTTATATTAAGAAAATTGAATCTCTCTTCATGTGGTGTTGGTTAACCAAAAAATACTTCCTTTCTAAATATTATGCATATTCTAACCTTCCAGTTTATCTTGACATATCAACAAAACAATCTCTTTTCCATACTTACTTTTCAGGTATGGGTTCTTTATTTCCAAAATTAATAGCACTCTATACTCTTTTAGTAGTTTATCTTGGTGTAGTTTTGATAAGACTTTTTTGATAATCAGGAACTATATGATTAGCTCTATAAATAATTGATTTAAATGATGTACTTTTCTAATTGATTGAATTTTGGATTGTAATAGCCACAAGGTGGTTAACCATCGCATCCAATTTTTGTGTAATTGCCAACTGCTCTAGATAATTACTTTGTAAAGGGTTATTGAGTTTTTAAGACTTATTGATTATTTGGAGTTAGTTATTTCTCTTGTGTTTCAGGTATTGGGATTTCAAAGAGTTAACTTTTCACTCGTTTACCCATTTTACGATTGAGAATCTCATCTTTACGAGCAAAGATTATATATTTCTCACTAGTGATTTTACCAGCTTTAGAGAACATATTTTGAGGGTCATTGGGATTTATAATTAAGGCCATGAAGATATTAATTAAAATATGTAGCAAATAGAGGATCAATACGTGCCAAATGATGAAGAATATGAGTAAAAAGATTAAACAACCAATACTCGTTTTGGTAAGTTTGTGAAAGAGTAATGGGAGAAAATAGAGAAGAAGAATTTTAGTTAATTTGAGACAAGAGTATTGTCAACTCTATAATTATTGGGTAATTAAAGTGCAGAGGATTTGATTGATAAATAAGTAGTTGCAGAAGTTGTATAGAAAGATAATAGCAAATAAAAGGGTGGTAAACAAAAGAAACCAGAATAAATACAACCATAATAAGAAGTTTAGAAATCTAATGTTATATATGAAATATGTGTAGGTTAAGAACTTTATTTGAAGTATCTGAGACCTAAATTAGTGGAGTATGGAATATTGAGTAAGATTGATGATGGCAATCCTAAATAAGAAGAGAAGAAGTAAGCATAAGGTAAAAAGGGTGGTAAGAATACAGTAAAGAAGGAAGATTTAATGCGTATTGAATTGTCAAAGGATAAAGTTAATGATTAAACCATGAAAATGTTATAATAGATGGGATTGATCATTTTAAATTAGGAATTAAAACCTAAAGAAAATGAATTTCTTAAAACTGAATAAGCAAGTAAACGTATCAAATCATTGAAATGGATGGAACTCAAATTCTCAGCTTTGATGATTTATGCAACTTAATTAATTAAATGTCATATCCATTCTAAATTTAGAGATGAGTATGCATTTGAATTGATTTACTTTCTAAAGAATGTCTATCTCAATTATAAAGAATATGAAGGTTAATCTTATTTGGATGAAACAAAAAAAGAAAGATTAGCATCTCAAGCTATTGAAGATCTCAGATATAAACTTAAAGAACTCTATAAAAACTTTGGTTTCTCAAATAGAGTCTTATTTAATAAATATCCAAAATTAGTTATTGATACAGATTTAAATTAAGCATTCATAAGAACAGATGTTCGTCCATATAAATCATAAGAAAACCTTTTAGAAATTCTAAAAAAAATAGAAAAACCTTCTTTGATCTTTTTCAGTACAATGGTTGGTACAGGTAAAACTGTGTTAAGTGTTGCTATTGCATAATACTTGGCACGTTTAAGAGAAAGTTATGCAATTCAAGAAAACAATGCTTATAATTAATTAAAGAATCTTGGTTATAGAAATCCAAGAGAAGTCTAGTTTTTATATTGTTGTCCTTTGGATACAGTGAGAACTTAAGTGGGTGCTGCAGCATATGAGAGAAAATTAAAATTTGCTATTGCATCAATGTGGAAAGATTCTTAGAGTTCTAAATTAGATTCAGAATTGGGATATGCAGAATGTCCAAGATTAGTTAATTCTTGGTAAAATAGATAGGAGGAATTTCCAACTTTGGTAGTGGCTGACTTTAAAACTACTTTGGAATTATTGAAAGAAAAACACACTTTATCAGAAAAGGAGAAATAAGTAGTTAGATGGTAAGGTAAAGATCGTAAATTGGTATCAAATAATCCAGCTAAACATGGAAAAGATTATATACTATTTATTGATGAACCTACAGTTGATGCTGATTTTGCAGATGCAGAAGTAACTAAAATATTGATAGACATTATACGTCGAGCTCCACCTATTACAATATTATCTAGTGCTACTTTACCACCACCTGAGAAAATACCAAATTTCATCAAATTATACAGAAAGGCTTAAGTTTCTGATATTGATATCCCAGTAGTTCATGATTCTCAATTCCATATTGGTTGTCAAGTCTTTTCTCATAGTGGTCATAAATTCTTACCACATTATTAGGCATAGAACAAACAATAATTAGCTGAAATTTTGGATAGATTGGAGAAGAATCCATTTATGAAGAGATGTTATAATGCAAATGCTTATTGTGAATTGTATGATAGAATGAAATCATGTGGAATTGTTAATATTGAAGATTTTGAAACATTTGATATTATTACACAAGAATTTGTATAAAGAAAAAGCATTGAATTATTAAAGATATTATTAACAGTTGATGATGAGATATTTAAGAAGGTTTGTTCAGAAAAATAGGATGTTGTATAATAATAATAATAAGATATTGATGAATAATAATAAGGTGAAGGTGAAGAATAATAATAAGAAGGAGAGGAAGGAGAATATGAATATGAATATGAATACGTATATGAGGAAGTTGAAGATACAGGTGCTAATAATTAGACAGAAGACAATACATAAATATAATAATAATAATAAAAACCAAAATCTAAATATATTTATACAATTGAAATAGATGATGAAGATAAAATGAAATTTACTGCACCATATCATAAATTAGATATTAGATAATTAGGTGGAAATATGGCTCATAAATTTTTAGGGGGTTGTTTAATTGCTGTAAATAAACCAGTAGAATTCATAAGAGCTAAATTCCATAAATTACTTAAGAAATGTGCTCCTGCTTCAGAATATGTGAAATAATATTTAAAATAACATGAATATTTAGAGAAAGAAATATAAAAGAAAGAAAGGGAAATAGATAATGAAGATGAGAGATCCAAATAAATTCAAGCATTATAAGAAAGCATGAAATTGACTATTGCATTTCCTGATTTCTTGAAAATAAATACATTAGAACATTATAAAGTAAATAGATAAAATTTATATTTAGAAATTTGTTACTAATGACCCTCTGTATCTAGAATAATATAGAGCCAGAAAAGCATTCTCATTAGAGGGAATTAATTATTAACTTAATATTCCTGATGATATTATGTTGTATCTCTTCTCTGGTATTGCAGCCTATACAGAAAAGGTATATATTAATTTTTATTTAGTAATCTGAATTGGATATTGATTATTATGAAGAAGTCTAAAAGTTGGCATCAAATGGTTAATTAGCTTTAATTATTTCTGATGATTCTATGTGTTATGGTGTAAATTATCCATTGAATCATGTTATTGTGTTTGATGAAATGGCTGAAAAGCGATCTATTGGAGCATTATTTTAATTAATAGGAAGAGCTGGTATTTATAGTGAATTTACAATTAAATAGGTCGTGTTGGTGTTTCATGGACAGCTAACGCATATTTGGGTGATAAGACATTTGATAGATTGATTAAGTATTTGAATGGTTAGAATGAAGAGACTGAAAAGGATGAAGCTTATAATATTGAATAGTAAAGTAAGAGAATGATTTAAAATTTGATTGAATTGGCAAAAAAGAAAAAGGAATAGTAATCGTAATGAACATATATATTAATACAATTAAAAAATGATTTCCAAAAATCAAATCGACCAAGTGTATGACTTTCTTAAGAGTATCAATGATGGCACTTTAGAGAGTTATAGAAAGTCACTTCCAGAGCAATGGATTCTAAACTAAGTCATTGATTTAACATGTTTGACTCCATCACAACGAATAGTGTGTCTATACTATGCAGGGGAAGAAACACAATGTGGAAATGCTTTAGAAAAGAGATTAGTATTGAATAAGGAATAGGTTTCGCTATATAACTTAATTTAGAGTGCGGGTAATGTAATTTGAGATAACTTGTTGATGAATGGAGTACCTCAAACCAGTAAAATACTCATCAACCCTAAAGTATGAGAGCCATCATTCAATGTCCTTCATTAAAACATGCTCTTGAACACATCCTTACAACTTTTTCGATTGATTATCTACGACCTGTTCCCACAACAATTTAATCTTAATTTAATTGGATCACTCTTCAAATCACTGATCCACTTTGGGATTATACCATTGAAGTAAGCCAAGAGCCATTAGTCAGAATCAAGGAGAATCTCCTTAAAGCACAATAATCCAAATTGTCTTAGAGGGAAGCTTAAGAAACCATAGATCTTCTTAATCAGGATTAGAGACATGTATTAGATAGTGGAATTACACCTAATTAACTTCCAAATCTTATTGAATACAATCCTGATCTATCTAGCTTTCTATTGGCTCGTATTAATCAATGTGGAATAAGTATCCATGAATATTTCGAATGTTTGATTTAAATGAAGATTTCACTTTAGAGTTTAGAAGTTGTCAATAAGCTTTCCAATTCTATTAAATTACCTGAAGCATTCCTTCATATGTATTTGACTAAGTGCATCTAATATTGTGAAGAATTGCAAGTAAAACATTATTCTAAACAATAGCCAAAGTAATAGATGGTGTCTAGATATGTGAGATTAGTAGCTGTCTTCATTAAAACACTCATCAAATCAAAAACTTTAGATCCAAAAAAAATGTTCACTGAAATACAAGGATTCTGCATCGAGTTTTCAAAGATACCTGAAGCTTCATAGCTATTCAAATAACTCAAAGAGACAGGTGTAGAAGAAAAATAGCATCAGTGATATTGATTGAATTATGAGATATTGTGAATTATCTCATTCTAATCCTTTTTTTTCTGTTTATTCTACTTATGTTTCTCTCTAATTCCATCCATATCATGTCTAATCTATTATTATTTTAGTTCATAATATTTAAATTAATAAATAAATATATATAATTTAAAAAAATTGCTTATCATTAATATCTATAATCTTAAGACTTGTTTCTATCTTACATCTCTTAGTTAATTCATTTATTTTATTCATTAAATAAGGATGAATTAAAGGTATGATATTCTTATCCTTTTATATTCAAATTTATATTTTAAAGCAAAAATAAATTTCTTAAACTTATAAATATGTCTCTATAATTCTAGTAAAAATATATACATACAATTATTTTAGTAAAGCTTGGTTATGTATTCACATTTATATTTTTGTCCATTTTTCATCCATAAATAGGTATTTCCATTCCTTATTTTTATGAAAACTCTATCAATACCTTAATATCTGTATTATTTTATTACTATTTAATTTATCTATTATAAATTAAATTTAAAACTAATTATAAGTTATCTCATTAATAAAAAAACAAATATAAATTTATTAATCAAGCAATATTAAACTCAAAATCACTTTATTCCCATAATTGTATTAGATTCAATATTAAATTGATAGATCCATCATCTTTATTTTTTAATATTGTTGCTTGATTATTCAGAATTTCCACAAAATCATAGGTATCTACTTTTTAAAGAATTACTAATTTAAATTATGGTGGCAATTTTTAAAAGTATGTGAATAATTCAGCTATCAACTTTGTCAAATAAATACATGAAAGCAACCTTTTATGATTATAATAATTACATATCACTTATGTATTGTAAACAATCAAGATTAATGAATATTTCATTTAAATGATAATCAGATAATTGTTGATGATTCATTAGATTTTACAATAGATACAAGTATTCTATACAGATTTCTTATTTTATTATAGAGTATTGATTTAAGTAATTGTGTAGGAAGGGTAAGAAAACTGTGATTGTTCTTTCTACAATGAAAGCATGTGGATAGTATAGAATGTTGTTAAAACATTTAAATATTTTTTCGATTATCAGTTCATCTCCTTAATTTTATAAGGAATTGACCATGGATTCTATTAAACCAATATCAATCAAATATTAAAGAATGTAATGATCATCATCTTTTTCAGCAAGGAAATTAGTGAATATTGAAAAGAATTTACTTGGAAATAGATTTAATTTTAAGATCTTTTCCCAAACAAACTTAGTCAAAGTCAAGGTCAAAGCAATTGTAATTTTAAATTCTGATAATTTTTACAAGATTTCCAAGACTCTTTTATAGAGACTCTCATCTTCCATTTAAACTTTATCAATTAAAAATGTACATTATGAGATAATACAATTAAACTTATTATTAAATGAAATCATACATTATAATGAGGAATATCTATGAGATTAATTTCATTAGATTCAAATAATTTACACTCTAATAATAGAATTGCTTTCCATGTTTTAGTGATTGGATTTTTTGGATAAAACTTAGACCAAACTCTAAATAATTGTGATCTAAGTATTTCTTCTCTAAATAACAAAACATTTCGATTATCCAATTCAAATTAAATATTTATCAATATAAGACAAATCTGTAAAATTCATAGTTAAGATTGATTACACTCTCAAGAATCTCACACCATCTATCAAAATGAATCTGAATCTTCTCAGGTTATACCATTCTATCTATTAAATCCTTCAATAGAATATTGATCAAATCATTTTACAACAAATTCTCAACAATATCTTTCCTATCCAAATATGTAATATTAATCAAGATTACTAATACATGATTTATACACATCAATCTATCTGATGTTAAATTAAATTCTATAGGAATATCACTCATCCTAATTATATCAAAGAATAATTTTAAACCATTCATATTTGCACTACTAAAATGGTTGATAAATTAATTCAAAACAACTTAATCATTTAAGTTGTCTTCCTCCAATAATTTTAAATAATTCATATTGTATTATTTTAACAATTTAGCTAAATGTTTGAAATCCTACTCCAAATAAGTTTGATATATAAAATTAATTGTCTCATCAGGATTACATTTTTACAACACATCCCCATCCTATATGATGCTAGTATGTCTTTTTTTAGAGAAGATCTCTTCTCTAGCTTATTTTCTAATCTGAACCATAAATTATTCTCTCTTCATTTACAAATGTGAATTCATCATATAAATATTAATAAAACATATTAAAATGTATATAAAATTGAATGATGTAAAGAGAAAGATGTATGACTAAAAACTTAATAAAAATATATATATATATATATAGAAAACGATTACAATATTCAATATTGTCACCACAAGATGCTATCAATTTTACAGAAGTCAAAATATTTAGGGATAAGAATTATAATATAATAATTGGGGGAAGAATATTGAAAATAGTCCTCTTGATTTGGGTATGGGTTAAAGTTTACGTGATACTGAATGCAGTAATTGTACTTTGTTGAATGGTTGTCCAAGACATTTTGGTTATATTCCATTATAATTGCCAATTTATCATTTGAGTTTTTTACTCATGTTGTAAAGTGTTTGAAATGTTTGTGTTATGTATGTGATTATAAAGAAGTTTTTAAAAATGTGTTTAAGTAAGATTGATATTAAAAGAGATAAATCTATTAATATAAGCAATGTTAAATTGTGTTTAAAAACACCATCTTATAACATATAATTAAAGATTTTCAAGAAGGTTCTAAAGAAATGTTGATCAAATCAATAATATCCTAATTGCCTTTTGTGAATAGATTGGGAATGCAAAGAAATTAGCCAAAGGTGGTGCAAGTATGATTCTATTAGAAAATACGGATATTAATGCATTTTATGCTTGGAATCTAAAAACAGCATTATATCTTGTTTTGTATTAATCAATTCTTAAATGACTAATTTGATCTACTCACTTTAATTACACCTGCTCCTCAAGCAAAATGCTATGTAAAACAACAAAAGCAGATATAGGATGAATTAACAATGAATTTGAAAACCATACTTTATCATAATGATTTGTAATAGAAATATGCATAGGAAGGGAAAGGATGGCATGTCAATTCTTAAAATAAAATTTTTAAGAATTGACATTACTTTTATTATTTCAATAGTGAGACACTTCGTTTACCACAATTCTCAAGCCAAGATGTAAAGGTCGATAGACGTGCAATTTATCAAAGACTTAAAGGTAAGAGAGGAAGATTAAGAGTTAGTTTATCAGGTAAAAGAGCAGAATTTACAGCATGTTCAATAATCTCACCAGATCTTAATTTAGGATGAACATTAAGAAGATGAAATATTATGTATAAAATGGACTATCTATATATACATATACCAAATTAATTAAATTAGGAGGAGTCAATTATACTTTATTACTTTATTATTTGCAAGAAGAACAAATTTAAATTATAAATTAGAGATATAGTAGATAGACATTAGATATTAGATTTACATTGTATGATATTATTGTAATTAGAGTTCGTATCTACTAAATATGTGTGTGATTTGATTTTAAAAGAATTGAAATTATAACTTGATGATGTTAAATACTATAAAAATTGCAATCAGTAATAATCATAAGGAGAAACAATCAGAAAAATTATTATGTTTGATCATAGAATTATAATGTAGACTATTGAAGTTACATGTAGTATGGTTGTGCAAATATTAAATAAACATTTATTTAAGTTACAGATAATTATGATAAAGAAAATAAAAAAGGAGAAACCAGATCCTGAATCAGTTATTGGGTTCAAAGTGGTTTTATGATTAGATAATATTGATTGGAAAAGAACAGTCAGTAAACAGATAATGGAAATTCAGAATGCTCTAGGTATAGAAGCTGTTAGAGAGAGTATTATTAATGAAGTGTATACAACAATGTAAAGTCATAGTATTTCAATTGATATATGACACATTTTATTGTTGTCTGAATTGATGAGATTTAAAGGTATTTATTATATTTTAAGTCAATTAAGGTAGAATACTTGGATTTACAAGATAAGGGATAGATTAATTAAGATATTCAATTTTAATGATTGTATCCTTTATAAAAAACATGAATGTCTTTATATTACTTATATATAAGATAAGTAAGATTCAATGATTGGTGCATCTCAAAGAGTAATGATTGATTAGAATATACATTAAGGAACAGGAATGTTTGATTTGATATTGTCTGTTATAGATAATATAATTTTAGAAAGTGAACTTAAACAATAGAAGTTTTAGTTTGCTCTAAAATGATGAATTATGACATCATATTTATGAATATCATATTATTCACAGTCTTATTTTTTGTTAGAGCAGATCACATACCAGAATTCAAAGCTGCCCTGGATTTCAACCAAATTAATAGCTTCAAACAACACATCCTAAAACCAATCATAACCCTTATCTAAGGTGCTCATCTCCCACTTGATATACAGATGAAACAATCATTCCCCCTTATAGGTAAAGTGGAACTAGAAATCAATGAAGTCTATTTATAAGAACTTACTCTTAATTGGGATGATACATTTATCATGCCTTATCAAAATAAAGAGGATTCCATAATCTTATAATTAAGATAAACAAATATCACAATTGAAGCTTTCACTAGATTAGTTTTTGGAGGATGGTAAGTTCTAAATACAGGTACAGTATTTAAGTTATAGAATTTGGATTTTAGTTTAGTCATTTAATTTGATCCAACTACTTCTAAAAGATCATGGGTAATATAAACTTAAATATTTTAAGGGTTTCAAACCAATAATCAAATATGTCGATATTGCCTTAACACGTATGTAATTCATCATGGATAATGTTATCATACCTCCTTAAGCTGGAATCAATGCCTTTGTAGATCTTCTTACTCCAATGATTATCAAATAAACCAAGAAGATGATTCTATAAGTTGCTTCACCAGCATTAGGAGTTTTATCATAAAATTAAAGATTACAAATAGCTTAACAACTTGGTGATTACATGTATCAATTCCAAATCACTTTCACTCAACCACCTTCTGTTATCTATGGATAAACTACTTTTATGAGTCTTCAATTAGATATCTAAATAGAAAATGTTGACACTGGCAATGGATGTCCTATTTTTGATACTGGTAGCCTACCAAATAGAGTACATTCTCATCAAGCATTAGAACTAATCCTTGGTGGTAATATTATTGATCAATTACTTTGGTTATTAATTGATAGCAAAAAATTAGATCTAACAATAGATAATTCAATGTTAGAAAACATCGATTTACCAATTTCATTAACTACTAATGGAATGAAACTTATTATACCTGATTTTTATGAAGCATATGGACCAGATAAAGGAATCTATATACGTATATATGGATAAACAGCTGAATAATAAATGTATATTAGAAGTGGTAGATTACTTGGAGCAATGACTGTTATGATGGACTTTATAGTTGATACTAATTCAAGTAATTACCCTAATAATAAATCTGATTGTGAATCTTGTGTAATTGCTTATACTGCTGAAGTAGAATTAGGTGTAATGGTCACACTATATAATAAATCACCATAACTCTTTGCAGCTTCAGTCATGCTTGTCAAGATTATTGATATTGATTAAACATCAGGTGAACTCTTGACAGTCCAATAATTAAGCATTATGCAAACACTAAATTCTCTTGTTGGTGCTCTACTTCCTTCAATCAATCAAGATTTATAAAAAGGAATTCAAAATCCCTTTATTGGATTTTTTGGTCTAAAAGAAATTGATATCACTATGGGTGATAGTTTCATATCTTTAGGAGTAGTACTTAATGAATGATGAAATAAATAACATATACATAATAATCATTTTACGATTCTTATTAATATTTTATGACTACAATCTTTTTTTACAATAATTCTTTAATATTTTGAATTATTTATTATTTCTTCATCCAAATTATCAAAACTTCTTCATCTCTATAATAAATCTTCTAAATGATATTCTTATTTTATTAACAATAATGACTAATTTATATAAAGACACAAAAAAATTTATTAATTTTTTATTAGCATACTTATTTATCACATAATTATTACTTTATGGAGACTATAAATATATAAATATCTTATGATGATCATTATATTTCTTATGATTGTTGAAACTTATATTTCTTAAATGATATGAGATTACTTCTAAATATCCAACTATAATCTCAAGGTGTTTATAAATATGCAAATAAATATAGACAAACAAATTAGAATTAAAATAGAACTACAATCACATTTTAAATAATTGAGGGTTATTAATTACTAAAAATATTAATAGATGAAATATCTCATTCTCATCCAATTCCAATTTTAATAGTATATATATACCTGAAATATGAAACACAAACACCTGTTAGAACTCTGTTAATCCATTCCTATTGATTCTTTTTCTTATACTACAATAATAAAATAGTTTAATTTCCTTTAATTTCATCAAATCTAACTCTCTTAATCTAAATGAAAAGATATACAAATTTATATACCAATGAATTCTACTCAATATCTTTTTATAATTACTCTCATTCATGATTGTGTGAGACATACTAAATACAACAATTCTAATTGACAGAAACTATTTTCTCTTATAGAAAGCTTTTACAAATGTCTATTAATTTTTTTGGAAACATTAATTTATCATTCAATTTTGTAAAATATAATTTTAATTATTAGATTAAATTAATCCAAAAAATAATTAAAATATTCGAAAAAGTACACAATTTATTACAAATAAAAAATAATTGGCTTAAATCAAGTGAGACTTTGAATTTAGTTGAAAAGTCATTGATAATTTTAAGGTATCATATTATACTTTTAAATAAATTTATTATTATTAATATTTTTAATAATGATGAAAATTATAAAAGAAATAAATTAAATGATAGTTGTAATTACAATAATCACTCTTAATATTACTATAATTTATCATGTATTTCTCTTTAGACAATTTCTAATGTATTTTTATCTAATTCTTTTAGAAGAGATAATATTGCACATAAGATGTTTGAGTTTCTTTCTTCATCTGCATATTCTTATCGAATTACTTATCTTTAGTATTATGGTTATTATTGTAGGAATAGTTGTTATTATTGTTATTACTAAATTGATGATTAATATTGTTGTAAATACTATTGTTATTATTATTGTTGTTCTCTTTCTCTAGATACTTATTATTATTGTTATGGATATAATTGTTACTGTTATTGTGGTTAATTATATGGTTGCATTTATGATAAGGATTATCGTTATTGATTTGTTTATTATTCTCGTTAATTTGAATATCTTCCTCCTCCATTATTTGGAGAATATTGATTTGGTTTAATTACTTCAACATATTGTGGCATTTCTTCCTCTACTTTTTATATCTTTGTAGGTGGACTTTATGAAATTCCATATTACAATTATTATTATGCATTTGCTCTATCTTATTGATTAATGACAACATCATCCAATTTTTCAAGTGTTTAAGAATTGCATATTACGGCATCTCTATAATTTGGATGGTCAGCAATTGGATTTTCTCATATATTATTAAATAGTACCTTAAAGCCATAAGACTTTCAATTTAGGTAATTGTTATAGGAATTGCAATTCTGTAATACTAGAAATATTGTTCTTTCTCAAATATAGTTCCTTGATATTCTTACATTTAGCAATATCAGCTAAAGTAGTAATCCTATTGACTGATAATGAAAGAACTTCAAGATTAGGTAATCTTTCAATGATTGAGATATCATCAAGATCATTACCCCATAAATTCAGTGATTTGATACTGTACAAAGCTTCAGTCTTTGCTTTTTAAGCAATTAATGTTTAAGTTAAAGGTTTAGACATATTATATGATAGTTATATTAATAAATTAAATAATCAATGTTATAGTTTACCAATAATTTCTTCTAAAGATATTACTTAATTTTAATTAAAAATTTACAAAAATTAAGTAACTTTATCTTAAATATCTTAATCTAATTTCATATATTGGTTAGTTTATTCAATTAATACAAATAATGCATAAATGTCATTTTCATATTTATATTTCATTGATTGATTAATATCAGGATCAATTTTTTAACAATTAAGTTCATATAATTTATTTTAATCAATTTTAAGATTTTATGAATATTCAAAACAATTCAATTTTATTTTGTCATCCTTTATATATATTTATTCTAATGATATATATAATAAGCATATTGAATTTTAATGAATTTATTTTAATATTTCAACAATCCTTAAGTAAAAGGGAACCTATAATATCATATTAGTTTATAATATTTTTTATGCATCTTCAACCCAAAAATTAAAAGTAATCTACACTTTATCTTAATTAATTTAATTACAAATTATTTAGAAATCAAGAAGTTTCAGTACAAAATCATGTTAATTTAAACTTGCCCAATTTATAAAGTATTTCATTCTTTATATAATTTATGGAAAACTTTAAGTTGAAGTCTTAGAAGAAAGTATTATATAATTTTTAAGAACTTTATTTTCTAATGTTGTTGTTTAAAAACTATTTATATATTTAATAAATGATTTCATTACTTTTATATAAGGATAAATTGTATTTATTTTTCTTTCATTTTATAAATATTCAATATGATCAAAAAGTATTTCAATTAATTATTTAACTTAAGGATTGATTTTCGAATATTAATACATAAATAATCTCTTAATAACTTATATAAATGAAATTCTATTAGCTATTGGTTATGTACAATCTATAATTAAATCCTATATGAGATTATTTTGAATATTTTATATCATAACTTTATGATGTTCTTAAAAGTATTTAATTCTCCCTAAAATATGATAGTCTTGAATCCCTTCATATGGAATGCAACCAGAAAAATACTAAAATAATGTAACTCCAAATGAGTACACATCATTCTTTCTACTTTAAAAATTAGAGTATCCTAATTCAGGATCAACATATTTATATGTCATTTATTTTATTCCACAACTAAGATTTTAAGATCTATGAGAATACTTTGACAATCCAAAATCAACTATAATAGGATTTTTTTTTATTATATCAACTAAAACATTATCAGGTTTCAAATCCAAATGAAGTAATTTTCTCTCCAATTATAAAGTAGTAAGTCCTAATGATAATTTATAAACATATTTTATTTTATCCATTTCATTCCAATTTATCATCTCTTAATAATTATTATATATTTTTGTGATTAAAATAATTTAGAAACTTCTAAATTACCCTTATATGTTAGATAAGAGTCCTAAATGTTCAATTCCTAAACAATATTTAGTTTTTGAAATAGTGATATCACAAACTATGCAGATTTCTAAAAGTTTACTTTCAATATCAGATTTCACATCTTAATTGATGTTATTTTCCATATACTCTAATTAAATCTCTTTTGCAGCAAAAGATTAACCTTAAAAATTGAATTTGTATACTTTACTATTTCCTCCTTAACCTAGCGGTTCTACAACATCATTATTATTAAATAATTCTTCAGTTTCACATTTTAAAAATTGAGTTTTCTTAACAAATTCATCTAATAGATTTATTAAACAACCATCTTATTCCTATTTTAAATCATTTCTCAACCTATGATAAAATAATCTAATATCTTTTCTTATTGGAAAATTAAAACTTTATTTCAATTAATCCTCCTCTAATGAAAACTCTTACAAATATTATGATACACTTCTAAAAGTTTCGATATCTTATGATTTTGTTTAAACTATCTCTTCAACATCTTCTTATTGTTAATATTTTCCAGTCTCACGATTTTTAAGTGTCTTCTCTACTTCTACCTTTGCTATTATTTCTGATAGTTGTACTTGTGAATCTGAACGTTGTAATAAAATTTCTAAATACTTTTAAGCAAAAATTTTATATGATCCTTACTTTTGAACTAAATTTAAAAAATATGTTATTGCATTTTCTTGTGAATTCTATTATGATTAACATTTTTCAATTTTATTTCTATTCTCGTCATTTAAGATTTTTAATAAAATGGCACAACTAATCTCAATATTTGGAATTTTAATATTTTTATAGATTTTAATGGCATCTTCATATTTACCCCAATACTCTAAGATCTATCCTATCATTTTTTCATTTTTTGTTTGCTTTGCCAATTAATATGCTTCCTCAAAATCATGAATAAAAAAGTATATTTCTGATTTCATTTCCAAATTAAATAAAAAATTTTTTTCAAGAAATACTCTTAATAATGGATATAGATTAGGATTAAAATATTATAAAATACAAATGTCTCTTTTTCTAAGTAACACATTTATAATAAGAAATTCCACTACTGCTTTAAAATAACTTTTAATTTGTAATAATTTTTCACCTTTTTAATTTGGAGAATCAAAAATGGATTTAAATATTGCAAAAAAATTATTACTTTTTTATTCAATTTCTTATCTTTCCTAACATACTGATTAAGTTTTCCTTAGAATAAAGTCTAATTATATTTATCCTTCTTCACTCCTAAATATCATTCCCTATTATTGAATAAGTCTAAAGAATTCGTATTACAACATATTAAAATATCTTTTTTATGTACTCTAATTAATTAATTTGATAATTGGAGCAATTTTTATCATAATCTCCCTTTTTAAATCTATCTAATTAGTATAGACACTTATCAATAATGAAATAATTAAGCTTTAATGCTTGATTTCTCTATTATTTGGCTAATAAAATTCTATTTGTTAATTTTCGTATTGTTCTATTAAATTATTTAATTATTTGAGTTTCTTCTTCGATTCATTAATTTATCCTTACAAAAATTGAATTTTACATATCTTAAAATAGATGTAGATTCTAAATTTCTCTTTATCTTATTGATTTTTTATTAAATATAACAATTTAGCATAAACTTTGAGAGCATATTCCCATTATCTTAATTTAGATAAACATTTCCCAACTAAGAGTAAATTTAAAAAAAGATTCTCTGAAACTTCTGCTATATCCATAATTTAATTAAATAATTATTCTTACACAGAAGGTCTTTTGGAATAGAAGAAATTTTAAAATTATTTATGATCTAATTGAATTAAACTAAATATGGCAATCCCTGCTTAAATATTATTAAATCTCTCAGTTAAATAATCATAATGATAATTCTTTTCTATAAATGAGATAGCAACTTTCATTTTTGAATCTTCTATTGATGATTTAATATTTCCCTTATCTCGCTACTATAAAAATTGATATGAATTCACAATAATTTATAATTTTTTTTTGAGTTAAAAATCTACAAAGAGATCCTAATTATTGAAAGAACTAATAGCAACATAATAATAATCCTAATAGAACAATTAATTTAATAATTCAAGCAATTTTTGACTGCTAACAATTATATTTGCTGTTTCTTCCAAATTAATAGATTAAATCTATTTGAATTTAGTTTCTAAGTTCATTTAAAATATTTTAAAATATTCCTTTGCTGAAATATCATTATTACATGTATTTGTATTTGTTGCAGCCATTAAAATCATTTCCCAAAAATTTTAATTATCTTGATTTAAACATAAATTAATATCCACATTTTAACCAATCAGAAAAAGTAATATCAAAGGAATTACTTAAATTATTTATAAAGTATTCTCTAATTCTTATTCAATTATAGGATATACTAAAATTTTTCCTATTTATTTATTCAATTCAAGTTCAGAATAGTTATAAACTCTAGTAAGTTGATAATACGATTTATCAAATATTACATTATATAAAAAAGTGTTAATTTTGAAACCATTGTTTTTAACCATTTCATTTAATTGATTTTAGATTCCTTATAAATAGTTCTGTTTTATTCTTTCTATCACTTATTAATTATCTAAATACATTTTAATAATTTAATTAATAAAAATAATAGTGTAGAATTTTCATAGAATATATTGACTCAAGATATATGAGATGGAGGTTTCCAAACTGGAGGGTAAAGAAATGATTTAATTTAATTAACAACCTTATTTAATATAATAATTTACTTCTTGATTCCAAAGCTTAGAATATTTTTTTGGACTTAATTTTAGTTTATTCATTTTGATAGCCCATAAATTTTACTCCTTTTTTGATAATAAAACTTCTTTATTTCTTTTACTTCTACATTAAACTGATCCATTTGACTTCTTCTAAACATATCCTTTCATTCTCTCTGTATTATTAAAACTGTCATTATTATCCTTCCTCTTAGGAGATCCTGATAATCCAATATTTTAAAAATGAGTAGTATTTCTATTACTTTACTCTTGGAATGAGTGATTTATATTGTATTGTGTCGAATGTTTCTTATTAATGTTTAATTTAGGTAAGAATTATTTTTTAGATTCAGTTTATATTCCAACATTTGAACTATGCTATCTGAATGAATTTTCTAAAGATTAAATTTATAGTCCTTAATCTAAAAGACTCAACAAATCAAATTATTTTTAAAGTATAGGTTACTTTACATTAAATTACATATCATGATGACTAGTATTATGAGATATATTTTGAGTTGCAGTCTCTGCTTTCAAACCAAAAATATCCTTTTAAAATTGATCTCCAATCTCATCCAAATCTGGTTCTTCTGCTATTCTAGATTAAATTTCTTAATTATCTATAACTTCTTTAACTAAATGCTTCTAAGGAAATTCATTCAATGAAACCCTAACCTTATCAAAAGATTATAACTAATTCTATTTCCAATTCCCTTTCAAAATCAACTAATCATACTAATATTCTCCTTCCCCATCCATTAAACCATCTCTCCAATATCCTTTATAAATAGCTTTATCAGTCCATATAATCTATCCATACCCACATCTTTTATCTTCCAAAAAATTCCCTGTATATATTGTTCCATTTGCATATTCAAAAATGCCTTCACCACATTTTTTATCATTTGCATAATATCCTTTGTAACAATTCATTCCATTCTTTGTCTAACTTTACCAAATTCCATATCCATTCCTCAATCCATTCTCAAAATCTCCTTCATAATAATTTCCATTACTCCAATAATACTTACCTTTTCCATTAGGCTTACCATTTCTATACTCACCACTGTAACAATCACCATTCTCCAAATACTCCTTACCAATCCCATGTTTCAAATCATTGATTACCTCACCGACATATCTATTAATTATATATTGATATACATGCATCCATTTACATGTAAACAGAATCCTAAACATCTTCCATTCTGCCATTATCCCAAATAATAATCTGAATGTATCCCTTAATACCATCCAATCCCATGCTAATAAATTAATTATAAATCATTACTTTTTTCCCCTAATGCCATTAACCTATATATTTAAAAGTTCTTGACCAAAACACTCCCTCACCTTAAGGCAACCCATTTACATAGTTCCCATAATAATACTAATTATTTTTGAGTACTTCAAACCCTATTCCTTCCTTTTTATCCCTTTCAAAAGCCCCTTCATATAATTATAATGTCTATTTTATTAAAATACCTTCTCCTTATCTAATACCGTCAACAATACCCCCAAAAAATGCGGCATTTTTATAGAGTTTGATTTTGATATCTTTAATCTAATTCAAATCAAGAATTATTGGTTTGTAGTTTTTAAAAAATTCAACAGCATTGTCTTGAGTTGGAAATTCATAGTCATTTATGTGATTAGGTATAGGAAATTTAGTTTTAATTTGTTAAATTAGCATGTGATATTCTTGTAGAATTGAGCTATGATACACCTCTGATAGTTATTCATAATGCCATTCTTCTAAATTAGGGAATAATAGCTATATATTTTATTATTTTATCATTAATATATAGAGTCATAGTAATTAGCAACACCATTATGAAATTATAGATGTTGTTATACTAGATATAATTGTAATAAATTCTTAAACATCACATTTTTTTTGAACAAGTAACTTTTTATTTTTGGGCTATTACTTCTTAACAATCATCTCCCTTAATTCTTATTTCTTGAGCAAAAAAATGTGATGTTAATGACTCTGATTCTTTTTTATATATCAAAGTCTTTTGAAGAATTTCAACATTAGTATATAGTGTTAAATTTATATTAGAGAATTAATCTACTTCATTTTTTGTTATCTTCGACTCTTTTTTTTCCTACTTTTAGGAATAAATATCTTTCTTTTGGCTTAACATTAACCCAATCATCTAATAATTCAATAAAAATTGAATTCTTACTTTGAATTTCTACATTTTAGATGTTCCTTCTACTTAAAATGAAAATCTGAAGAGAGCTTGTATATACTTCTTTAATTTGCAAAGGTGATGCCATTAAGAAAGAATGATTTACAAGAATCATTGTGTATATCTTATTGTTAGTTTTAAATTTTTTTAAAGAAAAATATAAAGAAAATCAAATCAGTCATCCACCATATTCACTAATTTTTAATGTGACAATTCTAACAGTTTGGGTTTCTTACAACTTTTTAATGCCTATACTTCTCTGATAGCATTTCAAATACATTAAGTTGTGTTTAATTAAATTAGGAAAGTGAATAATGACAAGAAAAATTCAAATAAAAATTTAAATGTGATTAGGAAAGCGAAGAAATCATATAAATTATGAGACTCTTAGGTCTAAGTTCGAAGGGAAATTTGAAAATTCTTCATATCTTCACATTCTAACTAATAGAATATATTTTTTGTTCTATATTTAAATTCACATAAATGTTTCAGAAAAATCAATAATTTAATTAAAATGAAAACAATAATCATAATATCATTCTTAGTGGCACTTGGCTTAAGCTAAAGACTTAGTATCAACGACCAAAATTGCAATAAGTATACAGAAAAATTCGGTACTGCAAATAATCCTGATGGAACAGGAGCAACCAAATTGGCCTTTACAGGAGACGTATAGTTTGTTACAGGCACAACAAACGTCAAGGTCAACCTTAGATACTCAGATGTAGATCTCTTTAATGATGCTACATATTTTGGACTTGTTTAAGAAGATGGAAAGACAGCAGCCACCACATGTCTTGATCTTAAACTTTGGAAATTCACTTCAAATGCTTATTCTGATCCAGTTTAAGTAACAGATTTACCCATAACACCATCAAACAATTTCTAAAAATAATGGAGATATTATTCATTTACTATTCCAGGAGATCAATTAGCAACTAGATTAGTATAGACCACTAACAGCGCATAATTCATCTACAAAGGCTACTATGCTGTTGCTTATTATGCTGCAGGTACAACCTAATTGTAATATACTTTCTTTTTTGAATTCTCTGTCACTGTTGATAGAACAAGTGGTGCTTCAGTTGACACTGCATTCAAACCATTAAGTTAGACAGCCACATTAGGTTGTGCCCTAGGTTAAACTTGTAGTGCTAAAGCTGACACTATATTAAAATGGTGTACTGATTTAACATGTACCTAATTTTCAACACCTGATCTACATTTGAATGATCAATTTGTTTTATAATAAGTAGTTACCACTGCTGGTATGAACTACTATCTGACTGGAACAGAGGTTTGGTATACTGGTAATGGATTGAATAAGAAAGCAACAATAGTCTCTGTGAATAATAATACAAAAGGATAAGTTATAATTTAATTAAAGGCTGAAATTGCTTGGAGTTCAGTCACTATTAGAGTTACCTCTACTTTATCAGATAATTAAACAGGAGGAAGAAGACTTTTGGTTTAAACCACTTATGATCCAGTAACAGGTGAAACTGACGAAATCACTTGTATTAAGGCTGAAGGAAAAGAAACATGTCCTACATGTGAAGAGGAAACATAAGCAAATGGATTTTAAAGTAATGATTGCAAGGATAGTCCAGGTGACAGTTCTTCAAATGGTTACATATTAGCAGGGTTCATTACTCTATTAATGTTGATTTGAATTATATATATATCTAAAACAATTATATAAATACAATTTTATTAATCTTAGTTTCAATCTCTAAATATATAATAGTAATGGTATAATTTTTGATATAATTTAGATTTGATAGTTTTAATATTAAAATGAATCTTGAAACCTTTCTTCTTGATAAAATAAAGATTTGTAAAAGAATAAGAAAATTATGAGAATTAAAAATTAATATGTTCAGGTTTCTCCTTCAGCTGTTTAATCATTTTCTCCTTCTATTTTAATTCTTCTACCATTTTCCCATATTCCACCTTTTCTTTCTCCAGTTTCAGTTATAATTACACCTTTTCCATTTTATTTTCCCATAGACCATTCTCCTTCATATCTTTTTCCGTTATTCCAAGAAAAGACACCTTGCCCATGTTTTTTATCATCTAAATAATATCCTTTATAACTTTTTCCATCTGGCCATATTGTTTCACCATATCCATTCATTTTATTATTTAACCAATTTCCTGTATATATTTTACCATCATTCCATGTATATTTACCAAACCCACTTATTTCATTATCTAAAAAATCTCCCTCGTAGATACTATTATCTGCAAATTAAAGTTTTCCCTTTCCATTTTTTTTTCCAAAAGTATACATTCCCTTCATAATTAGAGATTTCAATACTTCATATTTAGAGCCATCAGGCCAAACTTCTACTCCTTTTCCATGCTACTAATCATTCAACCACTCGCCTTCGTATTTAGCACCACCAGCATGTACATAAGTACCTACTCCATTAGCCATATCATTTGCCCATTAACCTTCATAAATATCTCCATCTCCATGAACTAAAAATGCTAATAATAATGAATATACCTAATTTCCCTTTGCCTTCAGCTTTATCAACTTTCCATTCCCCTTGATAAAAACCTCCATCAGCCCAACACTCTAATCAATTTTTCAATATTACATGCAATCCAAAGCCATCCCTCATACAATTGAACCACTCCCCTTCATAATAACCTCCATTAAGCATATTTATTCGAGGAAGTTTTTTCCGAATTCCTTTCGTACTTTAAACAAGTTATTAAGATTCATCATTGGCTGGTTTATTGTCCTCTGAATAAGAATATAAAAATCAACCATGAGTAAATGTTTGAGCATCTTATTGTTTTTCTTTATCCAATATTTAGTGTTCGCTCCCTCCTCTTTAAGTCTATATTTCTTCTTCTCCTAGCTTTTTTGGAATACAATTACAACTACCCATATAATAATAATAATATATATAAATATATATAGTATACATTACTATTATTATATAATTCATTCAGTGTAATTTACACTACTTTACCTTTTACGTTATCTTTCGTTTATTAGCAAATAGACTTAAATGATAAGTGCTAGAAAATTGATTCCAACATAAATGTAAAACAATTGCCCATTCATGAATTAANGTGTGAATAATAATACAAAAGGATAAGTTATAATTTAATTAAAGGCTGAAATTGCTTGGAGTTCAGTCACTATTAGAGTTACCTCTACTTTATCAGATAATTAAACAGGAGGAAGAAGACTTTTGGTTTAAACCACTTATGATCCAGTAACAGGTGAAACTGACGAAATCACTTGTATTAAGGCTGAAGGAAAAGAAACATGTCCTACATGTGAAGAGGAAACATAAGCAAATGGATTTTAAAGTAATGATTGCAAGGATAGTCCAGGTGACAGTTCTTCAAATGGTTACATATTAGCAGGGTTCATTACTCTATTAATGTTGATTTGAATTATATATATATCTAAAACAATTATATAAATACAATTTTATTAATCTTAGTTTCAATCTCTAAATATATAATAGTAATGGTATAATTTTTGATATAATTTAGATTTGATAGTTTTAATATTAAAATGAATCTTGAAACCTTTCTTCTTGATAAAATAAAGATTTGTAAAAGAATAAGAAAATTATGAGAATTAAAAATTAATATGTTCAGGTTTCTCCTTCAGCTGTTTAATCATTTTCTCCTTTTATTCAAATTCTTCTACCATTTTCCCATATTCCACCTTTTCTTTTTCCAGACCCATTGCCCATGATTTTATTTAAATAATATGCTTTATAATTTTTCTATCTGACCATATTGTTTCCTCATATTCATTCATTTTATTATTTAATTAATTTTCTATATATAATCTACCATAATTTCAAGTATATTTATTAAACCCTCTTTTTTACACAACCAACATGTATTGTTGATTTTTAATATAATTTAGATTCTACTCTTAATTAAGGTTACCTTTTATTTAAACTTACTGGATTATCTAATTTACAATCATAATCAATATTACATTGAATGATAACTCACATATGCTAAATAAATAAACAATTATTTTGCCTTAAGAATGAAATAGGTAAATGAAGAATGGTTCATCATTCACAATCATGGAATATAAATAAATCTAAATAATTATTGTTTCTTATAATTTAATTAGGTTGGATCTCTTTGTTGTCCAATTTTGAAAAACACTAGTAAAACCTGTAATGTAAGTGATTTGAGCACCACAAACCTTCAAACCTTCCATTTAAGTATACTTTTTTTAATTTTTTTATATTTTATCACCATTAATAAACCAAATGATTAAAAATAGTTGTAAGAGTTATAAAATTTTGATTTATATATTTGAAAATGAATGAATTGTTATATAATTTACACTCATAAATAATATAGTGTCTAAAAATAGTTGTTAATACTTAGGTAATTGTCTTTAATAGGCACCGTGATTTTCTTAAGGGTTTTTAACTTTGCTTTCATAATTTGCTAATTTGCAAAAAGAATTGAAACAATTACGAGATAGAATATTTGCATATCATTTTTTAAGTTGCATACAAAATTTATAAAAATTATTATTATCAATGAAAAAATTAGTCATTTTAGTATTGTTAGTGGCACTTGGGCTAAGCTAAAGGCTTAGCATAGATAGCTCAAATTGCAATAAGTACACAGAAAAATTCGGTACTGCAAATAACCCAGATGGAACTGGGGCCACCAAATTGGCGTTTACAGGAGACGTGTAGTTTGTTACCGGAACTACCAATGTAAAGGTCAACCTTAGATACTCAGATGTTGATCTCTTTAATGACGCCACATATTTTGGACTTGTTTAAGAAGATGGAAAAACAGCAGCCTAAACATGTCTTGATCTTAAACTTTGGAAATTCACTTCAAATGCTTATTCTGATCCAGTTTAAGTAACAGATTTACCCATAACACCATCAAATAATTTCTAAAAATAATGGAGATATTATTCATTTACTATTCCAGGAGATCAATTAGCAACTAGATTAGTATAGACAAAGAATGCTAACTAATTCATCTACAAAGGCTATTATGCTGTTGCTTATTATGCTGCAGGTACAACCTAAGTGTAATATACTTTCTTTTTTGAATTCTCAGTAACTGTTGATAGAGCAAGTGGTGCTTCAGTTGACACTGCATTCAAACCATTAAGTTAGACAGCCACATTAGGTTGTGCTCTTGGTTAAACTTGTAGTGCTAAAGCTGACACTATATTAAAATGGTGTACTGATTTAACATGTACTTAAAATTCAACACCTGATCTACATTTGAATGATCAATTCGTTTTATAATAAATAGTTACCACTGCAGGTATGAACTACTATCTGACTGGAACTGAGGTTTGGTATACTGGTAATGGATTAAATAAGAAAGCAACGATAATCAGTGTGAATAATAATACAAAAGGATAAGCTATAATTTAATTAAGGGCTGAAATTGCTTGGAGTTCAGTCACTATTAGAGTTACCTCTACTTTATCTGATACCTAAGCTGGAGGAAGAAGACTTTTGGTTTAAACCACTTATGATCCAGTAACAGGTGAAACTGATGAAATCACTTGTATTAAAGCTGAAGGAAAGGAAACATGTCCTTCATGTGAAGAGGAATGTTCAGCTTAAGGTTTTGCTAAAGATGGCTGTCCAGCATGCTCATCATCATAAATTTTAGCATTTGCTTTCGTGCTTTTGCTTTTAATATTGATTTGATTTTGTTTTTCATAGAAATTTGCCATTTTCAAATTAATAAAATTTATCAAAAATACTCTAAGTATTTTCATTCTTGTTTTTTAAAGTTTATTTCATTCTTATAGTTAAAACAAATCTTTAATTTATTCCTCTTAATATTGAAAATTTTGAAGTTTATTTTTCTTTTAGATTTACAAACATCATAATACTAGATTTTTAGAACATAGTAATATATCTATCTTAAATTAAATGTTCGATACATCGTTAAATTCTTTATCTAACATTTTAAAGTTATTATTTTTTAAATTCATATTTTTTCCAATATATAAATGAGCCAATCTGATTTAGATAGACAAATAGCCTAACTAAGGAACTGCGAAAATATAACTGAAGGAGAAGTTAAAGCATTGTGTACAAAGGCTAGAGAAATTCTTGTAGAAGAAAGCAATGTGCAGAGAGTCGATGCCCCAGTTACGGTAAAAATATTTTTAATATCAGATCTGCGGAGATATTCATGGCCAATTCTTTGATTTAATGGAGTTATTTAAAGTGGGAGGGGATTGCCCAGATACTAACTATTTATTCTTAGGTGACTTTGTTGATAGAGGATTTAATAGTGTGGAAACATTTTTATTATTATTAGCTTTGAAAGTGCGTTATCCAGACAGAATAACATTGTAAAATAATCATTAATGTAGAATACGTGGGAATCATGAATCTAGATAAATTACTTAAGTTTATGGTTTTTATGATGAATGTCTAAGGAAATATGGGTCATTAAATGTTTGGAGATATTGCACAGACATTTTTGATTATTTGAGTTTGGCTGCTGTCATTGAGGAGAAGATATTTTGCGTACATGGTGGATTATCCCCTTCAATAAAAACTATTGATGATGTTTTAGAAATTTAATTATGTAGATTCGAGCAATCGATCGTAAATAAGAAGTACCTCATGATGGAGCTATGTGCGATTTGATGTGGAGTGATCCTGATGGTATCTTGATTAAATGATTATTTTAGAAATTGAAGGATGGAATTTATCTCCGAGAGGAGCAGGTTATTTATTTGGTGGAGATGTTGTGGATGATTTCAATAGAAAAAATAATATTGAATTAATATGTAGAGCTCATCAATTAGTGATGGAAGGATATAGAGTTATGTTTAATGAATAATTAGTAACTGTCTGGAGTGCACCTAATTATTGTTACAGGTATATTTTTACATTTAATCAGATGCGGAAATGTGGCCTCAATACTTGAATTAGATGAAAATCTTGCTAAATCTTATAAAATATTTGAAGCTGCTCCATAAGAAAACAGAGGATTACCAGCCAAGAAACCAATTCCTGATTATTTTTTATGAATAAATATTTATGAGTGATTTAGATTAATGGATAGTCAGATTAAAGAATTGCCAATTTCTAACTGAATTAGAAGTGATTTAATTGTGCACTAAAGCAAAAGAAATACTTATATCTGAAAGCAACGTAGAGACTGTCCATACTCCTGTTACAGTAATTATTTTCATCTTATTAGGTTTGTGGGGATATTCATGGATAATTTCATGACCTTATTGAGTTATTTAAAGTAGGAGGAGATTGTCCTGACACTAATTACCTTTTTTTAGGAGATTTAGTCGATCGCGGATTTAATAGTGTTGAAACATTTCTTTTACTATTAGCATTCAAAGTTCGTTATCCAGACAGGATTACCATGTAATAGTTTAAAATATTTTGAAGCATAAGAGGAAATCATGAATCAAGGTAAACAACTTAAGTTTACGGATTTTATGATGAATGTCAACGCAAATATGGTTCTGCGAATGTTTGGAGATATTGCACTGATGTTTTTGATTATCTGACAATAAGTGCAGTAATCGAAAACAGAGTATTTTGTGTCCATGGAGGATTGTCTCCAAATATTGTTGAGATAGATGATGTAAACTTATGTGAAATTATTTTTAAGGTGAAATCCTTAGATCGAAAGTAAGAGGTTCCACATGAAGGAGCTATGTGTGATCTATTGTGGAGTGATCCAGAAGATATAATTGGATGGGGAGTTTCTCCAAGGGGAGCTGGATATATATTTGGAGGTGACATTACTAAAGAGTTCAATAAAACTAATAATTATGATTTCATATGTCGAGCTCATTAACTCGTCTTAGAAGGATACAAAACAATGTTTGATGATCAACTGATAACAGTATGGAGTGCTCCAAATTACTGTTATCGTGTCGGAAATTAAGCCTCAATCTTAGAGTTAGATGATAATTTAGAAAAAAAATTCAAAATTTTCTTAGCAGCAAATGTGGAATAAAGAGGTCTGATTGGAAGGCATCCTGTGCCTGATTATTTCTTGTGATAAATATTATTATATATACTCAATCAATAAAAGTTTTCATTCTCCTACTATTCATGCTTCGATATGAATTAGGGCTATGAGTTCGAATATTAATAATGGTTTAAGTATCTTCATTCTTTTAATGCGTAGCCACTTTCAGTTTTATTCTTTTGATAAACTTTCCCATTGTTGTTGGGCTACTCAAAACCTTATGATGATTGAATTATTAAGAATTATTAATGTTCAGTTCATTTTATTAATTGTAACATTGAGTAAGCATTCCATTCATCTACTCTAATTCTTATTCATTTGCTGATTTTCGAAATTTATCATTATTGCTAGCAAATCGGAAAAACTATCGATGGTAGAATCTTTTTTTAAAGTAATTTTGGGAAACGAATTTTTTTTGATCAAAAAATGTTTTGACTTAAGCATAAGAACAATTTCTATCTTTGAGTAATTTTGTAAATTATTCTATTGCTTATTTTTCTTGTTATTTAAATTCATCATACTGCTTGTCTTTTAAAAGATCATCATTTGTATTTCTTTAAGATAATAGATTATATTTTTGAACATAGCTTTTTTTTAAAGGTATTGGTAAATGTATTTGTTCTTCAAGTTTCTTTCTTTTATTATCAATTTCTTTAATCAACTCTTCTGCTTTAATTGATCTGAAATGATGAATAGATGATAGCAATTACAAAAAGACAACCTACGTTTTGCTATCCCAGAAACGTCTCTTCATAATTATATAATCTTACTTCTAAATATCTTCTCTTGTGATCTTATAAGCAACTCCAATTTCACTTTTACAAACTATATCATATTTTGTTTTCCCCCACTAAACAAATATGGAAGATTTGATCAAAAATTGGCCTTCTTTACTCAAGAATGCTTCTTATCCGAAAGATTCCCCTGGCCCTAAAGTGCATCTAATTATAAATATAAAATCTAATACATACTACATAACTTGTTTTTATAAGAGAATTGAACCTAAAATTCACCATCTCTTACCACATAAAAATGATTGCAGTACTCATTCTATTTAATAATTGCTTAATTAAGGGTTACTGTAACAGGTTCAAAGTGATAACTGATTGTTTTTATTTCTCTAAAAGACCAAGAACTAAAAAATGGAAAAGAACATAGAAAGGAAATCTTATTTTATATTTTTGCAATTTCTTAGGCTCCTAAGATAGATTTATAGTGATGTTTTTCCATCACTGCAAAAACACAATCTTCTTTTGCTACAATTGTAGCAGTTCTTTTAGCATCATTTATTAGAGCTAGTTCTCCAAAACTTGCTCCAGCTTTCAATATGTTTACTTCTTTTAGCTCAAATTATTGAGGATCATCTGGATTAGGCAATCGAATATTAATTCCCACAGATCCTTTTAAAATAACATAGAAAAGACTTCCTGAATCTCCTACTTTAAAGAGTATCTAAATAGATTATGATTATATTTTACATCTCCTGATTTAATAGTTCGATATGATAGCACTTATATGCAACGATGAAGCATTTCTAGCGATTATTCACCAAGTTCTCTAAAAAAAGTTATGGTGAGTGCAAAGATTAAAAGATGGTTAAGTTCTTCAGGGCTTCTACGTATTGGTGTAATTTGAAGAATGCGAATGCATTCAGCAAATAATTATTGCTTATCCATTTTTAATTAAAAAATTATGTGGAAAGGCTTTTTGAGTATTTTTGGGGGTTTCCTTACCCATCTTGTTACAGGTGCATTCTATTGTATACTTCATTTATGAGAGTAGTTTGGGGCAATATTTCCATGAATGTCAGCTCTTACTATCGCTTTAATGGATACCCAGATATTGAAACAAAAACTGTTTCTGCTGTCTTTCCTGCCATATACTTTGGGATTGCTATAGGAAGTCAATTTGGTATTCATTTGGCTCGCCGTTTTGGTCATAAGTTGATAAGTGTAGTAAATATGTTGTGTTATTGTGCATCTATGTATGCAGCAACATATAGCAACTTTTACTTTTTTGTATTCTTTCAAGGTTTATTACCAGGGGTTTTTATTGGAATTGAGTACTTAATTCCAGTCGACAATGCATTGAAATTTTTTCCTTCTAAAAAAGGCATGGTCACAGGATTAATATTATGTGGATTTGGATTCACACCACTTGTTTTTAATCCAATATTATAGAAACTATTAAATCCGGACAATATTCTTCCAGTCAATGGATACTATCCAGAAGAAGTTGCTGAAAACCTGATGAAAAGTCTAAGAATTGTTACCACCATTTATCTAGTGTTGGGATTAATCGGAGCGTTTTTGATGTAATCAATAAACTAAAGTGACGATCATGATGACGAAACATATAAACAGTACACATAATAATTAATATCGAAAGAAAATTAATCTAAAATGACGCACAAGTCAGTGTAAATACTTAATTTGATATACTCAAGAAAAAAGAGTTTTGGCTCAGTACATTTTAGGTATTTTGTTTAACTGGTTTTGGATTCATCCTTATCTCCCACTATAAGGAGTATGGTATCGTCCATATACCAGATGACTAGTTTTTTTCATTAGTCGGTATGATTGGTGGATTTACAAATGGGTATCATTATTTCATTAAAATTACAGCCTGTCTCGTTTCCTCTGGAGTTTCTTGTTGGATTTTATCAATTACAAATACCTTGTTTTTATTAATATAGTGATGGCTATGGTTTTGGCAGCAACAATAAATCTGATTGCTGATTCAAAATTTCTATTTATGTTATGGGTTATACTTACTTACTTACAGTATGGAGGATTGTACACATTATTTCCTGGAATATGCACTAAAGTATTCATATATTAGGAAATAATAGTAATTTGGTACTAAATTCGGTCCGTTGGCATATAATATGGCATTTAATAGCATTCCTTTTTCAAATTTGACTTAATTTCTATTAACTTTGTATTTTCATGATTAATTCATGAATGGGCAATTGTTTTACATTTATGTTGGAATCAATTTTCTAGCACTTATCATTTAAGTCTATTTGCTAATAAACGAAAGATAACGTAAAAGGTAAAGTAGTGTAAATTACACTGAATGAATTATATAATAATAGTAATGTATACTATATATATTTATATATATTATTATTATTATATGGGTAGTTGTAATTGTATTCCAAAAAAGCTAGGAGAAGAAGAAATATAGACTTAAAGAGGAGGGAGCGAACACTAAATATTGGATAAAGAAAAACAATAAGATGCTCAAACATTTACTCATGGTTGATTTTTATATTCTTATTCAGAGGACAATAAACCAGCCAATGATGAATCTTAATAACTTGTTTAAAGTACGAAAGGAATTCGGAAAAAACTTCCTCGAATAAATATGCTTAATGGAGGTTATTATGAAGGGGAGTGGTTCAATTGTATGAGGGATGGCTTTGGATTGCATGTAATATTGAAAAATTGATTAGAGTGTTGGGCTGATGGAGGTTTTTATCAAGGGGAATGGAAAGTTGATAAAGCTGAAGGCAAAGGGAAATTAGGTATATTCATTATTATTAGCATTTTTAGTTCATGGAGATGGAGATATTTATGAAGGTTAATGGGCAAATGATATGGCTAATGGAGTAGGTACTTATGTACATGCTGGTGGTGCTAAATACGAAGGCGAGTGGTTGAATGATTAGTAGCATGGAAAAGGAGTAGAAGTTTGGCCTGATGGCTCTAAATATGAAGTATTGAAATCTCTAATTATGAAGGGAATGTATACTTTTGGAAAAAAAAATGGAAAGGGAAAACTTTAATTTGCAGATAATAGTATCTACGAGGGAGATTTTTTAGATAATGAAATAAGTGGGTTTGGTAAATATACATGGAATGATGGTAAAATATATACAGGAAATTGGTTAAATAATAAAATGAATGGATATGGTGAAACAATATGGCCAGATGGAAAAAGTTATAAAGGATATTATTTAGATGATAAAAAACATGGGCAAGGTGTCTTTTCTTGGAATAACGGAAAAAGATATGAAGGAGAATGGTCTATGGGAAAATAAAATGGAAAAGGTGTAATTATAACTGAAACTGGAGAAAGAAAAGGTGGAATATGGGAAAATGGTAGAAGAATTAAAATAGNTTACATTTATGTTGGAATCAATTTTCTAGCACTTATCATTTAAGTCTATTTGCTAATAAACGAAAGATAACGTAAAAGGTAAAGTAGTGTAAATTACACTGAATGAATTATATAATAATAGTAATGTATACTATATATATTTATATATATTATTATTATTATATGGGTAGTTGTAATTGTATTCCAAAAAAGCTAGGAGAAGAAGAAATATAGACTTAAAGAGGAGGGAGCGAACACTAAATATTGGATAAAGAAAAACAATAAGATGCTCAAACATTTACTCATGGTTGATTTTTATATTCTTATTCAGAGGACAATAAACCAGCCAATGATGAATCTTAATAACTTGTTTAAAGTACGAAAGGAATTCGGAAAAAACTTCCTCGAATAAATATGCTTAATGGAGGTTATTATGAAGGGGAGTGGTTCAATTGTATGAGGGATGGCTTTGGATTGCATGTAATATTGAAAAATTGATTAGAGTGTTGGGCTGATGGAGGTTTTTATCAAGGGGAATGGAAAGTTGATAAAGCTGAAGGCAAAGGGAAATTAGGTATATTCATTATTATTAGCATTTTTAGTTCATGGAGATGGAGATATTTATGAAGGTTAATGGGCAAATGATATGGCTAATGGAGTAGGTACTTATGTACATGCTGGTGGTGCTAAATACGAAGGCGAGTGGTTGAATGATTAGTAGCATGGAAAAGGAGTAGAAGTTTGGCCTGATGGCTCTAAATATGAAGTATTGAAATCTCTAATTATGAAGGGAATGTATACTTTTGGAAAAAAAAATGGAAAGGGAAAACTTTAATTTGCAGATAATAGTATCTACGAGGGAGATTTTTTAGATAATGAAATAAGTGGGTTTGGTAAATATACATGGAATGATGGTAAAATATATACAGGAAATTGGTTAAATAATAAAATGAATGGATATGGTGAAACAATATGGCCAGATGGAAAAAGTTATAAAGGATATTATTTAGATGATAAAAAACATGGGCAAGGTGTCTTTTCTTGGAATAACGGAAAAAGATATGAAGGAGAATGGTCTATGGGAAAATAAAATGGAAAAGGTGTAATTATAACTGAAACTGGAGAAAGAAAAGGTGGAATATGGGAAAATGGTAGAAGAATTAAAATAGAAGGAGAAAATGATTAAACAGCTGAAGGAGAAACCTGAACATATTAATTTTTAATTCTCATAATTTTCTTATTCTTTTACAAATCTTTATTTTATCAAGAAGAAAGGTTTCAAGATTCATTTTAATATTAAAACTATCAAATCTAAATTATATCAAAAATTATACCATTACTATTATATATTTAGAGATTGAAACTAAGATTAATAAAATTGTATTTATATAATTGTTTTAGATATATATATAATTCAAATCAACATTAATAGAGTAATGAACCCTGCTAATATGTAACCATTTGAAGAACTGTCACCTGGACTATCCTTGCAATCATTACTTTAAAATCCATTTGCTTATGTTTCCTCTTCACATGTAGGACATGTTTCTTTTCCTTCAGCCTTAATACAAGTGATTTCGTCAGTTTCACCTGTTACTGGATCATAAGTGGTTTAAACCAAAAGTCTTCTTCCTCCTGTTTAATTATCTGATAAAGTAGAGGTAACTCTAATAGTGACTGAACTCCAAGCAATTTCAGCCTTTAATTAAATTATAACTTATCCTTTTGTATTATTATTCACANGGAATTCGGAAAAAACTTCCTCGAATAAATATGCTTAATGGAGGTTATTATGAAGGGGAGTGGTTCAATTGTATGAGGGATGGCTTTGGATTGCATGTAATATTGAAAAATTGATTAGAGTGTTGGGCTGATGGAGGTTTTTATCAAGGGGAATGGAAAGTTGATAAAGCTGAAGGCAAAGGGAAATTAGGTATATTCATTATTATTAGCATTTTTAGTTCATGGAGATGGAGATATTTATGAAGGTTAATGGGCAAATGATATGGCTAATGGAGTAGGTACTTATGTACATGCTGGTGGTGCTAAATACGAAGGCGAGTGGTTGAATGATTAGTAGCATGGAAAAGGAGTAGAAGTTTGGCCTGATGGCTCTAAATATGAAGTATTGAAATCTCTAATTATGAAGGGAATGTATACTTTTGGAAAAAAAAATGGAAAGGGAAAACTTTAATTTGCAGATAATAGTATCTACGAGGGAGATTTTTTAGATAATGAAATAAGTGGGTTTGGTAAATATACATGGAATGATGGTAAAATATATACAGGAAATTGGTTAAATAATAAAATGAATGGATATGGTGAAACAATATGGCCAGATGGAAAAAGTTATAAAGGATATTATTTAGATGATAAAAAACATGGGCAAGGTGTCTTTTCTTGGAATAACGGAAAAAGATATGAAGGAGAATGGTCTATGGGAAAATAAAATGGAAAAGGTGTAATTATAACTGAAACTGGAGAAAGAAAAGGTGGAATATGGGAAAATGGTAGAAGAATTAAAATAGAAGGAGAAAATGATTAAACAGCTGAAGGAGAAACCTGAACATATTAATTTTTAATTCTCATAATTTTCTTATTCTTTTACAAATCTTTATTTTATCAAGAAGAAAGGTTTCAAGATTCATTTTAATATTAAAACTATCAAATCTAAATTATATCAAAAATTATACCATTACTATTATATATTTAGAGATTGAAACTAAGATTAATAAAATTGTATTTATATAATTGTTTTAGATATATATATAATTCAAATCAACATTAATAGAGTAATGAACCCTGCTAATATGTAACCATTTGAAGAACTGTCACCTGGACTATCCTTGCAATCATTACTTTAAAATCCATTTGCTTATGTTTCCTCTTCACATGTAGGACATGTTTCTTTTCCTTCAGCCTTAATACAAGTGATTTCGTCAGTTTCACCTGTTACTGGATCATAAGTGGTTTAAACCAAAAGTCTTCTTCCTCCTGTTTAATTATCTGATAAAGTAGAGGTAACTCTAATAGTGACTGAACTCCAAGCAATTTCAGCCTTTAATTAAATTATAACTTATCCTTTTGTATTATTATTCACACTGATTATCGTTGCTTTCTTATTCAATCCATTACCAGTATACCAAACCTCTGTTCCAGTCAGATAGTAGTTCATACCAGCAGTGGTAACTACTTATTATAAAACAAATTGATCATTCAAATGTAGATCAGGTGTTGAAAATTAGGTACATTTTAAATCAGTGCACCATTTTAATATAGTGTCAGCTTTTGCATTGCAAGCTTAATTTGGAGCACAACCTAATGTGGATGTCTAACTTAATGGTTTGAATGAAGTGTCTACTGAAGCACCACTTGCTCTATCAACAGTGACTGAGAATTCAAAATAGAAAGTATATTAGACTTCATTAGTACCTGCAGCATAATAAGCAACAGCATAGTAGCCTTTGTAGATGAATTATGCGCTGTTAGTGGTCTATACTAATCTAGTTGCTAATTGATCTCCTGGAATAGTAAATGAATAATATCTCCATTATTTTTAGAAATTGTTTGATGGTGTTATGGGTAAATCTGTTACTTAAACTGGATCAGAATAAGCATTTGAAGTGAATTTCCAAAGTTTAAGATCAAGACATGTGGTGGCTGCTGTCTTTCCATCTTCTTAAACAAGTCCAAAATATGTAGCATCATTAAAGAGATCTACATCTGAGTATCTAAGGTTGACCTTGACGTTTGTTGTGCCTGTAACAAACTATACGTCTCCTGTAAAGGCCAATTTGGTTGCTCCTGTTCCATCAGGATTATTGGCTGTTCCAAATTTTTCTAAGTATTTGTTACAGTTTTGATCGTTAAAACTGAGTCTTTAGCTTAAGCCAAGTGCCATTAAGAATGCTACAATGATTATTGTTTTCATTTTAATTAAATTATTGATTTTGCTGAAACATTTACGTGAATTTAAAAACACAAAAATAATTCTACTAAATATAATTCTACTAATTATAATATTTAAATTTTTAAATTCTTATCAAATATATAAATTAATTTCTTTAATAATTTATTTTATTCTTTTATTTTGATCTAATGAATATTTCATTAATTTCTTATTTATCATGATATTAGTATTTTAGATTAAAGAATTCCTTGCGATCAGTGCATTTGATCCTTTTTAGTGACACTTGGAATTCCTTAAACAAGAAGAATTTCAAGAAAGCATACTGAAAGATTTTGGATAACCTGATTATCTAGGTATTCCTGCAACAATGTTTTTTCTTATTTTTTATTAAGTAAGTTAATTCACTCTACAAACTTAAAAACTTTAGAAAAGGAAAGTTTAGTTTTAAATACAATGATAATTGATAATTTTAATATCATTCAATATATAAAATAGGTTTTATTCTTATATATATACAAGACCTTATAAAAATAGTAATAATTCTTTCAACGTTTACAAAGAAATTTGTTATAATTTAAAATAAAGAAACCTTTTAAAAGCTAAAAGAAAGCAGAAAGTAGTGTCTTTCGAAATAGTTGAACTAAGCCACCTTCTAAAATATTTAAATAAAGATCTATGTATTGTGATAGATTTGGAAATGGTTATTATCTGGGCGCTTTTATCTCTATCAGAATGATTCCTTTTAAGAAAATGAACCCAGTTATACCTTTATAAATTTCCATAAGTATTAGAAAGCTATATTGATAAAAATAGTAAATTATTGAATTGTTGGAAATGCAAAAATAATTCTAGGAGAAATAGGGGACTTCCAGCTTATTTCAGATAATAGACAGCGATTTATAAAAGTAAGAGAGTGAAGAAAATGTTATCGATTGTTAGTGACTTACATTAACCTCCATATTATCCCTAACTAAATCCAATATAAAGGATATTGGAAGAGTTTAAAAAGCAAAATCACAAGGAAGGCTTGGTGTGCTATAATTACTTATGTTACAAGCTTTATGAGCGTTTAATTAGATTAAAATAGCAAGAGTTACTATATTATTGAATTTGAAGAAAGAATATTTATTTATAACTCCACAATTTTGGATTAACAATTAGTCAAGTAAATTTTTTTTATAAGACAATGTTGATTTAGAAAAGAATTTAAATTATTTAAAAAAAATCAATAATACATGTTGGTTGTGTACAAATAATAAAGTAAATGGAAACAATATGGTCATATAGAAAAGTTATAAAGGATAATATTTAGATCATCAAATTGCAAAGGTGTATAGAAATAGAAAAGCTAAAATATGGATATATTTTAGAAGAGTTTAAAAAAAAGAAGAAAATGATTAAACAGCTGAAGGAGAAACCTGAACATATTAATTTTTAATTCTCATAATTTTCTTATACTTTTACAAATCTTTATTTTATCAAGAAGAAAGGTTTCAAGATTCATTTTAATATTAAAACTAATAAACTTAAATTATATAATTACTATTCTATATTTTGATAACTAAATCAAAATTAATAATTTTTTTTTATTATAAATGTATTAGATACATATATATATATATATGATTCAAAACATTAATAGAGTAATGAATCCTGCTAATATATAACCATTCGAAGTAGCATCAGAACATACTGGACAACCATCTTCAGCAAAACCTTAAGCTGAACACTCCTCTTCACATTTAGGACATATTTCTTTTCCTTCAGCCTTAATACAAGTGATTTCGTCAGTTTCACCTGTTACTGGATCATAAGTGGTTTAAACCAAAAGTCTTCTTCCTCCAGCTTAGGTATCAGATAAAGTAGAGGTAACTCTAATAGTGACTGAACTCCAAGCAATTTCAGCCCTTAATTAAATTATAGCTTATCCTTTTGTATTATTATTCACAGAAGTTATTGTTGCTTTCTTATTCAATCCATTACCAGTATACCAAACCTCAGTTCCAGTCAAATAGTAGTTCATACCTGCAGTGGTAACTACTTATTATAAGACGAATTGATCATTTAAATGTAGATCAGGTGTTGCAAATGAAGTACATGTTAAATCAGTACACCATTTTAAAACTGGAGCACAAACTACTGTGGCTTTCTAACTTAATGGTTTAAATGAAGTGTCTACTGCAGCACCAGTTGCTCTATCAACAGTCACAGAGAATTCAAAATAGAAAGTATAGTAAACTTAATCAGTACCTGCAGCGTAATAAGCAATAGCATAAAAGCCTTTGTAAATGAATTGATTAGTATTTTATGTCTTTAATAATCTTTTTGCTAAATCTGCCTTTGGAATGTTGAATGAATAGTATCGCCATTATTTTTGGAAATCTGGTGTTATTGGCAAATCAGTAACTTCAACTGGATCAGAATAAGAATTTGAAGTAAACTTCCATAGTTTAAGGTCGAGGCATGGGGTCGTTGTTGTTTTTCCATCCACCTAAGTAATACTGGAATTTGTGTCATCATTAATGAGATCCAGATTAGAATATTTTAGGTTTATTTTAACATCTGTTGATCCTGAGACAAAGGCTATATCTCCTGTTAAAGCCAATTTTGTTGCCTTAGGGCCATCAGGACTATTGGCTGTTCCAAATTTTTCTAAATATTTATTGCATATTAGGTCATTGATACCGCTGACTATTTAGCTTAATCAAAAGGCAATTAAGGATGTTAAAATTATTAAGGTTTTCATTTAAATTGATATAATTCCATGATCTATTCATAAACCAGACTAAAAACATAATTTTTAATCTTTTCTATACTTTATTCTATTTGACTACGATCAATTTTAATTCTATATAAATTTGTAATTTTTATTTCCGAGAATTATGAACATATATAAAAATTTGAGATTTGTCATGTGGAACTGTTGCATAACTAATTTTTTAAACTAATTAGAAATCATCTCTAAATGCCCTTACTTTAAATCTAAACAATTAAAATCCTTGCCTCCTTTATCGGTAATTGAAACTTAATAATTATAAAAAATGATGCCTAAAGACAAATCTATTAAAAAAAATAAGATATCAAATAAACTAAAAGATAATTATGTGAAGAGAGGTTAAAATGCCATTCAATAAATGCTGCCTTGATATTGTATTGAACCCTCTTTTCAAGTTTCTTGAGTTAAGATTTGCAAAATAAACAATAGGATTATTTAAGTAAACTTAGATTACCCTCTTAAATGAGCTTAAATAAATGTTATATAAGTTATTAAAAAACAATAAAAGGAGCAAAAGAAGAGTGATAAATTAGAAATTTTATTCGTAGATTTTTCAAATACTTATAACACAGTTAAAAGGCAAAAACAAATTTTTGTCATGATTAATACATATTATTGAAATTCATCTATGTAAACCTTCTTTTCCTTTTATCACTTTCTGTTTTCCATATTCTAAGTATATTTACTATATTACTGATTGCATTTTAATAGTTTAAAGGAAGACAAAATTTTCTCAGAATTTTTTCTACAAAATTCTTTTATATCATTTTGCTTCTAATTTATTATAATAGTAAATAATAATAATATAGTAGAAAAATGAAGAATTATTATATAATTTTATGGAGCCAATAATATTAATAAATGTTAATCAATTACTGTAATACAGATTGATTCTATCTATTTATATGAATAAAATAGGAGAAACTTAGAGAAACTTTTTTATAAATAAAATGATTATTGATTATAAAAATTTTTATATAATAATAAATATATAAAATTTAGAGATCATAATATTGATATGAAGTTAAATTCTATTTGGATTGGATGGTGAGGAAAATCTTAAAAACAAAAATTTTAAAGTCAAAGTTCAGAAAAAAAGTAAAAAATCGTTGATTATAGAATGTTTTTTAAATAGAATAAAGCATAAAAAAAATTAAAAATATAGGTTTTTAACCTGATTTATAATTAGAGTATTGAATTAATTTAATTAAAATGAAAACAATAATCATAATATCATTCTTAGTGGCACTTGGCTTAAGCTAAAGACTTAGTATCAACGACCAAAATTGCAATAAGTATACAGAAAAATTCGGTACTGCAAATAATCCTGATGGAACAGGAGCAACCAAATTGGCTTTCACCGGAGACGTATAGTTTGTTTCAGGAACAACAAACGTCAAGGTCAACCTTAGATACTCAGATGTGGATCTCTTTAATGATCCTACATATTTTGGCCTTGTTTAAGAAGATGGAAAAACAGCCGCCTAGACATGTCTTGATCTTAAACTATGGAAATTCACTTCAAATGCTTATTCTGATCCAGTTTAAGTAACAGATTTACCCATAACACCATCAAACAATTTCTAAAAATAATGGAGATATTATTCATTTACTATTCCAGGAGATCAATTAGCAACTAGATTAGTATAGACAAAGAATGCTAATTAATTCATTTACAAAGGCTACTATGCTGTTGCTTATTATGCTGCAGGTACTAATGAAGTCTAATATACATTTTATTTTGAATTCTCAGTAACTGTTGATAGAGCAAGTGGTGCTTCAGTAGACACTTCATTCAAACCATTAAGTTAGACATCCACAATAAATTGTGCTGTAAATGGAGGTAGCTGTACTGCAAAAGCTGACACTATATTAAAATGGTGTACTGATTTAACATGTACTTCATTTGCAACACCTGACTTACATTTAAATGATCAATTTGTTTTATAATAATTAGTTACCACTGCAGGTATGAACTACTATTTGACTGGAACTGAGGTTTGGTATACTGGTAATGGATTGAATAAGAAAGCAACAATAACTTCTGTTAATAATAATACAAAAGGATAAGCTATAATTTAATTGAAGGCTGAAATTGCTTGGAGTTCAGTCACTATTAGAGTTACCTCTACTTTATCTGATACCTAAGCTGGAGGAAGAAGACTTTTGGTTTAAACCACTTATGATCCAGTATCAGGTGAAACTGATGAAATCACTTGTATTAAGGCTGAAGGAAAATAAACATGTCCTACATGTGAAGAGGAGTGTTCAGCTTAAGGTTTTGCTAAAGATGGCTGTCCAGAATGCTCATCATCATAATTAATAGCATTTGTGTTCTTGGCCCTAATGTTAGCATTTACAATTTGATTTTTTAATATATGTTCAATCCATCAAAATTATATTAATTTAAATAGGACTCCTCATTTTCAAATTTCATAAAACTTACTATTCCTTTATGATAGAAAATTGAGATAAAAAATGCAATATATATTTATGCTAGTTCACCTAAACAAAAATCTAATTAAATAGATCTTTATTTTTAAATAATTAAATATTTGACTTAATTATATCTGTGGTTTTGTATATTATAAATCACCATAGTTAAAGTATGAATAAAAAATAATCAAGCAAATGATTTTAGTGTAAAATTATACAAAGAATCAATTATAAACTTTAAGATATTAGTAAATTAGAGTACATAACCGAGGACTATATTATACTCAAAGAATTGGCTATATATTAAAATTTGTTGTAATAATTTGTAATAGTTTTCAAAATAAAATACTTTTCTACACTTATGGTCAGCTAACAAGGAAACAAAAATCAAAATATAAGATTTATAAATACTATCTTTTAACCTAATGTCATTATGATAAAATTAAGCAAGCTAACATAAGCAAATCTCTGATACTCTTAGTTAGATATCTTCATCTAAATCTATAATTTAACATACTCTGAGTATCGTGATTGAGAATAAATTTATGTATATTTTATATTCATCGAAAATTTATTGTAGTTATTCCGTACCTAATTAGATAAGATTAAAATTAAGGATAATCGATCACTAAAGATCTAGTGAATTTATTAAAATTGTTTATATATAAGAAAATGCATTCTAATCCAATTTTTGTTTTCATATTTTTAAAAGCATTATCAGATAAGTTGGTAAAGAGATTTAAAGAAAGGTTTAATTATCTCACAAGTTTTCATTATTTAATAAAGTAATACTAGATTACACTAAAAATGCTGAAATACTATTTAAATTGACTAATTTAGTTTAGTTGTCTAATGGATAAACTTCTTTAAGTACTGATAAATATTTCATGAGTCTAATTGATTAGATGATGAGGTTCAATTTTGGCAATACATCTTCTTAAATTAGTTTATAGGATGAATAATTATTAGTCTCAATCCCTTTAAAAGTACTAATGTTTCCCTTCTTATTTAAATTATCCAAAATATTTAATCATTCTTTAAATACCTTTATTTGAAAGGTATATTATTATGTCCTCGGGAGATTTCATCACTAAAGATTACATGCATTATTTTAAATTAATATTTTCATTTTTTTTCTTTCTAAATCAATCCATCCTATTAGACTTAGAAAGGATTATTGATTAAGGAATTTATCTTATTCTAGAAAGATCTTATTCTAAATCTAACAGAGCTTTTTTTTCATAATTAGTAAATTTTTGTTTTGTTTTGTTATTGATTTTTTTTCAGCCATTTGTTAATGAATGGTCTTGTAATATTTTAATATTTTCTTCTTTCTAAAGAGTTATCTAAGGATTTCAAAAAACTTAAATATTCATAATATAATTACATTGATTAATATGATGCGAGTCCATTTAATTTATCTATTTGTAATCAGATCAGAATTTATTCTTCTCTCCATTATATTATTGTAAACTTCTATTTGTTAATGAAGATCATTATTGACACTGAAAGGAAACAGGAATTTAGATAAATTAGATTTTTTAAATATATTTTAATAGAAATTATAAATGATTATGAGATAATATTCAATCAATATAATCACCTCAACTTTCTGATATCTAATAATTCTTTCATAATTCAACCATCCTTGAAATGAGTGTAATCCCTCTCAAGGTTGGGAAAGCCTCTAATATTTCTTAGAATTAAATATATACTATAAATGAAAATATTTTATTAATAATGATGTGATTAACTAATACTAATTAGTATTATTCATAAATAAGTATTCCCTTAGCAATATTTTTATTCATTTTACTTAATTTTCTTGAGTTAATTTGATGAGGTTAGATAAATGAAACTTAATTATTAGAATATATCAAAGGATAAGATATTCCTTATGCTGGATTGGGGAAAATAAATAAACGAATAATAAATCAGCCATTTTTTTAATAATCAAATAGCAATTACAACATTCTGTTTGCAAACAGGACAGTTATTATGCTACAATAACCAATTTTTGATGCATTTAGAATGGTAATAATGGTTACACCCCAGTTTTCGATACTTTTCACCTATCTCCATGTTGCATTGACAAACTGGACATATTCCTTAGATATTATCACTTTATTGAATAACTCTTTTACGAATTCTTCTGATATCCTCTCTAGCTATACCATTTGACACAGTTCTATAAAATAATATCAATTATAATATACCCCATCTATTCTTCCAATTATAGCAATTATTCATAACTCATATTGTCTACATCAATAGCTTGAGTTTAATATTATCGTAATCTAGATTATTGTTGTAGAAGTGGCAAAACTTGTGCTGTCATTCTTAGTTATAATAGAAGTGCCCTCATTTCTAATAATTATTGAAATGGATCATGTTAATGTTATTGATGTTATTATTAAATTTCTTAACATTTTTTTTTGTAATCTTACTTCTTACTTTTCAATTTAAGAATTAGGTCTTTTTATTATTTTATTTCTTTATCTTTATTATCAATTTTCTAAATAAAATAATCAATTTCTTCTTCTCTTTTCTTAAGTTCTCTTTCTAATTCTTTAGTTAGCTATGAGAATAATAAGAATTATACCTCACTCATTTTTGAAATTTTTTTATCATATTCTTAACACTTATCTTTTAATTATTACCTTAGTTGTTCATTTTCATTCAATAGTTTTTTTTATTCATCCTTACTAAAAATACATTAACTATATCTATACCTATTTAGATTTGAAGTATTTTCTAATTAAGTTTGCTAAACTGGAACCTATTGAGGAATCTTACACATAGGTTTTTATGGAACTAAATTGAAATATTCAATTTTACTTGTTTCAATCTTTGTTTTTTACATTACTGTAGACCTACGAATAGTAAACTTCTTGTTTTATTGCATTGATTTACTAATATATATATTTTATTTATAATTGTTTTTATGTTTAAAATATAGATTTATATTTATATTTTAGATTTGAAAACTTCACAAAATGGAGCAAAATATAGTATTTGATAACAAATTGAGAAATATCTATAAAACAGATCACATATTTGATAAAATTAATTATATTGGATATGATATGATCACATATATATTTATTATGTGATTCTTAGTCTATCATTATGAAGCTTTGAGACAAGTTTTTAATGATTTAATTAAAAGGAATATATGATTAAAAGATGACTTAAAATTAGATAGTTAAAAGAAATGGATTTAAAATAAATAAATTTTTGATTAATAATTTAAGAGAGTCTTGAAATAATAGAAAATTATTAGGATTATTATAATAATAAAAATTAATTGATTAATTATTTATATATGGGATTTCATAATTAATTAGGTAGGATAGATATGATTACATCTGCAATTTTATTGAATTTTTCAAGTTGATACTTTCTTCTGATTGCAGTCATGTTGAAACTTTTTAAAAGTGAAATGACAGGTAGGAATTCGGATAAACATTGTCTTAATTCCTCTTAGTCTTCAATATAATGCAAAGATGAGGGCAAAACTTATGGAGATCTTAACATATTGATGGCTAGAAGTATGGATGTGGTGGCTAATAATGATGAAGAAAATCTAATAAAAAATTATGATAATATGGTTACTTTAAACATTTAATGTCTAATAAGGACAATTCTAGAATCATGCGAGATGCATAATTAATTTTATCACATAGGTTAGCTGCTTGTATTTATCGTTCTAAGAATTTTAATGGTGAAGTGTATGTTAAATTGAATTAGATTGTCAATAGGATTTTACTTTCCATGTCTATATATATATATGAATTTAGAAATACCTAAGATTTCTTCTTTAGTGTAAGCATTGTCACAAACATGTACAAAATCCTTCAATTCAGGTGCATAGATCTCTTCAAATTTAGATGATATGAATAAAGATGCAATTCCAACCAATTGTAGTTTATTTCTCATAATTGTATTCTTTGATAAATAACGATCTATAAGATTAATGGTTAAATAGAGTGTTTCAGATTATAACTTAAATTTGAGATGTACATCAACTAGCCAATCTATTAAAATTGAACGCATTTGATTTGTGATATCCAATTATAAATTCATATAAAATGGAGTCTAGCACATAAAGTTATGTTGATGGACACATAGGTATTCAAATATATCACCAATATATGGGTTTACCAATTCTGGAGGTATTGTTTCCTCTTCTATTTTGAGTATGGGCTTTGAACATATGAATTAAGAAGCAGAACGAGTTGGTAATCGTTAAATGTTAGTGAGTTCATTTCCAAATTATCTATTGCGTGTAGTCATAAAGTTATTATATGAGACTCTCACATAATTGTTCTCGTTGTTCTGCTTCATTAATATTTAAATTAACTGTTATAATTAAAAATTTTCATAATATATCCTTTTTCATATATTTTCATAAACTCAACTCCCCATTTTTAAAGAAGTATACTTAGACGAATGAGGCATTCTTCTCTTGAACAGTCTTGAAATTATATATCAAAGCCTTATTCAATTATTCTGCATTAAATTAATGATTATTTAATCTAGCTTAATTTACAAAAGCATCAATATGATTGGCTGATACCTTAACAGCCAAATAACTATGAGGAGCTGAAACTTTCCATTCAAAGATATTCTTCTCTGGATGATATTATACACCATATACTGGATATTATTTTCCTTACATAGAAGCAATAAAGGTTTAACCCTTAATATCCTAATTGGTTCCAGTGATTCTAAAGAATGCATCCAAAGAAGGATACTTTTTATATAAGTCTGGACTCACACCCCAATTATGACTGTAATATAAATATTGATTAGTTTGCATTGCTTAATAAGTGTCGTCATCGAAATCCTTATATAATGAAAAATTTCTATCTCCATTTTCTAATGAATGACTAATACCATTCTCTCCATAAACTCTATAAAGGAAGGGAGTTTTGTATCCTGAAATAATATAATGCAAAGTTTAGAATCCCATGCAAATACCAAGAACAGGAAATACTTCACCAGCTTCATTCATTTAAAGTGCTCTATTTAACATATAAGCAACAGCCTTGGTAAATTTGGATGGTCCAGTTGGAGTATCAAGTTCAGAAGCACCTCCTGGAATGATAATACCATTAATGCCTTAAAAGTATTTTTCTAAAATGGTATTATCAGCTTCATATGGAATTGGTACAACTCTAGCACCAGCCATTTCAACAAATTTGACATATGATGCAGCCAAATAAGAATATTAACTAGATGGGTAATCAATATAGTCTGGATCTGATGGTTGAGTAAATATTCCAATAACAACATTATTATTGATTTCTGTCAGATATTCAATGTCATCTATGAAATTTGATTAGCTCAAAAATAATAGACAAGATAATAATAGCAATATTCTTGGCATTTATTATAATATTTAATAAAATTTTATAATTATATTGTGTTATTAATCATAGGAATATAAGTGTTTAAATAAGAGTAGTAATTTATTATTTAGAATTTAAATAATGTTAATATTGATTTATTATTAATATGAGTGTTTGGTGTGAAACTTTTTAATATAAAAATTATAATTAATTAAGTAAATCATTTATAGGCATCTGCATCCGGCTGAATTTACTTTAGTTAGACACCCGACTATTAGAGTTTGATAAGATGGTTCCCTCTTTAGGATGCAAATCTTTATGAGAGTTCATATAATTCTATTTTCTTTTGGTCCAGTTGAGATTTTAATTATCTTTAATCTTATTCCAATCTTTCTATTAAGGCATCTCTCTCTCTTATTATTAATTCGAAAGTGGCATCTGTTATTATATATTATTAACTGCTCTATTGTGTATCCTACATTATTTTAGACTATATCAAAATGATTCCCTTACTTAAGGTTTCTCTTAATTATCAATGTCTCTTTGTTTCGATGATCTTTTGATAGGTTATGACTTATCCATTTAATATATTAATAATTTTTATATATTTAATGTTCAATAATCCATACCCAAACCCTATGTTCAATAATCAGTATTTCGAATTGATTAGAGATAATTAGCAATTTCAACCTTAAAAAGAGTCTACTCACTCCCTTTATGTTGATGGTAAAATCTTAAATAATAAATATAATAGGAATTCCAAATGATGCACAAGAACGAGAAGTAGCACGTATCAAATCTAAATATTATTTAGATATTTTTCGTCCTTATCCAGGGTTCCAAAGAGTACGTTTAATTAAAAAGTAAACACAAAAGGGAAGAGAATATTTGCTCTGCTTTGTAGATTTTGATGATGCCCTTCAAGCTACTATTGTAATGCAGACTCTTCAAGTTATCATAAAGCATTATAATATCTTAGGGATATCGTTTTGATAAAAATGACAAGACAGGCCTTAAAATTTATTTTGCTAATAACCCAAAATAAGAGAAGTAAAATAAAAAATGACATACTAAAGTATATAATGAGTAATTTATTATCATACCATCAAACTCCTCTTCTTTAATATACAACCTATTTATTCAATTAAAAAAATGCCATAAATAAATTACTTATTCCTCTAGAGATGGTAAAAGTCAGATTCTTTAAATCTTTACTCTAAATTCAAATCTATTAATTCTAATCAAAATTTCTAGCATTTTTAAAGAGAAAGAGGTATCTCATTTATAATTGAAACTGTGAATAATTTTATTTGACATTTATTACACACAATTTTCGATGTTAATATATGATTTATTAAAATTTGATAACAGATTCTTTATAGATTTAGGCTTATATTCAATTTTAACAACTATTTTAGTTAATATCTACTTCTCAATCGATCCATCTTAACTCAACTTAAAATTTTACATACATAAATTTAAACACTATTATTGGTGAATTAAAATATCAACAATCTTCAAAGTGGAAATTCATATTTATTGTTTTTAATATAATTATGAAAAATAAAAAACATAAGAAATTAACTTCCATTTTTCTTAACTTATTTAAAATTATAAAATTTAATAAACTTAATCTTTGTTTTAGAGAATACTTGATATATCTGTGTGTCGATTAATAATAAATATCTAAGTATTCTTGGTATAAATCAAATATATATATAAATATAGGCTGGATCATAACACTTAGACTTGAAATAGAATTTAAATTTCTGAAAAATTAGAATAAAAAGAACTTTTATATGAATAAAGTAATCTAAATTGAATATTAAATTTTTTAGCTTTTCTTATTAAGATTATCTTAAAATGATGTAATATATAAATAATAGTTATTGTTTTACATAATTAATCTAGAAAAAGATTATTTAATTATTATATATTTAATAATAAATATAGTATTTAAACAATTTATTTATATGGAGAGTTAATCAAATTTATTCAATATCATTCAATTAAATTGTTGATTATAAAATACATAAAAATAATATAATAATTATCATTACCTAAAAATTTAATATACTAAAAAATTTATTTTGATGCTTGTCTACTAAAACAATTACTACCTCTTTTTTTCATTTATAAATTAAACAACAATCACTTAATTATTATATTCTAAATCATTTTATTGTTTCTCCATATTATTTCATCAATTTTGTTGAATATTTTAAATATCCATATTATTATTTACATATTTACTATTATTTACATAACTAAATCTTCTAAGATGTGAGATTTTATTTATAGATTAGATATTTGATCAATTTAATGTAATCTTGAAACCTATTTTATTATTAAAAATCAATAATCATAATCTTAGGAATATAGAAAATATATGTCTATTATTAATTTAATTATGGATTTCAATTATGATGAATTCGGATCTAATTAATTAAAAAGGATTAAATCTCATTTCAATTAAATTATCATAATATTATTACAAATGAACTCATAATTACAGTTAAACAAACCATTCAAACCCAAAGGAGATATTGAGGATGTTCAAATCAGAGATCTTTCAGTATAGTTTAAAGCACAAAATTAAGTCTGTAAATTTAAAAGAACTTAAAGAGTCGACTTTATATCAACATTTTACACTGGCAACGTACCTTCATCATCTAAAACACCTACCAAAGGAATACTTAAATATTGATTTAATTACTATCCTTATTACTAATATAAATTGACATCTTCAAATATTTGATGATTACTACTAAGTTTTCTCATTCGGATTTTCTTTTTTTCTTATAGAATATTTGAAATATTCCATAATTTCTATTTATATTTTAATCACAACTAAAACTTTTTAGATTTAAAGTATTATATATATCGAATATATTCAAATAATTCTAAGAATGAGTATATTTATATTATTGATTTATGATTTAAAAAACTTAATTGTGAACAAACGAATTTCAAATATATTTTAATATAATTTATTTAATACTCCTTGATCAAACAATAAAGGTTATTTTAATAAATTCATAAGCACAATACTCTTTGATATCCATAAATTGAAATTTGTTATTAAAATAATGGTAAAAACATACTCTTTGTAAAGAACAAAATGATAATTAAAATTTAATTATAATTCTCATGAGTAATTATATACCTGAGACAAAAACTATTGGAAAATTTGATCCACTTATATAAAACAATTATGATAAAGTTATCACATAATTAGGATAATTGCAATAATATTATGCTTTGGTTAGTTATGATTGAAAAATCTGACTATTTGGTAGCATATCATATAAAAAATCAGAAATCCATTGATTTATTCAAATACTTATCAGAAAGATAGCTATTTCATGTTAATTGTTTATGGATGGTAATTATATTAGATTTTCTCATGGAATTTAGATGCTAAGAAAGATTCTAATGAAAATTAAAATATTTATTAACTTTTATAGACTTACTAAATCAAATACCAAAGTTTCCTAAAGAGAATTATCAATTACTAAGAAATTAGGCTTGACTTAGATGAAATAAATAATATAAATAAAAAACCATCACCAATATGTTCTGGCATATAAATAAAAATCATGATAACATAGTCCTAAACCAATCACTAGTGCTCCACCAACACTATGAGAGAATGCATAAAATGTTCTTCCTCCACTGAGACCTCCATGTATGATACCTCCAAATAATCCAAGAAGAGCACCCCATCTAAATGTAACAGGCATTTTGTATTTCAATTTTCTCTCAATTCTTCTTCTTTCCTACTCTGAATTATCCATAATTAATTTTATAATATATATAATTATTTTAAAATGGGCAATTACTATGTCATTAAAAGGATACTTATTCTATTATTCATTAAAATGATGAATCCATTTGTATAAGAATATATTATTGTGATAAGTACATGTTTCAATAATTATTCTTATAAAAAAATTGTATTTTACAAAGTTTAAATTGATAATAAAATTAATAAATAGGGTTCTATAAGATTCCATTTATCAATGCTTAAGGTCTTTTTAAAACATTAATTAAATTGATCAATAGATATATTATATAGTATGTGGATGAAATTAAAAAAACTTAGAATAAAATTCATAGTTTTATATAAATTGTAAAAATGAATCAAAGTTTATTTATATCTAATATCAATTAATTCTATAATTATTGTAAATATAAGTAATATTAAATTAATATAAGTTTACACAAGATAGATATTTATAATTGATGAACATTTATAAAGTAGTATATGAAAAAATGGAGATTTTAAGAAATGACATTAGAACTTGTTTTAATTGTTATTTAAAATGTGTTATTAAAATTTAATAATACTCAATTTTTTTCTGACTATTTCTTTTCTTCCATATATTTTTAAACAAATTCTTTAACCATTTTTTCATATTAAGGTAAATCCTTTTCAAAAATTTTAGCTAATTCAGAATTTGTCGGTGATTTAGGATTAGGACGATAAAGGAAGTCTTCCAATGCTTTTAATATTTCTACACATGTTCTAGCAGGTGTATATCCAATTTTATCATTTAAAATGTCAATACAGGTTTTACCTGATAAATATATGTTCATATGCAAAAATCTATTTTTTGAGTATATCTTCCATGTATATATAGGGGATGTAGCAGGATAACCTAAAGGGAATTCCAAAATACCAGGGAATTCTCCTCCTTGCCAAATTGTATTTTCTCTTCCATATATAACAACATTCCATTTGGTATAGTTTGCAGAATTATTTTCATATTAGACTTAGACTGTCATGTTTTCAATAATGCCTTCATCAATGGCAGATTAGACATCTTCGAATTCTTTTTCCAATCTCTTAATCATCTAATCATTTATCATTATTATTATATTAATAGAAATTCAATTAAATCTTGATCATTTATAAGTAATGGAATTTCATGTGGAAATTTTACTTGATTGTTGATTTATTCTATTTCCCTCAAAGCTGTTTCAAGTGACTCATGGGATAACTAATAAATAATAGAATTATAATAATAAATTAATTTGAATTGATTAGCTTCATAATAGGAAACATTGAATTGATTATGAAATTTCTTATTTACTTATTATATTTATTTGATTATTTTAGTATGATGATGATCATATTGTGGTATTAAGATGATAAGAGTATTTTCATTATATTAAATGTATGGTTATGATGGAGATTTATTTTATTCTTTTTTGATGAATGAATATTTTTAATGAAAATGTTTGGAATCTAAATTTATGAAATCATTATAAAAAGTAAATATAGTTGTTAGATTATGTAAATCTCCATTATAAATAGCATTAGCATTTGAATCCATATTAAAAATTGTTAATTTAGTTTCTTAATCAAATTTTTCAATTCCTAACATCTATAATCTATCTTCATTTAAATTTCCATCAATCCATGCAAATCTTAAAGATGGTAATTATTGAGCAATCTTTTATATTTTAACTAAATAATTATTATTATCTTAAATTGAATCAATAACAATTAGAGCATGTCCTAAATAATATTTGGAATTCTCAAATTTCAATTCTTAAATTAATGGTAAAATTGGTTATGCTAATAAATCATCAACAAATTAATAATTATTTGGATATCTTGATATTAAAATATGGGAATAAGTATTATATTTTGAATAAATATTTTTAATTTCTTATTTTTACATTAAGAATCCAAATTTAATTCTATAATTAAAGAGCTTCTTACATTATTATGTAAAGACTTTAATTTCATCTTGATATTCAACTTAATCATAAAATAATCCAATAATATAAATGTCATATAATGATTGTTAATTATATTAATTATTAATGACAGTCTCTATTTCTTGGAAAGAGTGATATTGATGAAATTGTAATCCATTTAAGTAATAATGAACAAAGGAAATAAGTGTTTCATAGTTTAAAATATCATTATAATGATATATGACACCAGATTTGGTTTCCAGAAAGATTGCTGGAAATCGTTTTATTTGATATTGTTCAATGAATTAAGCATTATCTAATATTTGTTACATAGATAAATACCTTCTAATTCAATTCTTAAGAAATTTACTAATTTTGGGAGATCTTACAGTAATTATTTGAAAATGACTTCATGAATGCAACAAGCTTTGCATGCTTTATGAGTAGCAAGAAAGAGAGTAATCTAATATTTAGGATTGTTAATTGGCTTGGAAACTGAAAAATATGGTAATCCTGGGGAACAATTGCTAATCCTGAGATGTTGATTTAATTCTTTAGTAAAAATCAATGTGAAACAGATGAACAAAATCATTATTTATTTTAATTGATTCTTTTCTTTTGAATATTTTATGTTCTCTCTGTCAGTTGTTCAAAATATGGACTATGTTATTGATTTTTGAATTTCAATTTCTCTGAATACGGCTTAATCTAAATTGGAACAAGACGCTTATTTGATTTATAACGATCATATCGTTCTAATAAACCATCATGTGAAAGATCTCTTTCCATATGATTGACCCAACTGAAATCTAAATTGGGTTTAGATACATTTTATTATAATGGAGTAAATGACATTATTTATTCTTAGAGTTCTGTTATCTTTTTCTTAAACTCTTCAACTTATTATTTTAGTTATACTTCAGTAATTTGATATGTCTCATTTAATAAAGTTTGTCTTTATACTCTCTCTTTTAATAAAACAATCTAATTATCCTTCTCTTTAATTTAATCATTTAGATTTTGATTTTATTTCTACAAAAGCATAATTTCTTCCTCCAATTATGAGATTATTTATGAATCTAAATTTATTTATACAGATTCATCTTAAATTTGATTTGATTCTGTCAATCTACTCACTAATATTTGCTTCTCTTCAATACTTTCCTATTGTTAAACAATCGATTAATATAAAAATTGAGATTCAATATCTGATTCTTACATAAATATTTATAAACATTTTAAACCAAAGTAAAATACTTTTCTATGTTTATAACAATATATCTATAAATATATATATTAATTAATTCATGATTGTTCAAGACTCTTATTACTTTATATCTCTTCTGAAGCATTCTACAATGTAGTATAATCACCTTTCATAGCCATCATATAAGCAGAAGCACCTGCATGTATACTCATTTTCTTTATCAATTTCCTTTTTTCTTCAGCTGATTATGGTTTACCATCAGTAGACTTAAATGAACTTGTAGAAATGGGCTAAACAAATTTGTCAATGACTGCCATTGCCTTTTCAGTCTGACTAGTAGATTTTGGGATTATAACTATATATATATATAATAGTTTTATATACCTGACTGACTCACTTTTTCACTTCTTATAAATTCATGTTATTATTTTGATAGTTGATATTACATCTCATCATTACATGCTTACAAATTATTAACTTTGTTTTCAAGTGTTAACACTGTTTCTTTTAGTTCTGATATTAAAGTTTCTTTCTATTATAACTCTTCTTAATATTTTTAAATCAAATCAGTTTCATCAGGCATAGTTGGAAGATTGCAATTAGCTGATGATACAGAAACTTTGGATTCAGATAATTTATTTGGAGTCTCTGCTTAATTTAATTACATAATTAAGAATTCTCTTTTCCTTTTATAATAATTGCATCGTTTCTCTAGAAATCTATTTTTACCCATTAGTTTTTCAATCAATTCTTATTGATCAACCTCACATTAAACTTCAGGAATTGGATGTAGATTCATATACTTTTATATAAATTTTATTTTGTATTTAATTATTCACTATACTCTACTTTAATTCACCCCCTTATTAGATAAAAAAAGAAGATAATGATATTTGAAATCTTATTATATTAAATTGAATTTATTAATTTATACACTTTATCTATGTAATTCTATCAATATATATTCTGGTTTTTAAGTTTATTAGACATTTAATCAATCTATTAATCAATATGTTTATGGTATTTCTAATAAACTGGTTGAACAAACTTTAAATAATATTAAACAATCTTACTGCCTAATACACCTTCTCTGCCCCATTCAAAGAAGGATGGAAAAGAATAACAAACAAAGCCAATCTAATCACATGATAAAATGGAATAAATTCTAAAATAAATCCTATACTTGAATCTGCTAATGTAATAAGTGAAAATAATATCCAATAAGAAAGCCATTGTTTGTCATCAGTCTTCTCTAAAATCTCATATTTATAATATATACCGCCTGATTCTATTGCTTTAATGCTTCTATAGGCAGGATATATCATAGATACAAATGTAGACAAAAAACGTGCTGCAATTCCAAGTACAATACTAGCCAAGGAAACTACTCCACAAATAAACACAACATGAGCAGGACGAACCCCTATTTTTTTACATGGTCCCTTGAGTATTTCAATTTAATCCATGTTATCAAGTCCACACTTAGAAACGAAAGGGTCAAGTTTTTCTAATAAAATGTTCATTATATTAAAAATTTAATTTTTTCATATTTAATTCATTCACTTTTTATCGACCATCTAACTATTCTATCCAAATTATCATTTAATAATTTCTAAGCCTCTTAAACTCTATCCAATATAAATTGTCTATAATTATTAAGTAATTAAACCTATCATCATTTCTATCTTATAATTTTTAACCTACATCCTTTACTCCTTCCATCTTTACATTCAACTCATATTCCTAACTCTAATAATGAGCATCCAATTCTTAATATTATCTTGTACTCTCAGCAAAGGAACTTTAATGTTCAATTACACAAAATACTTTCTGATCTCTCCACTTAATTTATTATATAATCTAATATTCTCTTATTCCTTAACTTCATCTGCCTCTAAACTGTTAAGAACTGCATCTCTTAATTTGCTTAACAATTCCATTATTCTACCTATATATTCATTCCCCAAATGAGATGTTATCTAACCAATTTATTTACTATATTACTTAAGCTAAGACTTCTACATGCTTTCCTCTTCCCAATGCCTTTATCTCATCAAGTAAATTATCCTTCTCAATTAGACTATGTCCATCTTGAGACATTGCATTTAAACGCTATATCAATTAATCTATCAATTCTAAAATCACATTCTAATCTCCCAATCTCTTTTAATAAGCAAATTAATCATTCTCAAATAAACCTTCAATTATTTATTATTATTAGTTCAAAACTTTGATTCTTGCATTAATACTTTCTACTGACAATCTCAATTCCTCTACTTCATTTACCAATCCTTATAAACCAGATTCCTATTCTTATTATTTATCATTAAATATTTCTCATCTTCAGCTTGGTCATCAGATAAATAATTTCTTAGCTCTTCTACATGATCATTTAAATTTTATAAAGTTGCTCCCTTTTAAGCCATCATTAATAACTCAGCAAACAACCTACCACCGAATTCACTTGATTTCGCCTTTATACTGTTACACCAACATTCATACATATGTTTTGAACACTTCTGTAAATACTCCATGATCTGCTGTCTATAAAATTACATTTCTTGCTGTCATCAAAACTACACATAATAATCCAAGCACAAGTCTTCTCATACCCGTTTTTGATATAATGAATAAAAATCATTAAAATAACATTCCTCATTAATTGTTAGTATATTTTAATAAAATATATTATATTTACAATACTAAATATCAAATCTTTGAAGATTTATTGATTTCATTATATTTTCTTTCATACCTAGAAATAATAATTTAATATATATTATTAGTATTATCTAAAAAAATTTATAAACATTTTAATTAGACAAATATTTTATTTTCTAGATAAAAAATCTTATTAAATATAAGAATTTAAAATATCCTCTTAATCTATTATATTACTATATTAACATTTTGTTTTGATATTGAAATATTCTAATTCTATAATAAGATTCTCTTTTTATTAAAGATATAATTTATTAGAATGTATAAATATTAAGAATAATATAATGGACATATGAAATATTCATATAAGTTTTATTTAAAAATAGAATTCTAGAATATTTATTAAAAATTATATAAATATAATTTTTATAATATATATTTAGAATATATATATCAAATGATTTCACAAATTGTAATTTATAAATGTTAATGGCAAATATTAATTAACAAATTGTTTCATTTAATATTTTTGCTTTTTACATGGGTTTATGAAAAATTCTTTAATAGTATTTAAATTAAAATAAAATATTTGATATTGTAAAAGTGTTTTGATGGCAGAAATATTTGAAAAAGCAAAAAGAGCAACAGAATAATAAATTCAAATAGTAGAATATTCATGCGAGTAAGTATTTGAGAGATATAATTTAGGTACTGTTTATAATCTGATGTTAATGCAGTGGCATAATGTTTATAATGTAAAAGATGGTATTGTAATTGTGCAACACAAAGTGGTTCACATATAATTCTACATTTGATTAAGAGTAAGCATAATTAAATTAGTTTGCATGAATAAAACAAAGTGTAAATCACAACAATAGAGTGTTACATTTGTGAATAGAAAAATATGTTCACATTAGGATAAGTTAATGGTATTGATTAATTTAGATTAATTATAGTTAAATTAGAGGATGAGGAAAACATCTTGATTCTATGTCGAGGATGCCTTCCATAAAAATAATCAGATAAAATTACTTGGGATCCAAATGATTATTAGCCACTAATCAAAGATAGAAGTATTTAGGATTGGTTGTTGGGATAAGGAGAGAAAATAAATGTATATAATAATATAATAATAATATTAGTCTCGTTTAGTTACTTTGGATCGAATAAATCAATATGAAGAGGAAAGAAAGAATAAGCCAGGATTAAAATTTGAAGATTTTGATAAAAAAGGTCCAAATTAATCTTTGAAGGAGGTGTAATTAAGATATAGAGATGCTAATCATTATTAATAAGTATTTTCTCCATTGGTGAAATTGGAAGAAGATTAGGATAAATAAGTTAAAGAAGGATAAGTTTTATAAAGTGTAAAAGTGAAATGGGATTTAAGTTTAAAGAAAAAGAGATTGGCTTATTTCTTGTATGGAGGTAGAGAAGAATTTGATACAAATACTTTATAAGGAAATGAAATGTAATTAAGTTTAAAATCTGGAAATTCAATTTGGTAATCAAAGGGAACAGTTGTCAAAGTAATTAATAATGAGGAAATTTGTTTGGAATTACATTAAAATGATCCTCCACCTAATAATGCAGATGAAGGTTACACAGTAGAATGTATATGGGTGTCAACTACATTTAAAAGAATGTAAATGGGTTTAAAGACTTTTAATTTAAATGAGAGTTCAACTAGTAATTATATTTATAAAATGATTTTGGGAAGAATAGATACATTGGCTCCTCCAACAAAAATTGAAATAATACCTTAAAAGTTATCTGCTCCCAATCTACCTGATTTGAATGTGTATTAAGCAGATGCAGTTAAGAAAGCTTTAAAATCTCCTTTATCATTAATATAAGGACCACCAGGAACTGGTAAGACAGTTACAAGTGCAACTATTATATATCAATTAGTAAAGGCATTGGAAAAATAAAAATAAAGAGGATAAATTTTGGTTTGTGCACCTAGTAATATTGTGGTTGATTAATTGGCTGAGAAAATTAATAAAACAGGTGTTAAAGTAGTTAGATTATGTAGTAAAACAAGAGAAAGTGTTAGTACAACTATTGAATTTTTAACATTACATAATTAAGTGAGAAGTTTGGATATTCCATAATATCATTAATTATAAATGTTTTATGAATTACTTGATTAATAAGGAGAATTAGATTAAAAGGATGAATAAGTATTCATAAGAATGAGAGATGAAGCAGAAAAGGAAATTATTGAATAGGCTGATATTATATGTACTACATGTATTGGTTCAGCTGATAAAAGACTTAAAGATATGAGATTTCCATTTGTTTTAATTGATGAAGCAACTTAAGCAATAGAACCAGAATGTTTATTACCAATGATTAAGGGAGCTTAACATGTTATATTGGTAGGTGATCATAGACAATTGGGTCCAGTTGTATAAAGTAGAGAAGCAGCTTCAGTAGGTTTAGATAGAAGTTTATTTGAAAGATTGGTTCAATTAGGAATAAGACCTGTTAGATTGTAAGTATAATATCGTATGCATCCTGAATTAACAGTATTTCCATCTAATACATTCTATGAAGGTACATTATAGAATGGAGTTACTATAAGTGATAGAACACATGCTGGTAATTTTCCATGGCCAAATAAATAAAAGCCTATGGTATTTATTAATGTGTCAGGACAAGAATAATTATCAGCATCAGGCACTTCATATTTGAATACTCAAGAGGCTGTTGCTGTTGAATAAGCAGTTTATTATCTATATTAGAATACAGTAAAATTAAATAAAATTGGAGTTATCACTCCTTATAAAGGATAACGCACATATATAATTTCTTATCTATAAAAAAATGGATAATTACCTTATAATTAATACAGAGATATAGAAGTTGCTTCAGTAGATGGTTTTCAAGGTAGAGAAAAGGATTTCATTATTATATCTTGTGTCCGCTCAAATGATACACAAGGCATAGGTTTTTTGACAAATCCTAGAAGATTGAATGTTACAATCACTAGGGCCAGATTTGGATTGATAATCATTGGAAATGCAAGAGTATTATGCAAAGTATTTAATAAATTATATATATATAATAGGATAATCTATGGAATAATATGTTGAATCATTTTAAGGATTAAGATTTATTGATGGAAGGTTCATTGCCTAATCTTAAACCATGTCATATGAAATTTAGACCACCATAAAAGTTTATTCCAGAAAGACGTAATAATACAATGAATGGAGCTAATGATGACAAGAGTGTTTATTCTTATGCATAGACAGGTATATATTGTAATAAATTATTTAATAGATAATCTTAATTAATTTGATCATGATTTGGGTGATTTCCCATTAACAAAAGGGATAAGGAATAGTGAATTTGGATTCAATTTTATACCTGATACTTAAGCATTTATAAAAGTAGCTGATTAGAATGAAATAAGAAAAAATTAAGATTTAAAAGAGATAGATTAGGCTAATATAATAAATATTGGACAATATCCTTCATCAATAATGTAAATTGGAACATTCTAAAATGATTTATAATTAGATATTTGATCAAAAATGATTTGATCTAAGATTTGAAAATAAATATATTTTATTAATATTCTTGGTTGTTTATCATATTATTTATGATTTAATTAATAAATGATAATACATATCTGAATTGAATTTGACTATATTAATGAATCTAATTTAAATACAATTAAAGTTTCCTTAAATTATTTTCAAAATATTATAAATATGAATAATATTCATATTTAAGGGATTTTAATCATAATATAAATAATATCATTTTTTAAAGACTTTGATTTTTTTTTAAGAAGTAATTTGACTTTTTAATTCCATTACTGCTCTTCGAGGAGAATTCAATAAATAAACTGAGAATTTATTTTATTCTCGTTTAGAATTAATAGATGGTAATTTGACATGTTTTGAAGGCTTTGGAGAATTCATAACTCTAATTGTAGTACAAGATTAAACAAATTACTAGACTGTCTTATTTACATTAGAATGCATCATTCCTTCAGTAAGTTTTCGACTATGCATAGAATTATTTTTAATTTTTATTTTAGGAGTTGTGATTTATAATTATTTATCTTGTAAATGTTTTTAATTTTATTCTTCATCTGAACTTGTTTTGGATTCATTAATAATAATGTTGTTATAACTATTAAGCACAAAGCTGGGAGATTTGGTGAAATTGACAAATGATATCAAAGCAGCTTCATAAGTTTAAGAATTTAATGAATTTTCTAAAAAGCCTTTCGATAACTTAAGTTCATTGTTATAGAAAAATTCATATTTTATTTGCTGATCGTCTTTAGTTAAAAGTCTCTTGCCTTTTCTAATTGTTTGCTGTAATTCTTTTGTTATAGAAATTGTTTTAGCCTTTCTTAACTTAGGTGCATTCTAAATAATTATTGTATTATTTTCTGATTATCCAACATTTAAACTTGTAGAAGTAAGATAAGTCCCTTTTCTCCTTTACATTTTTCGTTTTCTTTTCTTACAATGATGAGCTCTTATGTATGTTTGAGGATGTTAAGCATTTTATCTTTCTTGAAAAGGTCCTACACCTCCACATTCAGAACATCTACAACTTTATCTTCTAAAAGGTTTGTTGGGTATTGATTTACCAATAGAAGGAGATAAAAAACTACGTTTCTTATATACCAACTATAATAATTCTTTTCTGCGAGATCTATTCATATATATATATAGAATAAATATATAATTTTATATTAAATCTATTTTACTTCAATTATGATTCTAAAAATAAAATTAGAAATGTTAGAAAACTAATTTGTTTGTAATTTAAAATAAAAAAAGATCTGATTATATATTTTATAGATATTAAACATTCAATCCCATAATCTTATTTTCATATCATCAATTTTAGTAATTATTGAATCATTATCTAAATGTCTTAAGATTTGATTAAATTGATTAGTTGATTCTGGTATTGTTGCTTCATCAGATTCAAAATGAAAAAATGGAATATCAATAAATTGTCTAAAATGAGGGTTTTCACAAACCAAAGGATTTTTTATCAATTCATTAAGATATTAGAGTAATAATGCACTTCTTTAATTTGGATTAACATTCTATTATAAAGCATTAGATTTTTATGGTAATAATGGTAAGAATTGGACCCTATATTATAATCAATATATAAATATACCTCTATTTTAATATACTATGTAATTCATCAAATTAAGAATATCTTTTAGATATAATGTGATATTAATTAAAGACATTATTATTTACAATTTAAAATTAATATTTAAAATATTTATCACCATTTTAATCTTAAACATCTTCAAATTATATAAATTTAATTGTAGATTATATAACTTATTCTACATCTTTTTTAATTCTTTATTGTTATTTTTTTAAAAAGATTTCCTAAATTAAAGTAATACCAACAAATTTAAATAATATTAAACAATTATGATTACTTCTATCATTTAATAATACTTTTAAATATATTTCCAAATCTTTTTATCTCTCCTCTATATCTTATTCTGTCAATTTACCAATACTCTTTTATGGAAATAAGGATGAATATTTAATTCCTTATTATTTTAATTATTCATTCAATTCATGAAATTCTCTAAATCTCTTTTATGAAATTAATATTTCTTAATTTATTTTTATCATTATAATATATTAAATATATGAATCACCATGTTATTTAATTGTTTAATGTTCTTTTATTTTAACATTCATATATGGAATATATTATTATTATAATTCCCATTTCTTATATTAAAAAATAGTTTATTATTATTTTTTTATTAATGATTATTTATGAAGTTGTCTATTTTATAATTTAATATCATCTAACAATTCTCTTTCCAATTCAGGTAATTCTATAAAATCCATAAAAGATTTAGATATTAAATCTATTTTACTCATAATCACATTTAAATATTTTTGGATATTATTAATTAATTACAAATCACTACTGTCTGATATTTACTTAATTAAATAATTTAATTCAAGTTAATCATTATTATGTTATTCAAAATAAATTGAACATTCAATCAATAATTATTAATGCATATCAAATAATTCTGATACTCTTTTTTTTAATTTCATACATTTCTCTTTATCAGCAAAATGACTACATATACATTATATTATTTACATATTTAATTTTATTTCTACATCATTATCCACAATATTCCACATCTTTTTTAATTCCACAGAAAAAAATTAAGTTTGAAGATCTACATATTAATATTAAATGTGTACTATTTAAAGTTGAAATTCTTAGCTTTTACTCTTATGATGAAACATCAATATCTGGTAATTCACTATTAAAAAACCCTAAATCTTCAAATTCTACCAAGTCTTGTTTTCTAATATAGAGTGTATATATCAAAAGAATTGATATTAGTATTAATCTGCCCAAAATTAGAATCGTATCCAAAAAGTAGCCTTAATAATAAATGATTAAGCCAGCTATTATTAAGAGCACAATCCAATTAGCTATCCAATAAAGTTTATGGGCAAAAAATAAAGGTACTCTCTTCTTATACTCAAAGATCTAAATTGCAAGGTTTTTGTACCATGAGCAATATTTAAAGAATTAAAGTAATCATGTTGACGAAAAGTATAATCAAAATATAGTTTTGATATTCTTCACAATTAATGCAGAGAAATATAAATGCACACTAAGTACTTTAAATACCTAGACTACTTATTAATATGAGATTGTATACCTATATCAAATAATAATAGGCTCACACGAAATTTTAGAGAACAGTTCAAGTTAATTTCATCAGCTACAATGTCTGATTTCAATTGGCAATAACGACAAATCATCATAATTACATATATTATGGAAACTGAGGATGGAACAATAAATGTATATGCATATAACTACATAATTAAATTAATTAATATGAATTTAATATATCAAATAATCTGAAGAAATACTATTCAAAAGTTTAGAAACTGATATTCATAACATTAATAAAAACATCAATTCTACATTTACTAATTAATTATTTGAGTAATTAAGGTGTAATCAAATTATCAAATAATCATGAATACTTAAATGCAAAGAAAACTAAAGAAACTATAAAATATAATAGATGATCTATCCTCTAAATATTGTAAAACATTGATATCCTATTTCCCTTTTTGGATAATATGCTTAACAATTATAATCCAATAATACTACCAATAGATATAGATTATAATGATATTTAATATATCTGATTCCAAGAATATTTTGGATCAATTCCTTATATAAGATAACTTGATTACCTAAAATATCAAGCTGGCTGAAGATTCCTTATTATAAATATCATTAAATAAATTTTAAGAGAATTTCTAACTAATTGTATTATTATTTAGTGTTATATAATAATAATAATTTATAGGATTAAGCTAAATATCTTAATACTATAGATTATTACAAACAATCAATACATAATAGTCTACTTAAAATATATATTAGAGACAATTAAATATGATGCTTTGATAAAAGAGTACAAATAAATTCAATTTTTGAAATATTCATTTTTATAATGAGAATGAAATTTGTATAATTTCTATGATTATTATATAGAGTAAATTTTGATTATTGTTTAATTGAATTATTTTAAAAGTCATTTAATAAAAATATTAAAATGACAGATTTATTCGTTAATTTTCCTTAAATTTATTGCAGTAAGCATCCTTGTTATCAATTAAATATGGTTTGCAGACATCCAAATTGCAATAATAAGGGTGCAATATGTTGTAGATGCTAATTAAAATATCATTGTGATAATGGTCATACATTGGAATCATTTGTTCCATTAGATGAGGTTTTAATATTGTGTTAGACATAAAATCCAAAAGCAGAATATTTTGAAGATTTAAGTGTTGATGGGATATTGGAAGTTCAGTAATTGTAATCTACTCTATCAAATATCAACAATTCAATTTAAGAATAATTGAAGAGAGAATTATTAATCTTAGGTTAATATTAAAAGCCATTTAAAGATATATATGGTATAATAGCTCATTATTCATAAATTGATGGGGATATCTCAAGAACTGATGATGGAACTTAAGGAGGTATGAAATCTGATTTCTTAAATATTATGCAATATATAGCAAATAAAATAATAATTGTAGATGGAGAATTTACAATAGATTAATCAGATATGAATAATTGTTTAACAGAAATTATAGAAAGAAAGAGAAAGAACTTAAATATATTGCAAAAATTAAATAAAAAATCATAGAAATAAGCTAAAATAATATCAGCTTTATTTTAAACAGGTTGTTCTTTTGGATTAGATTAACATATTCCAATTTCTTAATTTGATTCATGGGTATAAATATATAATGCTTAATATTTTGAAAATACTACTTATTAAGATATAATATCATTAGTTATACCTCAAAATAGTTTAATAATGGTTGGTATCTTGAAAGAGAAATATTTGGAATTCTGTGCAATAGATAGATATAAAGCTATTTTTAAAGGAAAAATTAATTCTTATTCAAAATTAAATTGGACTTTAAATTAAGTCATTTTTGGATGTGAATGTCTGAAATGGAATTTAAATCAATAATTATTGGATTAATAAATAGATTAAAAAGAATACTTGTATCATTTAAATGATAGAAGAGTAATATATTATTTAGAAATCTGATTATATATATATATTTAATTTCAAAACTATTTATTAAGTATTATTAAAAATGTAATAAATATTAATCAAATTCTACATATATAGAATCTAATCATGATTTATAAATTTCTTTATTTAAAATATTAATTGTAATATATTATTTTGAATATATTATTTTGAACATTATAAATGAGATTCAAGAATTATTTTATCTATTATCATTAAATCAAGAATCTACTTAATTTTTATAGTTTAACAATAAATTTAATTTTCATATAATTATTTGAATTAGTTATTCTTTAATACTATTTTTGATTTAATATTAATTGTACTATTTATGAATATATTATAGAGTAAAAATAATCATTAAACAAAATATTTATTACAATATTTATTTATATTCAAACTAATCCTTTTAATGTAGCAGCTGTATTCTTTCTTTAATGAAATTAGTGTTTTTAAGTAAGTAATTCAGATGAAAAGTTCTTAGTTATTGTTCTTGGTGTTTTGCTGAAAGATGATTAAATGATTGTATCAATAGGATTTCTGGAAGTTAGATGATTTAAATAAGGAGAATGTTAGATGGCACAAGGACTATTTTCTGTTTAATGAGATATTTTTAAATATGTTGAACATCTAGGTGACTTCTACTCATCTCCTTTTGAGAATCTTAAGGGTTGAATATTAGTATATGAGCTCTAATTAATCTTCTGTATCTTGGGCAATGTTATTTACGAATCTAATTTGATAATGATTAAGATTACCTTTATCATGTAATTTTTATTGCAAATATATTCTTACTGATTATCTTTATTTGTGTCTTTAATCAATAATTTTGGCCTATATAGATTAAGAATGCATATTCATTTGATGTTTCTCATCATGACAATTTAGTTAATGTTATTATTATTATGGAGTTAAAAGGGGAGATCCATCTAAGAATACTTTTGTTTTATATCTGAACATCTTCTTCTATTTGTCTAACAATTTTTGTTTTCTTCTCTTATAAATCAAATAGAGAATGCAATAGACTGCATTTTAAAATCTTAAGTGCAATCTCTGCGATCTTACTACTGACATTTATGTTCGAAATAAACCGAATTTTTTTTAGAGATTTTTCATTTTCTTATTAGGCTTACTGCAATCGAAGCAGCAACAACTCTTATTGTCTTCAATCAATGTTGCTCTTGAAGACTCTGAACTACCCATATGTCTAAGCATTACCTTTCTGAAGACATATGATCTAAGTTTTTTTAAGACATTGCCCTTGTATGTAAATTTAAGGGATGAATGGCCTTAGAGTATGTCTTTTTTGGCGATTTCTTTCTGGTGTGTTATTTATTCGTTATCAGAATCCCAGTTCTCTAACGATGATAGGATTGTGGTTTTCGGCGATAATCCATTCTTGTTTTAATTTTTGTTAGTAAATATATATATATATATTTATATATATATAAATATATATGTCTGATTATGAATGTATAATTAATATGAATTCTATAAAGGAGACTTGATAATATAAATATTATTTCGGTAAATCATTGTTTCGTATTAATTAAAATTCTTATATCATCAATGGGCATGTGTACATCACAACAATAAAAGAAACCTAAGCCTCTTATTAAATTAATCAAAATCAAAATGGATGATTGTCATTAATCAAAAGACATCCAAGAAGCCATTCAAATATGGAATAAAATTGATGGGGTCATTACAAAAATGAAATCTACATCTAAAATCTCTAATAATTTACAAGAAGATGCAAATAAAATAAATAAATTACTTAAATCTCATCATAATTCTAAGTTTCTTGAGACTTTCTTTTCATATTATGATCAATTCCAATTAAAGATAAATGATCAAATCATTTAACATTAAGAATTATGGATTCAATATGAAAGTATCTTCAGCAACTTAGACTCGCTTAATAGTAAATTCACTAAGTTGGGATATGCATCTCGTAATGGATGCACATAATCCTTTACTAAATATAATTGATCTATCATATGTATACAAAAATGATAATTATAAATAATCATTATACATCAATAGAGTATCACAATATCTATTATTATGTTAGAATACTAAAATTTGATAATAATTATATTCAAAATATTATGCAAAAGCTTAATAAAAAAAAGTCTTATTACTTAAATAAAATTGAAACCATATAAATTTAATTCATATAAAAGGAAAAATAATTATTCATAATTAATTATTTATTTACTAAATTTCTTCTATTTTTAATATAGATTTATTATATATAATAAGTTTAATTAATATTAAATAATCTTAATATAGTAAATAATTATCATATTTTAAATCATCCTTAAGATAATCCTTTGTGATGAAAATGTAACCCATTATTATTTGATCCACTAAATACATTTTTGACACCAAATGTTTAAAGAGTCAATTTCACTTATTCAATTTTATCTGATTTTATTTCAATAGCTGATTTATGATGACCACTCATTCCTTAATTCCAAATATTTTCTACATTCTTTTACTTTTAATATCTTCTAAAAAAATCATCATTATTAGTTTATTTTAAGAGACTTCCCATACTTCCTTATTTAAAAAAACTCTTAGGATTATTATTATTATTAGTTTGTTTAGCAGTCCCATTTACATAAAATTAACTTACAGATGGACTTTCAGAATCACGTTTAATCTCTTTTTGTCCAGATGACATTCTATCTAAAAATGACGGTTTTGCACTGTGCAAAGATCCTTTACTTGCAGATGTAACTGATCCTCTTGGGTTAGAATGAAAAGATGTTCCATTTCTTGTTCCTTAATGTGAATTAAGATTCTATTTGTATTCATAATCTTATAATTGTTTCATGAAACCTTTATTATATATATATTATGATCAATACCTGAATTTGGCTCAACAATTGATCTTGCTCCTTTGACTTTTTTAAGTGCCTCTTTAAGAGAGTAACCTAAATGTTTAATCATATATGCTATGACAATTGAGGCAGATCTAGAGATACCAGCATAACAATGTACGAATACATTAGTATTCTTAATATGATCTCTTATGAAGTTTGCACATTCATCAAAATAACGATAGAGATCAAAATTGACTGCATCTTCAGCCATTATCCACTAAGTATAATAGGATTTTATACTAATCTTTTCATTGATGGATCAACTCTGATTTCACTTGTATCAATGACAGCAACAATGGCATTGATAGAATGTTCTCGTAAATATTTAATATCATTGGCTGCATTGATATTTCCTAAATACAATTGTCCATAACGTGAATTCTTGTAAAGATCCACAATCAGATTCATGGGATTACCTATTGAGTTAAGATTGTAGATTCATACGATTGCTGCATGTGTTGGCAACACTTTAATTGAAGTTTAATTGGGTACAAGTTAGGCTTAAATCTAACCACTTAGACATTCGTTAAATTAACAAACAACAAATTAATGAATTTATTTATTTTGCATCAAATGCTTATAAATAAGAATTGTAATCCTTACGAATAAGATAAATGATTTTCATTATAGATGAACATTTTATTATTCAATATTTCTATTATAACTTTTTTATGCTCATCCTATGAATGATTTTTATAAGATGCATCTCATCTTCATATTCATTAAAAAATCAATCAATATAATTGGTTTCATCTAACAATGTGTTAAATTCAGAATCAGTCAAAACAACTGAAAATTGATTTTTCTCTGATTTCCATCTCACATGCTATTACTCTCTTGCAGAATTTTTGGTCCCATAATTCAAGAGGTTTCCAACAATTAAAGTAATCAAACAAATCAACACCATAGTGAGAGCCTCTAGAAAAATGTCGTTTTTAAGCATCAATTGATTAATTATAATTTTTTATAATTAATATATAAATTCAATATTCATTATATTCATAAATGGCTTTATTAAATCAAGTATCAAATTTCAAAATTGTATTGAAATACATAAATGAAACTAAATAAATTTTTAATAATTAATTTAATGTTTAATATAATATTATTTGTCATCATAATTGATGTCATAAAAGCTTTAAATCGAGATGTGAATACTTTTAGTAATTATCATGAGATATAGATCCATAAACTTCATATTGAATGGTTATTGGATTTAAATTAAAAGATAATCAATGGTACAGCAGAATATCATTTTAATGTCATGAAAAACAATATCAAAGAAATCCATCTTGATATCTATCAACTTGATATTATTATTGTTTATGATTATAATACTGGAACTGTCTATAAACATGAAATCCAATACATGGGAGAGTAATCTTTAAAACAAGGAGATATATTGAAAATATACCTACCAAAGTCTTACAATAATGGTGATTAAATTAAATTGAGAATCAAATATGGAGTAACAGAAAAAGCCAGAGCTTTGAGTTTCATGACTAAAGAACAAACTGAATCCAAAGGTAATTAATTCTATATCATTTAGTTTTGCCTTATTTATATTCCTATTGCTAAGATAATAATTGTAGATCTATGATTCCATTATAAGACACTCCAAGTATTAAACAATATTTTAGTGCTTTGGTTTTGGTGAAAGATCCAAGAATTAAGGTTTATATGACAGGAAATCTATTAGAAGGAAAACCATTTAATAGAATGAATGTTTACACTGAATCTTTAACTGAATATCATATCTCATTAGATATAAAAATCCCTAGTTATCTCTTAGCAATTGTTGCTGGTAATTTGGAATAAAGAAAAGTGGGCAATCAATAAACTAGTCGTTCATATGTAATAACTGAACCAACTAGTATTGATAGAGTTGCTTTAGAATTAGAATTCTTACAAGATTATGTTGATGCTCTATCTAATTATATTGGACCATATGAATGGGGAGATTATAAAATAGTTATATTACCACCTTCATTCCCTTTAGGAGGTATGGAACATCCACTTCTTACTTTTGCCAGTCCAACCATTATTGTTGGAGACAAATCAGGAGTAGGTGTTGCAATTCATGAAATTGCTCATTCTTGGGTTGGTAACACAGTTACATGTTCAGATTGGGCTAATATGTGGATTAATGAAGGATTTTGTACATTTTTAGAGAGAAAGATCCTTGAATAATATAATGGAGCAGATTATTCAAAAATGTATTCATTTTTATCAAATGATACTATGTTTTAATAGATGGCAAGATATGGTATGGATCATTCTTATTCATCATTGCATCCAAATACTTCAGGAGAGAATCCAGATGATAGTTAATCTGTAATTGAATTATTATATATTGTAGGAAGTTCCATATAATAAAGGATATTAATTATTAGTATATATAGAATAATAGATTGGTGAATAGAATTTCCAAAAAATGTTATAATAGTATATAATTTAATTCAAATGGTAATCAATTGATGAAGATATCTTTTATCGATATCTTCTATCTTGGATTTCCACTAATTTAGGTAAAGAGCATGCATCCCTTAAAGAAATTAAAACCATTTATAAGGAGTGGGTGTATGTACCAGGTAAGCCACCAAGATAGTTAGATTTCCATACAGATGCTTATGATAAAGCTATGGCTCTAGCTAAAGCTTGGTTAGATAATAAAGGGGATAAAGTTCCAGATAATGCTGAAGATTATAGAAACTATATCTATTATCAGAAGTAATAGTTTTTAAATGAAATTGCCACAAAAGTAAGACATTTAATTAAAGTAGTATGGTGATATGACAGATAAAAATTATAAATTGATAGATTAGACATACTAATTATCAGATTAAAAAGATTCTAGATTGCTTTATAGATGGTTAATAGGTTGTCTAAGAGGAAAGTTCTATGATAGAATGGAAGTGATTAAGAATTTTATGGGTACTCATGGAGCAAGATCATGGTTAGTAAATATGTATGAGACTTTGTTCAAAGATAAGCCAGATGTAGCTAGGGAATGGTTTACTGAATTTAGAGATTTCTATCATCCTTCAGTAGTAGATGCTCTTGAAAATGGAATATTTAAAAATAGTATAAAGAAGATTGAACAATGAAATTTTATTAAAATAATAGAATAAATATAATATATTTATTAAATGATTAGAGAAAGATAATTTGAAGTAATTAAAACATAATAAGTAAATTAACACTTATTATGTACTATTTGTAGAGAAGTATTTTATAATCCAATAAGGGCAACTTGTGGGTATCATTCTTATATCATAAGTAGACATACTTTTTGCGGAACTTGTTTGGTTCGTTGGATTCAGATGAAAAAAAGTTGTCCTCTATGTCGACATAGACTAGAACGAAACTATTAATTTGATAAAGACATTCTAGCAACTAAAATTGTTGGTGATATAGAGGTTAAATGTTTAAGATGTTAATCATGGGAGGGAACATTGGCTTAATTTAAGTAACATAAAAAATCATAATGTACTTATATATCTACTAACAATGAAATACATCAAGATGCAATTTAAATTGGAGATGATGATGAAGAATTTACATTTGCTGGTATTGTAGATGAAACAGACCTTTAAATTCAATAATAAATCATTGAAAATATTGGATAATAAATTTTGGTTTAGATTGATTAATCCTAAAATTAAGACTAGAAATAATAACCTCAATAAATCAAAGATATAAATACAAATCAATAGGATCCTCCTTAAGAAACTAATGCTAATAATAATAATCTCAATTCTGATCACATCAAAAATCTTAATTAAAATGAAGAATTAAATAATGAGTTACCTCAATAAAATATAGAGAATCTTGAAACTAATAATCTTCCTTTGGAAAACATTAAAGAAAATTAGATAAATCTTGCAATCATTTAGGATGATTTAATTAATTAACATAATACAATAGATGATAATTAATAAAGATAATAGAATGATTAATAATAATAGGAAATACCTTAGATTTCAGATTCTAATCAAAATGAAACTGCAGAAAAACATTAATAAATAGATAATTAACCATTAATATTATAAGATAATTAGGATACTAATAATATTTTTTATTATAGTACAAATGTATAATAAGAGAATTAATAAAAAGTAACAGATAACATAAATAATTAAATTACAACAGACAATATAAATAAACAAATTACCACTGATATTATTAAGGATGATTCTATAAATTAAAATAATCAATAAAATATATCTATAGTAGAATAATTTAAGACTAATGATCCTGATGTAGAGATAATTGAACCTCCTATTAAATTTTAAAATAATAAAGATCTAAAGAATATGAAAGCTAACAATAAATTTAAAATTAATATACTAAGAAATAATGTTAAAATTGCTGAACCTATGATGGAAGAATTACATGATAATTTATTTTTTGAATTTGTTAATCATATGAAATAAGAAATGGTTAAAAAATTAAGTGACATCTAATACTATAATACTTTGATTCGTTGATGTAATTATATTTCATTTCATATATTTATTAATGTTATTTTAAATACAATTTACTCCTTTTTTCCTTATTTATTCAAATAAATAAATGAAGAAATATTTCAATTAATTCAATAAACGATTGCAACATGTAGGATTGACACTTCGAGATGTGAATGCTGATGGAAATTGTCTCTTTAGAGCTATAGCTGATTAACTAACTGGAAATGAGGAAAATTACAATAAGTATCGTTCAATGGCAATCAAATAGCTTTAGAAAAATCAAAATTTTTTCTCTAATTTTCATCATGAAAGTTCTACTACTTTCAATGAATACACTAAACAAATGTCTGAAGATGGAATATGGGGAGGACATTTGGAACTATAAGCTCTGAGTAATTCATTATAAATAGACATTATTGTTCATACTAAGGATAATTATTATATTATAAAACATATGCCAATAAAGACTTGTTGTTCAATTCTTAAAGATAAATTATCAATGTATTTGAATATTTAAAAATTTCCCATTTAAAAATAAATACATATAGCTTTACATAAAGAGAAAAAGATTATCAATCACTATTAATCAGTTAGATTAATTGATGATAACACTAATAAACCTGCCAAATAACCATAAATCTATTTTGAATAAACTGAATAATCAACAAATGATGAACCTTATTGAATTATATTTTATGTTGTAATCTATATATATTTTAAATTTATCAAATAAAATAAAATTCTATTAATTGATTAATTTTAATAATTCAAATCTAAAATTTATAATTATTATAATAATTTTGAATTTAAAGAATATTAAATTAAATATATTCATACAACAAATGGTTTATTATTTATTTTAACTTCTTATTATTTTCTACAATTGTTAATAATACTCTTAATTATATCTTTACAAATCATAAAAATTTCACTAAATAATCCAAGTGAAATGATTGTTATATGCACCCAACCACATTTAATTTTCAATGAAACTGAAATATAATCCTCAAAATCTTAAATATAAATAAAAGATGTTAATGTAAATAACAATACTGAACTTTCAACTATTGTATTGATTAAAAATAAAGAATTAACAAAAATATGCCTATATGTAAAGACCAATTTTAAGTTTACTAAACTTGTTAGAAAAAAGAATCCCAATTGTATTACTTCTTAACAATCTAAAAATATTAATAAATATAATTAAAATGTTTGCTTAAATAAATTTAATATCTAAAATGTATTTTTATCCTATATTAATTTATGAGTAATGTAAAAATGTAATTCCTTCCATATTGAATATAAAACAATAAATAAATAGGATGTAAAAATGATTATGGCTATTATTAATTAAATTATATCCCTATTATTTAATAATTAAATAGAATTTAAATATAATAATACTTTTAATATTAGATCCCATCCATTGAAAAATAATAATTATTTTATTCCTTTATAAGTGATTAATTCTTAAATCTCTAAAATAAAAGATTTGATTCCATAATAAAATAATTAATTAAATTTTAAAACATAAGTTGACTTGATAAATAATACTACTTTATCCAAGAATTAAAAATATCTCTAACAAAATATATAATTGTAAACTAAAATTTTAATTTTTCCAGCTATTAATCCAAAGAGTAGAAATATTAGACATTATAAAATTTAACAATATATATTTGAAATCAAATCAGCATTTTATCCATAATATTTGAACTTACCACTACTTTCTTTGTATATATTTTTGAATATTAAATCATATATTAAATCAATAGACAATAGGCTAAGTATTGGTTCAATGGTTAAAACATCATATGCTTAAAAATAGATATCTAAATTTTATGGGAATTTTACATTAATGTACCTTAAAATTGATAAATAATATATCATATTGAGAATTACTAAAAAATATTGAAAATTCCAAAATAGTACAGATATTCCATAAACAGCAAAAAAACCATAAATGGTTGACATAGTAATAATTTTTAATCTATTTGATATTTATTTTTCATTTTCATTAAGATATTAAGGAAATTCAAGAGTTAAAATTTCTTAATCTTGAATAACACTTTATCCAAATGAATTAACTAAACTCTAATTTAAATTAAGAAATAAAATTGGTTTGGTTTCTAATAATTCAAATATTTCAATTTCTATGATTAATTATACATTAGTAAAATACTCATCTGAATCTTGAATAATAATTATATCATAATTATACATCTTATTTGAAATATTAAAGATTTCAATAATTAAAGTTTATGATAATAGTTTTTAGCTTTCAGATTTAACTTATTCTGTAAATTCAAGATTAACATATTATTTATTTAGGGTAATATTTATGTAACTTAAATTTACTTAAGGTGATTTTTAATAATTACACTCAAAAGGGATTTTTCTACAAATCATATCATCTTTTTAGATCAATTAATATATATTATCTAAATCATCATCTATGTTTAATTTACATGATCCGCCCTCAAGTAGTTCATATTATTCATCACATATTAGACATTATTACAAATTACATTCTATACAATATAGTGGACATAACAATTCAATATTATTCTCTTCATTAAAATCTTCACAATCTTCATAGAGTATTTCATCATTTCTACCACAATTTGATAGACATCTTCCTTAAATTAATATGAAATCAGATTAACATTAATAACATATTTGATGATCACATTTTACACAACCATAAGTACATTCCTCATAATTTAAGCATTAAAAACAACCATGAAATTATAGAAAATTCTCACCAGAACATTCTTCATTATATTATGGTATGATAATTTTATCTTCACAATTTAAAGAGCATTCTTAATTATTATTAAATGAATATCCATTTAAACATAGCATACAAATACCATGAATACAAATTTAACAAAATTAAATACATTAAAATTTGCACATATAACAACCATCGTATTGAATCTAATTACCATCATCGCATTCTTCAAATCCTGATATAATATTATCTCCACATTATGTAACACATATATTTTATAAAATATTCAATTCCCAACCTTCTCTGCAATCCAAACAAAACTAATCAGCAAATTACATGCATTCTAAAATTATATAAGGAATAATTATTTCATTTTCAATGTAATTGGGTCTTATTTTATAGTAAATTTCTAAATCTCTAATCATCCAATCTAAAAAATTATTCAGATCTCTTATTTTTATATTCAAAGTTGGACCAAACTATTTTTATAAAGATATCTCTATGACTCCTTATTATTAAATATCTATTCTATTTTCATTGATCCAAATGGTTAAATCTGTATTTTTATTTATTAAAAATCTAATTAATATATCATCACTTGGAGGTAATAAGAATGAATTTTCAAGAGAAATCGAATTGATTCCTTAACATCTTCCAAATTCATCAACATTATACTCAGATCCACCTCCCCATTATTATATATCTGTATCTTCCAATTAACATTGAATAAATGAAAATTAAAGCTTACTCCAAAAACCGCAATTTAAATCATCATATCCTAAACATTATAAGCATCCAAAAGGACACTTGTAAATACTGATTTTAAATGAATCAAAGCCCCAAGTAGCCTATATCTTTATATATAAATGATACAAATGTATTATCATAGTAAGCTTGAAACATTTTAAAAATGTAATTTCTCCTCTAATGTGGAAATTCAAAATCAAGACTTTACAATTAGTATTCAATGCTATTCTCTGAACATGATCTTATTAAAGGTGATGCAGGAGAGACTATAAAAATTTCATTATTATCATTTTCAATTTTAAACTCTCCCAATGTTAAACCAAACCTTAGTGTTATAATTCAATATATACAGCAACAAATTTATTTCTACTTTAATTTAAAAATGAGGTTGTAAATCAAAAAATGCTCTAATTGTTATTTAAAAGTAAAATACTTTTATATTATGGTATCATGAGTAAATGAACCGTATCCACCATAGACATCAACTCCATTACAAAAAGTATATGTTAATCCATTATCATTACCAATTATGAACCATTAATCAACTTATTAAATAATATAAATACCATCCAATCCACCAGGGTAGTTTGCTGCTTCTATTTAGTAAATTACTTCTTAAGAGTAAACTAAAATTAAAATAAAGATCAATATATATCTCATGAATATTATTAATATTATTTAACTAGTTCAAAAAGTTATCATTTAATTGTGATTATTTGTGTTCATTTCTTTATGATTCATTTTAATTAATAATGTTAATTCAAATAATTAAGACTAATAAAATTAAATTATTTAATATAAAAAATTAAATTTAATTAATTTATGCATAAAAGATATTAATCATTATTGTTTAAATTAAACACAATAATTAATGTTAAAAACTAAATTTAATTTGTTGTCATTTAAATATTTTGTTCTTTATCTAATACAAATTATAAATCCATGACCTGCAAAAGAAGAAATATCGATTATTTTAATAAATCATTATAAATTAATTTTTTTAATATTTTTATTTAATTAATAAGAAGATGTCGTAAATTACCTCTTCACTTCTTAAAGTAGTAAACACTTAGATTTAAGGTAAAATAATTAATAATGTTTAGATCTTGATTAACATATTTAGAAATAAGAAAAAGTAATTATTGATTAAGCAAATGAGATAAAGTCTTTGAAAATTAGAATAAATCAAAAGGATATGTTGAATACACCTATATTCGATAATCCAATTGATCAATTATTAGCATACCCTAAATCCCTTAATGAACTTGGTTTATAAATATAAGAGGAATTTGAGAAGTTAAAATCTTAATTAAAAGAAAAGGAATAAGAATTACACTAACTTAAATAAAACCCTGAAAATCAAAGAAGATCATACAAACCAAATACCTCTCAAGTAGATGAAGTTATAAAACAACATGAGGAGATTGATGAAATTTTAATTGAATTAGAGAAAAAGCTATATGACAAAAAGCAATAAAAATAAGAATTAGAATAGAAAATAGATACTTATGGGGAAGATGAAAAAATATTAAAATAATTGAAATCATAAATATCTGTATTGAATGAGCAATTAGTAGTAGAGAAAGCTTATAATTAAGAAGTAAGAGTTCAATTAAAGAAATTATAATAAGAGACTGAGAGTTTAAATGATTAATTAGAGAAGAAATTAGCAGAGAAATAAGAATTTGAAGATTAATTAACAAAGACAAATAGTTAATTAGAATATTTAAAATCTTAAAATATTATGTTAGGAATTGGAACACCTATAAAAGGAGAAACTGAAAAATTAATAGCAATAGATGACTTAGTAAAATAGAATTAAGCTGTTGATGATTTAATGAATGAATTATAAAATAAATTGAATGAGAAATAATAAGCTCATAATTTAATGTTAGATTAAATAAGTAGGAATAATTTATTTGAAAATGAATAAAACTCTTCAACATCTCTTAAACCTTCAAATATGTCTCCAAAAAAGGAATTAATTTCATAATTAGAAATTGAATAACATGAATGTGATATTATATAATAGTAATTGAAATTAAAACAATTAGAAATTTAAGAATTAAAGGAATAATTAAAAAAGGAAGAATAATAAGTGTTTAATTTATAAAATAGACTACAAGAGGAAATAGAAGTTAAGGTTTCAGTTGAATAGTAACTTTAAAGTGTATAATCAAAATAAATAATAATATAACCAACAGTAACTTCTTAAATTTAAGAATTACCTACAATTAATATCTTTGGTCCTCAAACTGAATCAATTCCTTAAGATTATTAGTTTTAAATTGAGTAATTATAGGAGACAATTAGATAATAGGAATCATAGATTGAATTTTTAAAGTTTGAAATTCAATAAAAGGATGAAATAATGAGTATGTCATAACATACTTACTTATAAGATTTAAATCAATAGAATTAAGATGTTGAAAATAGGATATAAGATTTAAAGAAGCAATTGAGTTATAAAATAAAAAGAAAAGATTAATTGGAATCTATAGTAAATGAGGATTAAAAACCTAAGAGAAAATCTTTTGTATAAAATACAGAGTTGATGGATTTGTAAGAATAATTACATGAAAAGAATATGAATATTGTGTAATTATATGAAGAAATATCTAAATTATAAAAATAGTTATATGATAAGGAATAAGAATTATAATCAAGAGATGTTGAATTAAGATATTAAGCATTAATGAAAACAAATGAAGATTAATGTGAAAAGGCTGATGAATTAGTTAAAAGGAATTTAGCAATGGATGAGTTAATTCATTCATTAGAAGTAAGATTAGTTGAAAAAGAATCTAAATTAAAGGAATTAGAATATTTGAATTCATCTAAGAATTTTGAAATTGAATCTAATTAAAATAATAATTCATTTTATAAAGATAGAGAAAGTATTATTAGAGATAGTGGAATTAATTCATATGATTAAGATCAAGATCATTAATTTGTTTAATAATAATAAATATTAGCTGGTTTCAATAGTAATTTGGATCATTTAAAGAGTAAAGTAGAATGTTAGAAATATGAATTATAAGAAAAGGATAAGATTATTGAATAACTTAAATAATAATTAAATGATTTAAAAAGAAGTCATTTTAATTAATAGATTTTGGCAACTTAAGATGTATCTGTAATTAATAGATCAATTAATGTATTATAAGAATAAGCAGATAATTTAGTAAAATAGAATTTAGCTTTAGAAGATGTTATTCATGAATTAGAATATAAATTATAAGAGAAGAAAAATAAATAAGAAGAAGTCTAAAAGATTATTTAAAATATGATGGAAGAAGAAGTATAATTGAGATAATTGAAATCAGATGAAATGGTTAAAAAAAATTTAGAATTAGATGAGAAAATCTAATAAATGGAATCAAGATTGATTCAAAAATAATAATAATAATATGAATTAGAATAAAGATTATCATAACATTAAAGATCTATGCCTTAGCCTTTATAAGTATTCCATGAAGATCATGATATAATCTAAGATCATAATTCTAATTTATCTGAATTAACTATCTAAATTGCTTAAATAACAGAATCAGTCAGATAATTAAGTTAAGATGATATTGAATTAGAATTTTTATTGAAATAAAAGAAAGAAAAGTAATCTTAAATTGAATAATTAAAATTGTTTATTTAATCTTCAACTGATGTCCTATAAGATTTGTAAACTGAATAATAAATTAAATAGGAATAAGTTGAAAAAATGAAATCACAAAATAAAGATATTGAACAAATGGTTAATGATTTATAGAACTAGCAAATTAATTTAATTGAAGATGCCACCAAATCTTAATAAAATGTTCCTAATTGGTTGAATTAGAATATGGAATCATCTAAAAGATTAAATGAACTTCAAAAAGGTTAATAAAAAGTGAAAGAGCAAATTAAAAATTTAGAATCCTTAATTTTAGATTTACAAATAGTAGTCAAAGAAAAACAAGATGAATTATAACGTATATCATAAGAGAATTATTAATTATCAATTTTAACAAGAAAATAAAAATAAAAGAGAGATCATTTATTAAGAGAATAAATGCCATTGGGAGAGAAGGTAGGTTTACTTGAATAATAAGTGAATGATTTAATATTAGAAGATAAAAGATTAACTTCTGAATTAGGTAGATTATTTTAAGAGGCTGAATCAGCTAAATAAGTAAAGTAACTTAAAGAATAATAAATATCTGCTTTGAGTATTGAGAGTTAACAATTGGATTAAAATATTATGTTATTAAAAGATGATATAGAATAAGCTAAGATATTAGAATAATAATTACTCGATCAATAGAATTAATATAAATAAAAGAATGCATTAATAGAATAAGAAATTAAAATCTACACAGAAATGAATTTGGATAGTGCAAATATAAATAGAAAGATTGAAGATCTAACTCATTAAATTTCAGAGGAAAAATAATTATTAGAATAACTAATTGAAGAATTGCAAATTCAAAAAGAATAAGTCTTATTAATTGTTCCTTAAAAAGAAGAAATATTAAAATTATATTTATAAACCAAACAATAATATGATTAAAGTGTGGAAGATCTATCTGAATTATAGAAATTATAGTAAAAAGTATAAGATTAAAAGAATTAAGTAATGTAAGAAGTTAATTATCTTAAATTATATACAGAAAATTAAGAAAAATAATTACTTGAATTGTAGACTTTAAGAACTAAACTAGAAGATAGTATTAAATAAGAAAATACTTTAAAAAATGCAATATAGGATAAGGCTGATAGGATATAATAAGAATTAGATCGTAATAAATAAGCAATTCAAGCATAAATTTAGATATTAGAGAAATAGAATAGAGAAAAAGAACAAAGATAAGAGCAGATTAAGAAAATTTAATTTGAAATTGAAGATTAAAAAAATAATTTAAATAAATTGACAGATTAATAAATGAAACATCTACATTAATTAGATTAAATAGCAAAATTAGATAAGGATATGGAAAGATTAATGAAAGAAGTATTTGAGAAAGAAGAATAAGTTTAATAATATGCAGGATTAGTATATTAAAAATAATAAAAAGTAAATGATTAAAAATAGAAATTTAATTAATTGGAAGATGAATTGAAATTTTATGAAAGAGAAGAGGAAGAAATAAAAAAGAGAATATCTGAATAAGATGAGAAACTTAGTAAATTAGAAAGAGAATTTTAAATAAGGTCAGAAAAAAGAAGTAAATTTGAAGATGATTTAGCAAAAGCTGAAATGGATTTAATTAGTTTAGAAGAAATGTTAAGAAATAAGGATGAAGAATTAAGAAGTTTTAATGAATCAAAAGAAGAATTGATAAAATATAAATAACAATATAATACTATTAGAGGAGAAATAAGAGAAAAATAAGAATAGATCTAAGAATTCGAGAAATAGAGATCTAAATTATCAGAGGAAATCAAAAAGGAATAAGATTAATTAACAGATATCAATTAAGAAATTTATCATAATAAAATTAAAGAGGAGGAAATGAATTTTTAAATAAAATAGAAATTAAAGGATTTAGAATCATTAAATGATTAATTCAAAAAATTAGATGAAGATGCAAAAATGTTAGAGGCTGTAATTTAATTAAAAGAGAAAGAATTGAAATAATATTAAGAGAAGAAAGAAACACTTAAAAAGGATTTAGAAGCAACAAATTTATAAGTAGTTGAAGTAAAGAAACAATTAAATAAAAAGAAACAATAAAAATCAATAATAATAGATCCTAATGAAGTAGAAGTATATGAAGAAACATTATCATAATAAATAAGTTGTTTAAATACTAAAAACTTAAATTTAAAGGATGATTTACAGAAATTAGTATAATCATAAAGTCAACCAATATTTTAAACAATGTAATAGATGGAAGGAACTAAGACTTAATTAGAAGAATTATAATTAACTATAAAAGAAAAGGATAAGAAATTAGATTTATTGGAATAATAATTATAGCAATTATCTATGCATCAATCTAGAGTTACTATTTAACCTAGTTTTTATTTTGATGATGATCCATTATTATTAGAATTGTAGGATAAATTTACTAAAGAAAGTGAAATGTTAGATGATTTATAATAAAAATTAAAGAGAACAGCTGAGAGGCATCATGAATTAGCTGTTAAATTATAAGAGTGGGCAGAAAAAGAACATAAATTGGCTATAGAATTAGATTAAAGAAGATAATGTGTTGAAAAAATAGAAAAAGAATTAGAAGTATTATTTTAAAAGTAATCTGATTTAGAAAATGATAAAGTTAATATTTTATAAAAGTTATATTAATTAGATTTAGATAATTAAGAATTAAATGAATAAGAAATTATATCTAGGAATAGAATAAAAGAAAAGAAAGATTATGTATAGGTATTATTCAAGAATTTAATAGAAATGGATGAAAAATTGTTATAATTGAGGAATCGAATGTCTGTTTATTCAAGAGAAGGTAGATAATTAGCAGAATAAGTAGAAAATTTGGAGAATGAAAAAGAAATGAAATAAGAAAGTTTATAAATAATTTAAGAGGAATTAGAGAGTTTAGAATTAGAAAAAGGAGAAAAATAAAATATGATTTAATAGATTAAGAAGGAGATTTAAGAATAAAATATAGATAAGGATAAATTAGAAACATAATATGCTTTAACACATAGTAAAAATTAACAATTAAAATTATTAATTGGAGTTGAGGAAGCTTTATATAAGAAATTTTAGACTGAACTAGAAATTCAATAGAAAAGAGAATAAAGCAAATATGAAAATATGTTTGTATGCAATAGTACATAAACCTATTATGAAGTTGATTAAATTGAAGTATTAATGGATAATCTAGTTGGATATAAAATAACAAAAAAAGAATTGTTAAAATTGAAATAAGAATGTTATGCTGAAATATAACAATTATTTACTTAAAATAAATCTTATATTTAGGATAATGTAAATGTGAGAAATCTAATTTAATTTTAATAAATTCTAATCTAAGTTTTGGAAAGTGAAAATCTATTAATATCTGATAAAATAACATCAAATAAATCTTTAAAAATACAATCTGAAGAATAAAATACATTTACATTAGAATTAGTAAGTATATTAAATTATTAAGATCGATATGATGATGAATACCTCAGCTTTAATTGAAATTTCAATTAATGAACATAGTTTAAATATAGCAGATAAGAAAATACCTAGATAATGGATAGTTGATAAATATTTTGATTATAATCATCAAATATATCCCTTGGGAATATTGTATATTGTTTACAAGGTAATTATACATCAATATCTAGGTATCACTATGTTAAGTAATAACTTTAGCATTAACAGGTACTAAAATAATCTAATTATATTCTTAAATTTGATTAATAAAATATATATTTATTAATTATATCATAATTATTATTTCATTAATCTAATTTCTTCTATTTTTTTTTTAACTTTAATTTTTTGAAGTCATGGCTAATAATGTAATTGAGTTACCCTTTATTATATAAATATAATAATACTTAGAATGCCCTTTTAGATTTCTTGTTTTTCAATTATATAAAATTTCCACTATTATTTATATTTTCAACATCTGCATACAAAATAGCCAAAAGTTTGGAATGCTGATTCAAATCAAAAAAGATTAGGCTAGTCTCAGTCAAAATTAATCCAAAATGTTCGTTATCTCTTTAAATATAATTGATTTAAATTTGAGAATGACTATTTTTATATATAAGTAAGTAGAGCATCAACTCTGAGCAATCTATGATTTTCATATTTTCCTTTTTTAATTCCTTTAATAACCTCATAATATTCTGCTTCAATCTAATTGTATTCTTTATAATATCCATCACTTTAATAAAGAGGTCTCATATATCTTATTCTATTATTATTAGGTTATTCATATGACGATAATTCATTTTTAACACCCTCTGATGTTTTTGAAATGGCATCTAAAACTCCTGTAACAGATTTAATACTTAATCCTGATGTCCCTTGCCATAATCCCTTCAAAAATCCAGAGGCTCCATCTTATTAAGCACCCTGAATTGTTTACTAAAGAATCCAGCAATACTACCAGCTACTCCCTTAACAAAAGACTTAGATCCTTCTTATATACCAGAACCAAAATTTCTAGCTTATTTTTAATTTTTGATCTATCTTTATTATTGATAAGTTTCATTCATGGTGACTTTAGATAATCCACTAGAAATAGTGCCTACAACATTCTTAACTCCAGAGAAAGTGTGACTTACTAATGAAGTTGCTCCACTTATAACACCCATACCACCTTCCAATGGACCTTAAGTAAATCCTTCAATAGGTAGTTCAATCAAATATTGCATATGCCTGATACGAAGTTTTTAAATAATTTAGTTGAATTGCTTATAACAGCTAAACTATATAGCTGGTAATTATCTATATATATCAATAAGGTATCTTTAAGTTAATTTCATGCATAATCCATTTATGCTGTCCTAAACATCATCCATTTGAATACCTTTTAATAAAATTTCAGCTTCACTAAAAGAGACTAATTAAAATCGAATTCTAGATAATATTGAAGTGAATAAAGAATTATTATTATCTTAATCTTTATCTTTATTGCTCCATTATACTGTAATTTAAATAATGATAGGATATATAGTGATTGATCCAAAATATGTTGGAATTAATTTATCAGGTAATGGACATAACTTCCAATCAAATTTCTAAAGTAATTTTTCATGTTAATTTTCATTAATAGATGTTATTTTATTGATAGTGTAGAGTATATTCTTGATTACGGTATCATTAATTTTTATTGCTAAGCGATTGGTTTCAATAGAGAATAAGTCAATCAATTATAATTATTTATCCTATAAATTCATTTAAATTAGGACATTTAATATTGGAAACTATTATTTGATTTTACTAGTACCCTAATTCTCTTTATATTTCTAGAATACTTCTTCACTTGAATCAAGAAATTGAACATGTCTAGTGAAACCATTCAATTCAATTTAAGTAAAATCTTATATGCATTATTTTGAATATGAGATCTAATAATAAAGAACTTAGGATCTGCTATTTTATCAAAATTCAATTGATATTCTATAGATCCATAATGGAATGATTTTGGACAAATAATAAGAGATACAGTATTTTATTTAGTTGGTTCATTCCAAGCAAAATAGCAATTATAATCTAAATTTACTGGAAGATCTAAAGAAGTGACTTGAATCTTTTTACTTTAATTAGAAATTCTATAGGGTGTTTGTTTATGCTTAATTTCACCAATGACCAAAAATAACATACATTAAATAACTTTCCTTAATACTTTTGATTTGATGTTCATCCATATATTGTAATTGTTGTAATTTAGTTATTTCAAACTATTTATTTTCATATAATCTATTAGTTGTTACAGGAAATGGGAATAAATTTTACAATCTGAAATTGGGTTAGATATAAGTAATATATCTATGATAGAATTCTGGATCTTTGCAAACATTCAAAGTAATAAAGAAATTTTCATTCAATTACAATTTAAGACTTTCTTTACTTTCATAACATTTAATTAAGTAATTCATATTACAACCTTAAGATTTTTCTTAAATATTGATAGCTTTTCTTATAAAAAAGAATCTTTATAACAAATATTATGGAAGTACAAATTAATGAATTAGGTTAACATATAATTTGTTTAGCATTTTGACTCTACACATATGGTTCTAATTTAGAAATATGAAGATTTCCTTTAATATCTTTGAATAGAATTTCCAAATTTGTTTATGTTTTATTTTAAAAGATATATTCAGAACTCAAATAAATGACTCTCTAATTTTTTAATTGATCAACCAAATTCTTAATCAATACTGGACTGTTATTTCCTATATTACTAATTTAAATATTTTTAATTAATTATTACTTTTTATTTGAAATTCTATCAATAAATTGTTCAACACCTTATTCATAAACAGTAAGCAAAGTAAAATTTGTGATACAAAGCCAAAAAATTTATCTGTATCTTCCACTCTAATGTGTATATTTTAAATATTAATCTATAAATTTTGAATAACTTTAATAATGATTCTTTACATCATACTATCTTATTATTCTTTATAAGATTTTCTATCTATTAACTTTTATTTAAAACAATCAAGTTCTATTAATTTATCTACCCCAGTGATATCTCCAAATTTCCAATCACAAACTTCTTGAGGTTTTATAATTATATATAAAGTATCCAGATTTACTTTAATAGGAGAACTAGCTAAATTCTTTTAAGAAATGTTTAAATTAAGTATTCCCAATCTACTAAATTTAACAATAAAAGGGAGATCTCATTTTATAGAAGCATTTGGTTTCAATCTTAGATTCTCAATCTTAGCTTATCCACTCTAAATTCCAGCTTATAATGATTATTCTCCTAAAAATTATTAAAGAAGATTTTCAATTAATTTCTAAAACATAAAATAATAATTGTATAAATCATATATCTTCCCTAATTCTTTCAAATACAGGAAATCTTGGTTTTCCATCATCTGTTAATCCATAATAACTATAAGAAACTCTAGAACCAATTTTTGGAGGATCTTTTCTTAATTTACTATTGAATCCAACTCCTATCTAAAATATTATTCCTGCATCTGTTTACACTTTTAATGCTCCCAATTAATCCTTAAATTTACCCATACCACTTATGTGATCAATTACAGTTGCCTCTGAGTCCATAGTTGTTTTGACTTTTAATAAAGTATTTGATCTTTTTCCTTCATATAAAGATTATGGATCTCTCAACATTAATCCTTCACCTCCTGCCTATTAAGCTAATATTAATTCTTCTTTTAAATGTTCATAACCTCTACATACAACATGTGGAACATAAACTAAATGAGGATTTTTTATTTTTTCAATAGCTTTCTTAAATTTAGCATATCTATTAACAAAAGGTTCATCTAATAAAGGTGCATCAAAAACCATAAATTTGATATCTTTCCAAGCTTTATAATCAGGTTATTTCTTTTTGGCTATGCTAACCAATTTTTAAAATTATCCTCTATCAAGCCATAATTCTCCATCTAAATAAGTAGTTGGCCATCCTTCAACAAATGAAGTAGGAAAATTTAATGAATTACCATTTCTAGTAAACATTTCACATCCACTCCAAATTATACGCATACCATCTAATTTTTCAGATAATAAATAATTTGTTGGATTAATATTCTCATTCCATTATCCAGCCAATAAACAAGCGATAGGTTTTGTATCACCAGGAGGACCTAGATCTAATGTTTCTCCCAAATGAGTTCTGGCTCTATATTTTGGCCATTCTCCTACTAACTTTCCTTTAGTAGCATCATCTGTCAATGCTACAACTGGTTTCCTTTATTCTGGTAAATTCACTTTCTTTAAAATCTTTTATTGCATTAAATCTTTTTTAGTACTAACAATCATTTTTTCTTATTATTCATTTGCTTTCAATATATCATTACTATTGATCTCACGAAATCCCTTTGATAATTTTTACTAGATTTAATCACTCATCACTTCTATACCTCTTTCCATTGTTGGGAACTTAGTTAATGAGATTTCTATAGTCTCTTGTTATTCTATGTTACCATTCAATTATCCATTTCGAATTTGTATTGTTATTGGTTTTAATGATATAAATTAACAATGCCAAAATTGATCATTCTTTATTAAGTACATCTCAGGACTTTATTATTTTTTCATTATTCTTATAAATTTGAACTATCTTTTTAACTTTTCTTATACATTTAAAAATCATTTTAAAATTATTACACTACATTCCCCAAATTAATATAATCCATTTTATTTATCAAATAATTAGATAATAACATAAAAATATTATCAATCATCTTTCTCTTCATACACTACTGGTGTCATTGAAGATACTTTATTTTCTATTTTCTCAAATTTTCTTTATTTTGTAGAATCTTAAGAAGGACTCAAATTTTGTCCTTCCATTTCAATTGAATCATTATCTACCATCTCATTGTATTTTACAAAATGTTCATATTTTCTAAATTCTCTACACAATTAAAAGCTTAACATCATAAATCCAAGACCTAATATAAATGCAACCCCATAAAATAATATAATTTAATAATAACCTCCCCCTTACTTAGGAGGTATGAAATTAATTGTATACATTTTTTATATTTAACAGAATTCTCCTTAAGTAACATTAAGATTATCAGGACATTTTGTAGATTTTTATTTATAAACAAATTTTGTCTAATGACTTTCAGTATAGTTTGAAAAACATACAATTAAACTTGGAGACTAGTATTTAAATAAATATTTACTTCTCTAATAGAGGAATAAAAAAATCTATGTTTAGTAAATCCAAATATAATAGTCTTAGTATTATAATCAATATAATCTAATTATTATAGATTTGGTATAATAATAGAATTGGATGATTAATTATTAAAACTTTGAGGTAAGGAATGTCTTATTATTTAATGACCATTCTTGCCTAATATTATTACATAGTGATTCAAAATATCTACATCTTGTACATCTTTAAAAGTTTTATATTTATTTAATAATCTATATGTGTTGTTTGATAAATCTAATGTTAATTCATTGACAAATGAAAATGAAGGTTGATGTTCAATGATGATTAAAATAGATTATTTAATATCAAAGATATCACCAATCAATGGGATTGTTCCTAATTTAGTATTCATAGAGATTAAGGTTGTAACAGAATTATAGACAAATTATTATACACCTAATTTCTTATCTAAAATATAAATAGTATAGATTTGATCTTAGTTTTATAAGAATACTTTGATGTCCACAACATTATAAAATTGATGATTTGTTTAACCATTCAACATCCAAGAGATTGATTAAAAATTCTTCTCTTTAAATTAATACATAGAAATGCCTAAATTTCCCATTCCAATGAACATCATATCATTGACTGTTGTTATACTTGTAATTTAATCTACATTGAATTTATCATATAACTTTAGTTTTTATGAATCTTCAAAAACATCTGTTTTATTTGAGAGTTAGAATGCTAAAGTTTCTTAATCTGCAATTATCACTAATACTCTATTTTTACTAAGGTATTGTAAATGTACCTTTTTAATTGTATTAATGTTAATCATTATTGAACTACCTAGAGTGATTGTATTAGTAATCAGTAAATGTTATAATTTACCTAATCGAGTTAAAACAATAGATCCATTATGAATTGTGACAGCTGCTATGACTTCATCGATTTCAGCATTTAAATGACCTTCTTCATAATGCTAAAAGAAGAAAGTTTCATTAAAAGATTCAACAATATCTACATTTAATCCTATGCTTTGCACTAACTGTTGTTTGGTGAAATGGCAAGGTTAGAATGAATTATTTTCGTATTCGATCTCCTAATAAAAAATTTCACCATATTGTTCGAATCTGTCAATTACTTTTTCAGAGTCAACCGAGATATTATATTCCTAACTTTGCACATATGTGAGTAATAAAAAAATCAGCATAATTAATTTATTATAATATATATATTGCACTCATCAAACTTACTATACTCTAGATATATTACTGATTATAGAAAACTATGAGGTATGTGTCCCAGTCTAATTAAATTTAATAATTTTAGTTGGACTTTCAAAAGTTTATATTGTAATTTCATTTTATTTTTGACCATTCAAATCTAGGTTGTGAACAAATTAATTATACTTCTTGAATTCTTTGATGAGTAAAACAACCATTATAATAAATACTAATGCAACAAAGAATAAAGTTAAATAAATTAAAAAATTTTATTCTGTTGTGATTATAGGTTTGATTGATTAGATAATATATTCTTAATTATAAGTGCATATCCCATTCTCTTATTTCTTACATTCAGAAATGTGTGAATAATTTAATTTAATCTATTATTCATGTTCAAAGTAACAATACAAGTAACTCTACTTCAACTCTAATTTGGAAAAGTAGAAATTATGAAGACTAACACCCAACAGATACAAAGATCCTTGAGATTTTATATAATTCAATTTAAGTAATGAAGGCATTATAAAATGCTATTATTTTATTTGAAATGTTGATGGAATTGAATGAAATATGACTGTATTTCCATTTTGACCTAAAGTAATAGCAATATGATCTAAAATATCTATATCAACAATGAGTGAATTAATTATATGTTTATTTATCTATTTCCAACTAAAATCAGTATAATTTAATTAAATTTCTTAAATTATTGTTTATTAATCTTAATAACTAGCAATCATCATTATATTATTATATATATCAATAATATCTCCAGAAAATGGTATAATACCAAGTCGCTCATTCTTATAAATTAATGTAGATTTTGGATTATATATGAATGGTGTGACTCCTAAATCATAATCAAGTAAATAGATAAAGTATACATCAAATTAATGAAATACTTTGAGATCAGTTGCATTATTAATTTAATACTCAAAATCTATTGAACTTAAAATTTATCCATTTAATTAAAATATTTTTAAGCCTCCTACACCCATTGCAATAAATAACATATTATTAACAACAGCTTTACTCATAATTTTATTAGTATTGAAAGATTCATAAATTCTAAAAGATTTCGAAAATATCTTTTCAGCCTTTACATTTAATGTAATGCCTACTGTTTCCGAATACATGATTATAATTAATTAATTATTAATAGTCTCCATAAATACAGGATTTTGGAGGATGGTTAAATTTATGTTGAGATTAATTTTGTCTGATACAATAAAGGTTTCATTTAGGAATCGAATGTATATAAGTTCTGCTAAATTCGTTAAAATGACTACATCATTATCAATATTGACAAAAGAAATTATATGAGGTATTAATCCTAAAAAATGTCCATCATTAAAAAATTAAGAAAATTGCTCTACCAAATATTAAGGTATGATAGGTAATGATTACTATAACAAATTCTGATTGATTAGTTACTATGGTACAACCTAACAAGGAGAAGGAGTTAAATTTATTTCGGATGTTGATGTGAGATTTTGTTCTATGATAATCCCTGCTGTTTAATAATATTCTATGATTTGAGGGTATCCTATAAGTATTTCATATAATTAAATCGAGTTTGCAATAGAGAGAGTTAGAAAAATCAACATTTTAGTATAGTTATTTTTATATATATATAAAATGCAAATCCAATTTAAATACATATAAATCAAATAGTAAATATATTCATTAATTATTTTTGATTGAAAATATTATATTTTACCGATAGACTTTTTAATTAAAGTTTAATAAAGAGTAGCTCCAAGTGATTCACATCTGAATTTGATTCCTTAAGAATCTATTCTAAAAACACTACTAATTTACCCAATCCGAATCCAGAATGAATTGACAGGAATTAGGTTATTATGAAATCCTATAATTAACTGTCTATTTTCTCTTTTTTATTATATAACTATTCAACCTTCTTAATAATTTCTAAAAATATTTACAAGAGCTGATTTGAAACTTTCTTTTGATCCTCAAGATTTCTTTCACTATATACATGTTTATTAATTTGATATTTCAAACTCTTTAATTAGAAATGCCATTATTTACTATAGATATCATTAGAATCAATAATATTCTTGATACAATTTAATTAATATAATAGCTTCTTTATTTGAATTAGATCATCAACCTATTCTTGAAATTGATCTTAATTAAGTAAATTCTCAATATTGTTATATTGTAATCTATCAAATTCATAGGCAATCTTTTTAATCCCTTTATATATCTAACATTAGATTCTCTAAGAGTCTTTTGGATTCATTAGAGTATTTTTCTCTTCTAATCTTTTTAAATTATTAGGAGATAATGGAATTTATCTTGTAATTTCATTAATTCTTGTTGTCTAAATCTTATTTTCTAATCCCAAATTATCTAACTAAGCCAAGCTCTATACTTTTATAGACAAAATGTCATCACATTCATCTGATAATTATGATTAATAAAATATTTCATTTTTTGTTAAAATATGCTAAATCTCTACTTTTTAAAAGCCCTTTAAATATTTATAGATAGTTAGATCATTCTTTAAATAATCTATTGGAATTAAATCATGATAATCTTTCTAAAATATGAATTCAGGAAATTTGTAAATGAAAAATTTTACAATATAAATTTATCTTGTAAGAACTGCCAAATGTAAACAATTTTATTTTTATCTTTATGTTTTCTATCTAAAATTGAATTTATATTCTTTTTGTTTATAGATGTATTCAATCACTTGGATATATCCTTTCGATACAGCTAAATGAATAGGAGTTTAACCATTATTATTGATATGATTACCATTCACTCCATTTTTTAATAGTAATTACATAATCTTTTGAGCTTCTACTTCATTCATTTAATAAACACAAAATAAGTAATGAATACTATTATTACCATAAATATCCAATTCATGCAATCCTACATTACGCTTGATTAAATCAAACACTAAATAATATTATAATTTTGATACTGCAATATTCAAACAACTCCTAGCCCATGAACTATATATTAATTATAAACATACGCTCCTTTATTAGGGTCAGCATTTGCATATAATAAGTATCTTGCTGCTAAATATTTCTCTTCCCAAATTGACAATCCTAAAGGAGAGTAATCATCCTAATTAATTTCATCAATTTAGAATTTCTTAGGTTCTGACAATAATGTTCTCAGCATACCAATATCTTCATCTAAAATTGTCTAATGTATTTTATATTAAATCTAAATGTCTTTGTCCTGGTATTTTAAAGCAAATTATTTATATGCAATTGAGCTTAATAATTGCTTTGCAGATATAGTTTCACCTGTACAACATAACTCAATTGTATGCAACAACTAATATATTAAATCTTAAGATTGAAATAACTCCTGAACTCCTGGATCTCCATACTTAAACCAATCTAATTAGAACACATTTAAAGTATCTACTTTAATTACTTTAATACATTTTAATTTTGTAATACTCCTTGGGATTTCCATATAGCTGTTATGTGAAATGAATAATTGATCAAGTTACAATAAATCCCCTATTTCATTAGATATCTTCTTAATATGATTTTGTGAAATATCTAGTTATTATAAATGCTTGAATCTTCCAAATTAGAATTCTTATAATAGATTATTTCTGATGAACAATATTTCTAAATTCTTTAATCCATCCAATATATTGTAATCTAATAGTTTAATATAATTGTCATTCAGATTCAATGATATCAATTTTTTTAGTTTTTACATTCCCTCTGGTAATTAAGTAATTCTAGTCTATTGTAATGACAAATATTTTAAGGACTCATCAAAATTTTGTTGATTATTCTAAAAAGCAAACCTAGGTACTTAACTTTTTTGGTTGATTTTGCTTCTAGTTACTTATAATTATAAGTCATATTCCTAATCCATTGATTTATTAATATATATTATATTATTCTAATCAAATATATACTCTATATATAATAATTCAGCTGCCAATTTTTGATCAATATTTATTGAATATTTACTTATTAGAATTCTAGACAAATTAATTTGCTATATAAGAAATAATTTGAATTTATAAAATCAAAATTACTCATTAAATGAAATAGTGGGAGAAGCAATAAAGTTAAAAACTCTATGAAAAACGAATTCAACATGCAAAAGCACAAGTGCCTGTTTCAAATAAGAAAAAATCAACTAAAGTCAATGAATCAATGAACTCTATGAATTCATCTATTTCAGGATTCACACTCAAAGAAAAAGAAGACAAAGAATCTATTCCTCTATACAAATTGTTAAAATTGTATCATTTATAATAATATGCTCAATAACTAATAACAAGAGGATATGGATATGATTTAGTTAAATTTGCAATGCTTTCAGACAATTAAATTTAATCTCTCTTCACAGATATCAAAGTATTACCAGGTCATAAAGTCAAACTCTTAGATCTAATAGCATATATTAAAGAAATGATAACTCCTTTAAATTAATCTAAATTTCGAAACACTAGTTATACAAAAAAAAATAGTAAAATCATAACTCAATAAAAACCTAAAACAAGTCAAACACAAAGAATACGACCACAATAATTTTAACAATAATAATTATAATAACAATAATAACAAATATAAGCTATTAACAATAAAAAGCAAATGAAAATTACAAATATAGGTATTGATTTTTTCTAAGATGAGAGTGATTATGAAGATGAATTTAATTAAGCCTTAAATTAAATTATGGAAAAATATAAAGGAGATACAACCACAATTATTAATTCAAATAATCAAACTCTCTAAAATCAATATAGTAAACCAATATTAACAAAAACTAATAATTTTTTATAAACTACAACAGGACCTATTCTAACTGATAGTAGTAGAACTCATACAAAGCCAAAAGCTAAAGATGATATCATTTTGGTCAGCAAATTTCAAGATGATAAATTGATTACTGAAGTTAAGTAAAACAAGTAATGTATAAACTTATTATTTTAGGTTGATAAGTAATTTAGAAAAGCAATTAAATTAGAAAAAAAGAAAAAGAAATTTTGAAGAAGATGAAAATTTGCCAGATTTACAAATGTCCTAAATTCGACATATGTATTTATCTTATGATACTGGAAAATTGACTTCAACACTTGTGAATTTGGATATTGAGGAAATGAGTAATTGTTTGGCTTGGGCTATACTTAAACATATACAGTTTAGTAAAAGAATTAATTATTCTACAATGAAAAATTCAAGCATTCCTTTTTCTATGGATTTCAGATTTAGAGGAACTGGCATGAATTTATAAGATAATTCCCAAAATCCTATTGAAGAACCAACTCAATTACATCTCGATAGTGAATAATAACAGTAACAATAGATAGGATTATTCTAATCTTAATAAATAACTAAATTAGATAAAACGAATTTAAGTAGCAAATAAAATAAGACCTTGGCCTAAATAAGTGAAAAAACCTTAAGCAAAGATGAAAATGATTTCGATGTTAAGAGGCAGGAAATATAAGAAATTTTGAAGGAAAGCTACCTTCATTAAGAATAATTTGGAAATGAATAAAATGATGATTATTCACAAAATGAATAAGATTATGATGTTTGTTCAGAAGAAGAAGAAATTGAAAATGAAAATTAAATCATTGAAATGTAATAAAATGAGTCTGACTCCTTTAGTCCTATTAAACCTAAATATATATAGCCTTAGTAACAATAATTGGTTAAAGTAAATAATATTTCTGAAGAATCTTTATAACACATTGAGGATTCTTAAAAAATATACAATTATTCTCAAAGTATCCCTTATTAAGATTAATAATCCTTATTCTAATCTAAATTTGATTTCATAGAAATGGAAGATGATGACAAAGAGCTTAGGCTCTAATACTAAAAAACTTATTTTGATGTTAATTCTGAGTAAGTTATACCAACAGCTGAAGTTGTAAGTAACTATTGTAAAAATATTATAATAACCTCAAAAATGGAAAAGGAAGTTACTATCCTTTGTCTAGTTTATATAGAAAGATTATTAACATTAGCTAATGTAAGTTTAGAACCACAAACCTGGAGAAGAGTAGTCTTAATATCATTAGTATTTATCTTGATTCTAACTCTAGATTATTGCATCTAAGATATGGGATGATGAATCCTTTGAAAATGACAATTTTGCTAAAGTATTTCCTCAATATCGAACAAAAGATATTAATGAGATGGAAAGAATATTTTTAATGCTATTGGATTATAGACTATAAGTTTATCCAGCTGAATATGCAAAATATTATTTTATTTTGAGAATGTATACAGAAAGCAAAAAAAGAAGTTTTCCTTTGAGACCATTAGATTTAAATACTATCATGAAACTCCAAAAATAATCCAATCAAGCAGAATATGGATTGAAATAAAAGTATGCATAGAGTTTAAATAAATCCTTTTGAATATAAAATAACTAATAGAATAATAAAATTGATATTATATTTTTGATTTCATTTTAAAGATTTAATTATTTGTTTTACTATAAGTTCCTTAAAAATTAATTATTATAATATTAAATGTAAAAAATTAAATAAAAATAGATTTTACAAAAATAATTAATAATGCTTTGAATTATATTTATGATAATCGATAAAATTAATTATTTATGTACATTAATATTTTTTTGATAAATTATATTTGTATAAATAAAACTGTTAAAAACATTATTATTATTATTCTATCCTGTAAAGAAAGATTATAAATAAAAAAAATTATATCATCTTTCCTAAGTATTGTAATCTTATAATTATTCTTTCTATTGGCTTTCTCTAGCTTTAAAGGCACTTTTTGACATGAAGTAGAATAGAATTATACCTTATTAGAAATTTTAATTCAAATAAAACTATAATTATTTACAAATATGGTAGCCATTTATTATATTTTGCTCTCTGATTTTATATCTATTGATCATTAATTTAGAAAAAAATTTTCAGATTGTTGAAAAACAATAATGTATATCAATTCATTCATAAAATGGAGGAATAGCATTTCCGCAAGTAGGACAAAATAATTTTATTTCCATCCTACTTTTTAAACATGAAGGATGAAATATATGTCCACAGGGTGTAATCATTAGTGCTCTACTAACTTAATGTCTGTCTAAATCGTATTCTTATTAATCAGGCTCAATCATTAAATGTAACAAACATATTGTGCAAGCTTCTTCAAGTTGTTATGGTCTATAATCTTAATAATAATTGTATTATTTTGGTAATAAACATCTTGGTATAATTTTACGAGGACCCTTTTTATATTGGATATACAATATAAAAATTTAAACCAAGTAGATTAAAACCCAACAAATACAAAATTCAAGTTATAGTTTTGATCTTCCAAAATTAAAGGTAAATCCTTTGAAATATAACTTAAACTATTATATTAATATACAGGAGCAGCAATATTGATAGATAACAATCCAAAAATATATTCTGGTATGAATTTTGGATTAGTTCCTAATCTAATATTGTGTATAATTTAAGGAGTCATAAAGAATCCTATTATCAATAAAAATGAATTATACTATTTATATTTTTATAATAAACCAAACAAATTATAGAATGAAATACCTATTGAATAATAATAATAAATTCTTACAATATATAAGAATATATTTAATGAAAAATTTTATTAAATTTAAGTTTTAAGATTAAAATCTTTTTTACAAATGATCCAAAATAATGATACATTAATGCTGAAAATAAGGCAATAAAAGAAAAATGCAAGTAAAATAAAATATTCAGAATACTAATATGATGTAAATATAAATTTATACGTCTCCTGTATATGGTAAACGAATATTTTCAAATGCTATGAATGAATTATAAATTGACACAAAACCTAAACAGAGAATAGAAATCTAAATAACATAATTAGATTTACTCTTTAAGCAATAGAATTTTCATAAATCTCTTTCAACCCTTTTAATCAATTTTTTTAAACAGCAAAATTATATAAGAGATAATACATTTAAAAAAGTACTATAAAGCAATATTTATTCTTAAATGCTTGATAAATAATTCTAATATTCTGAGTTTATTTAAATTTCGCATTTTTATCATAACTTTTCTCATTTTATAATTTGACTGTAAAGTCTATTTTCTTTTAATCTACTTCATCTAATATTTATTCAAATGCTATATTACATTAATGATAATTTAATTATATAGTATATTCAACCTCACAAGAGATCTTAGATAGCCCTACTTTATTTTTTTAAAATTAATCGTACACAAAATTTGTTTTTCCATGCCATGATCTAAATGTTATATTAAAACATTACAATGTTTTTTCGTTAAAATCAGTAATTTTAAATTATCCGATGATTTATTTTTCATCAAAGTAACTAGGATCAAGAAAATATATCAAAATGGAACTTATTTTATTTGAGAATGGCCCCTAATTATAAATGTCAACTTTAAATTATATAAATGTTTCCCCTTTTTTCTATTCTAAATAATTAAATGGCTATATTATAGAAGTAATTTTAAACATTGTTTGTTAATGATTCCCACTTTCCATGATATCTATTTATCAACAATAATTCATTAATTTTAGTGATGTTATAACCCACTGCATCCATTAATTATATCATCATTAAGAATATTTAAAACATTTTTTAATTATTAAATTATATAATCTTATTCAACTTTTTGAATATTATATTAATAAAGAAATAATATCATTAATTAAAAATGACATTTTAATTACAAACTTCTTTTTTAATAAGGGTTTACAATATTCATTTTAAGATTAATACTATCCATCTCATAAATCTCTTTTTTCCAACATCTCAAAATTATTTTTAATACTGATTGGTAATATTAGCTCCACTTAATATTGAAGATATTTAAGACATATAACAATATTTCTAATAATAAGGCATTTGGTTGTGATGAAATTTTAGATATTTTCCTGAAATCAACCAAAAATTACAGCTTATTAAGTGACTTCTAGTAAAACTCAGCTTTATAATCTAATCCTTTATGCTTTTAGGCTAGACTAATTTTTTAAATACGTTTTCCTCACATAATTTAGACCCATCACTGTATTGAACTCGTTATTCAAATTTTTAAAATTATGTTAACTCTCTCATTTTTAGAATTACATGGTATTGAAATTATAAAAATAATAAACCTGATTCACACTAAATTCTTCAACTTAAATCCTCATTACTAATACCTAACTTTTCTAAATTTTGTTTTATAAGAAAATTTTGCTTTCGCAAGATCTTAAAATTGAATTTTCAAGTATACTATAAGGATCCTTCAACAAATTAAGCTTTTTATTTTGATAATGGAGTGCCTTAGGGCTCTCCTCTCTCCACTACTTTATTTAAAATATATTTAGAAGATCTTTTAGATAAGGTATTTATTGATTTTACTCAATATTACTAAAGTTTTTAATTTTGCTGATTACATAGCCCCAATTATTAAACATAAGGATAGTCTTGAGTACTTACAATTCTTGAAAATACTCTATTTAATGCAATCTAAAAATTAAAAGATGAAAGTGTGCAATATTTTTGCTTCACAATCATACAAAGATCAAATAAGATTATTAACTATCCTGTAATTTAAGAACAAAGATACTGAGATTTATTAGTAGGCAACAATGTAAAAAATAGAATAGCATTATCTTAAATTAAACTCTTGTTAATTATATTAACTTGAAGATGTAATGGATATCTCATCAAATTTCTTGGAAATAAAAGTGCCATCTAAGGCATACTTATTACTCTTATATTTTATATTCTTCAAGTGAATTACCATCCTAAAAATATAAAAATATCTTTAAGGAAATAAAAAAATATGCAAAAGTAGTGTTAAAAATTTTGTAGGTTTACCAAAAAAAAAAGACTTCCAAACCAAATAGCTTATTCTTTAATACCCAATCTTTAGTTCTTAATTATGAGAGCTCCATAATAAAAATTTGAAAATGCATTAAGATAAATTACTAATATACCACCAAGGAGTATGATTGAAATTTGAAAAGAGGGTTTGATTAAATCAAATTGATTGTCTTCCTAATAATTTGACATAATTATTCAAATTATATACATAAATTTTTGAATAGCACAATTTTAACTTACTCTTTCATCATATAATGAATTACCATCCATATTCTCTTCGTCAGCACTACTAATTCAATTAAGAGATAAAAAAAGTTAAAAAGAGATTAGAGAAATTTATTACGAAGATTTAACAATAATAATAATTTGTTTTAGTGATGAATAATTTTTTTGCATATAAATCACTTGAAATGAAATAGAAAGATAAAGTGTTCCATGCATTTTCTCTACAGCTTATCGTCCAGAATTTAACTGTTTTGAACTTGTTTTGGTTGGATAAAAAAAATTAGTAATATTGTAACCTTCTAAAACTTCTTAATATGTGTATTAGATCCCCTGAATCATTAATGAAATCAATTGTTAATTGTTTGAAGTATGGTGTAGTAGCATATTTAAACCTCAACTTTAAGAACTATAATTTATAGAGTGAAAAAAGTATGTGCTTTAAAGCAAAATCAAAGACAATATAATTATTAACATGTTTAAAATTAAAATATTTTTAATTCTTTTCAGATTGATTTAATTTGTAAAAGATAAAATTATAATAGAATTATTAGAAGTGAAATAAATTATTCTTGTCACGCTATTTTTCATGCAGACAAGAAACCTTAGCAGAATTATTCCAAATGGAGTTCTTACCATAAAATTGTTTATGTTAATATGCTATCATGAACAAAGTTGATAATGAATTTCAGATTCATTATGAAAAGAATGAAAAAATCATAAAATAGTTATGTGATTAAACCTTGAATCAAACTGATATCACAACAAGCAGCAAATTAATCTAGATTAAAGTATAAATGCTGGCTATCAAAAAAAATAAGAAAATTAAATCTAAATGATTTTATAAACAATTAAGATTAGTATGCTAATCGCTATTAGTTTAAGAAAATAATGATCATCCACTTTATGATGAATGTTTAAAAAATATTCAGTATCATGATCTTCGATATACAAACTTGTGTAAGATGTATAAGTTAGAGGTGAAAAAGAAAATAATTTAATAAATTGTAAAACACTCAAAAATCAAACCCATATAGATGTATTTCAAAAATACAGATAATTGTTAAAGTCATTAAATTTTTAATTAGAATCAAGAATATTTATAATATATATATGAAATCTATTTCATTTTCATAATACATTATTTATACTTAATAAATTCTTGATAATATTTAATTATTTCAAAACACTCAAAAAAATTATGGAAATGTGGTTAATCTTTAATTATTGTTATTGATTCTACATTCAATCAGTATTTTGTTTCGTTTTATAATATTATAAATTATTAAATAAATTATGATAATTGAAAAAAAAACTCATTCAGACTTAGTGTTTATAAATTATTTATTTATTATGATATCAATAATCACCAAAATATTGATTGTGTATTTCTTTTTTATAGGGTGTTGTTAAGATATATGCAATCAATATTTATCTTATTCATAATGTATCGGTAGTATTTAGAGTCAATGCAAGTGGGACGAAGCAAGAAATAATTGCCATTATACAAATGATTATATGTAAGGATGCAGTAAGTTTTTGAATGTTGTGGCCTGTTAAAAATAATTAGGAACTCCTTTAGGATAGTTTGCAAATTGTATGATATAAGATTGAATTAGGTCGATTTATAAAATTCTGTGAAAATATACCTGATGTATAAACTGAAAAATGTTATAATAATTTATCAAAATATGGATGTTTAATTGTTCAAAATCCAATATAGATATGCATTTGGAAAAATAAATAGTGTTATTTATTGGAGACAAAATAGTAATTAAAGTTAATTTAAGATGATTTTGATAAGATGATGTATAGTGCTTCTGCCTGCTCTCTAATAGAACATTATTTAGTAATACATAGTAGTTTATTGTGGAATCTAATATCCTATGTTCCAAATTTGAAATTAGAGGCTTTTCAACAATAATAAAGAGATTTGAATATTGAAATTACTGAAAAAATTGATTATGATGATCCAAATCTAGTTTAAATGTAGAATAATTATTTAATGAAAAATGGAAATTATGTTTGGTATAAATTAGGATTATCATTGTAATATATAAAAACAAATTGTAAAAAATTAATTTATTATATAGTATAAATATCAAATAGATTTAGAGAAGGTTGTATTGCATTAGAAATTTTAGATGATAATGATTTTTTATCAATTTTTAGTTTATAAAATGAAATAAAAGGAGTAAATCACATTTATTGCAAATATTTAAATTAAAATCCCATGATAATAGAAAGATATATATTCATAGATAATAAATGTATAATATTTAATACAAATGAATTATTAAAATAAGAAATAACAGAATAGTATAAGATAAATTGTAAATAATTAGATAAATATTAATGTATATTCTTTAATTCAAAAGAATATAATTGTAAAATTGAAGATGACTTTAATGAATATTAATGCATTGAAGATTAAAATTAATATGATACTGATTGTATTGAAGTATTTTGTACAATTAAGTAATGTCAAAAATTAGATAATCATTATATTGATTTAAAGACTAATATGTGTGTTGATACTTGTACTACGATATCAAATATGATAGAATGTTTAAATTAAGATTGCAAATATTTAGGTGTTAAGAGCATAGAATAGTAAATAATTTGTGCACCTCCAAATATATGCAATTAAATAGGTTTAACAAAATCTAATTGTTTATTATTAAAAGCAAAATGTAATTGGGATAATAATGAAAATAAATGCTATGAATTGAAAGACAATGAAATTTCATTAATGAAATGTAAAGATGCATTAAGTATACATGTTTGCACTTTCATATTATTAAGTGATTAAATTTGTTATTGGTCTAAAACTATAATGTAATGTATCAACATACTTGATTAACCTCTTTTAATGGCACATAAAATTTTTATAGACAGAGACTTAAACGAAAATGATGAATAGTAAGTAAGTTTAGTTTGCAATATGAATCTTTGTAAATATAATTCTTTAATTGCAACTGAGTTTGATGAAGGGAAAAGAATATGCTTATTCGATTAATTCAAATTTAGTAATAACTTACATTTAATCAACAAATATCATTGTCTGAATAATTTGAAAGGTTATTATTAATGGAATTAGTAAATGCAAATTTGCGAAAAATATGAATAATCCTAAATTCTAAATAAATAATGTTTGGAATTGGTTGATGTAAATGAACGATTCTGTTAATATGGGAAATTATCATCAAAATCTTTTTTATGTATTTATGATTAAATCACTACTTCTTGTATTGAAAAAACTGAAAATGAAGTAAATGAATTAGGATGTTTTGGGAATGGATTATCAGAGGAGAAATGTTTAAATAAAAATGTTGATGGATAATTTTGTAGTTATTCAGATGGATTATGTATTGAAATATCTATAAATACTATAAATCATCAACAGTGTTCATCTCTTCTTAATGTTAATTAATAAGTTTGTAGAATGTATTTTGTTAATTAAATATTGTGTAAATATAATGAATTAACTCATTCATGTAATTAATTAAGTATTACTGATACTATTGAATATAATTATAATTTAAATAGATATGCATGTTAAGCAGTGACAGATATTTATACATATTTTGATGAATAGATAAATAGATGTATTTAATTAGATTCAAATGATAATATTTATTTTAAGAAATTAAAATGTGAAGAAAATTATGTTAATAAGATGACTTGTTTAAGAATTGTAACAGATAGATAAATATGTATATGGAATACTTTTATAAATAAATGCAGAAATTATGTTGATAATTTTCCAAGTTGTTCTTTTTTTGAATAAGGTAGCAGCAAAACATGCTCTAGTTTAATGAACAAGAATAAAATTTAATAAACTATGGAAAATTATTGTGTTTATTAAAATAATTAATGTAAATCAAAAATAGAAAGTTAGATTGATTGTGGAGATAATGAAATAATGAATATTCATCGTTGTAGTGGTATGACAGGTATTGACTAAGATGGTTAATTTGTTTAAATGTGTGCATTTGTTGATTATCAGTGTAGGACGTTGGTTGATTAAAGTATGGATACAGAAATAATACTAAATACAATTACTTGTGAATAAGCTAATTAAAAATCATGTAAATAAGTAAAGACTCCAGGTTAATATTGTTATGTGTCATCAACAGAAGATATAAATAATATTACTTTAAATAAAGGATGTAGAAATTAGAAATAAGATAGAAGTTGGTGTTATTATTTAAATTACTTATTTTCAGATATCAATCGATTAAATCCAAATATATGTTCTTAAGCAAGTGATGAATGTGTGTATGATTCAATAGAAGGTTGTATTTATCCTCCTGATTACACTTCTAATTATGATTGTGAACATCCAGGATTATCTTAATACGTATGTGTTGGATATACAAATGACCGTAGATGTGCTTTTATAAACAATATTTGTTAATATATTTCAGAAAATTAAATATTTATAGATGACTGCAGTCTTCTTAATTAATTTGCTTGTTCTTTATCACCCTTTATTTAATGTATTTGGAATGAATATCAAAGGATTTGTGAGTCTATGAATTTGGATTATATATAATCTATTACTAGTAATTATTTCTGTTCATCTAATCACAATGATATTTTCATTTTAGCTGGTGAAACTGAATGTATTTAAATAAAATTAGGTGATTATAATTTATATACTTGTGATACTCCAGGATTGAACAAGTTTGGATGTCATTCAATACCTACATAATATTGTCAATATTTGAATAATAAATGTTAATATTATTCTCCAGTATTATGTGAAGATTATTCTTTTGAATGTGAATCAAATGATACTAATGATTAATAATGTGTATTTTAGGATGGCTAATGTTTTGCCATAACCAATACTCTATTTGATTGTGATTCATTTGAAAAGACTAATTACCTATTTTGTCTTCAATATCCTTATTGTATTTATAAAGATTCTAAATGTCAATAGATAATTGAATATTAACATTATCAAAATTGTTCAAGTATAAATGATGTTACAACATGTACAGTGTAAAATAATTAACATTAATGTTAATATTAATAATTTTGTAAGAGTTTAGATTTGGTATTAGATAAATGTCCATCCCTTATTGGATATTATTCAAGAAATGCATGTAAACATTTTTAGGATTGTTAATATGGATATACAAAAAGTGGTTATGGCTTTTGTTTTTAAGGATAGAATATTTTAAATTTAACATGTGAATAATTACCATAAAATCTTTGTTTAGAAGATTTAACACATTTAAATAGTGATCTTAAATGCTTTTTGGATGATAATGATACATGTTAAAATATTTAAAATTATACTATTCTAACTTGTAATAATTTATCAAAATACAAATTCAGTTATGCTGCATGTATGTATTTTGGTAATATTGATTGTAAGTATTCTTTTTAAGATAATAAATGTAAATTAGTGAATGAATATATTAGTACAATATGTCAAGGATCTTCTAAATTATAATGTGATTTGATAGAATCCATCTGTTATTTTAATGATTCTATATGTACAACATCTGGAAATGATAATCAAATTAATAAATATGGATGCATTCATTAAACTGGATATTATCATTATTATTAAGGAAATTGTAAATCATTAGAATCTACAAATTATTAATAATCTTGCCACAATCTTTCTAAAGATGCATGTCTAAGCAAACTCACTAAAGAAATTCATTGTAGATGGATTAATGAGAAGTGTAAAACAGTACTCAAATAGGAAAATAAAGAAATATAATCATGTTAGGATTTAAATTAAAGAGTTTGTCAAGAAATAGCACTCTCAAATATACAATGTTAATGGAATTCAGATATTGAAAGTTGTTAAACTATTACAGTATCTCAGTTTGATTGTACATTAGCTGATTAAATTAATAATACATCTAAAAGTCTATGTAATAATTAAATAAATAATTATTGTGTTCGACACATTGATGGAACTAAATGTTCTATTATTACCATTAAATTAAATTCTTGCATTCATTATGGATTAAATTTTAATGCTTGTTTAGAATTAACTACTGTCCCCTGTATATGGAAATAATATAATAAAGGAGGATATTGTGAAAATGCAAATCTCTATTCATCTTAATGTTCAGATTTACTCAATGAGAAGGCTTGTATTAATCTAAAGAATTTAGGGTAGTATTGTATGTGGGATATAAATTAAAAACGTTGTAAACATTAAGAGATTACTACCTGCTCATCAGCTAGTCATCTTAATGGAATTTTACCATGCAAAGCTGTAAATCTTGAACTTTGTTAATATAATCAATAAATTAATGAATGCTAAAAAATAAATATTATACCAACAGATTGCTCTGAATTTTATAATAAATTAACCTGTATTTAATCTAGTAAAGGTTGTGTTTGGAATTTAAACTCGTGTAAGTAATAAATAATATTAAAATGTGAATTGTTTTTAAATAAATATGTATGTTTGAATAACCAATAAGTTGGATGTAAATGGATTGATAATAAATGTGAATCATTTGAATCTCTATCAACTAAGATATATTGTGTAAATTTACCAAAAGGACTTAATAAATTTGCATGTCGATCTAATTCAATAGATCCTTGTAATTTAAATTATCATTAAGAGGTTTGTGTATCAACTTAATCAGACTCATAAAATTTTGATGATTATTTTACTGTTTCATAACTCTTAGATATTTAAACTTTGGATTATCCATAACCATTATTGTTTAATCAATGTGAATACTTTTAAACAAAATATGATTGCATAAATTCAAGAAAGTAAGATGAACCATGTATTTGGATTAATAAATGTTAAAAAGTTACAAATTTTGACATATTGAAATGTTCAGACTCACTAAATATATGGGGTTGTTTAAAGATTACGAATACTAATGAACTTTGTTTTTGGAATCATAAATGTTTGTATTGGACTTAAGATAATCCAATTATGTCAAATGTTAATATTAATGTTTGTATTAATCATAGTCAAAGTAGCATATATTTTGATTATTCTTGTAAAATCAAAGATATATTACTAATAGATTGTAAATCACTTGGTATAAGTAAAAAAACTTGTTTATCTATTTCTAATAAATCTTGTTAGTGGTTAGAATAATTTAATTAATGTTAAGAATTCATTTAAGATAATAAATAAAATAAATGTTCAGATTTTTAATTAGTTTCACCACATGTTTGTTAAATGATATCTGATTAAGTTTGTATCCATGATAAAAATACATTTAGTTGTGTTGAAACAGACAATAATAATTACATTTCTGGTCTATCTAAATTAGCATGTCTTCAAAATAACTAAAAACCTATGTATTGGAATGAATCAAATAATTGTGAAGAATTAAAAATAACAATAAAGTGTGATTCATAATTAAAAGTAAATTCAATTTCTTGTTAAAGCATTTCTGAAATCCCTTGTTTATATAATAATAAATTAAACTAATGCATTAGCTAGTTTAATGTATGGTCACTCAAATGTGATACAGCTGGATTAAATTTAAAAGGATGTAGTATGGTGTAATAAGAACCATGTATCTTTATGAATAATAAATGTTAAAAATTTATTGATTATTAGTCCACTTGTATAATGGTTAATAATGTAAATGCTTTGGCTTGTGCATCAATAATTGATGATAATTGTATATATGATTCAATTAGACTAAAATGTGATATTCCAATCTATCAATCTGATTAATGTAATATTCCTGGAAAGAATAAAAAATTTTGTGAAACAAATTCTCTTTGTAATTGGAATTAGGAGAATTTAGATTGTAAATGCATAGAATTCTAATCAGAAATATGCAAATTTGATAAAATTAATGAATGCAAAATGAATATAAATTGTTATTTCAATGGTAATTAATGCATCAGAAAATAGTGTTATCATTTATAAGAATAAGAATGTAATTCTATTCTAGATGATAAATATTGTTACTTAACTATCTTTAATGATTGTCAATCAGCAAGTAAATGTGAAGATATTATTGATTCAAAATTACCATGTTCTTCATTTTCTATAAATTTAAATCAATGTATTTAAGCAGGGAATCAGTGTGTTTCATAAAATAATCTAGATTTATATTGTTCATACTCAGATTGTTCAAATCCTAAATGTTTTTATGAATTTGGCATATGTAAATTAAAAACCTGTTCTGATTATAATATCGAAGATTGTAATAACATAGGTGATTGCTATTTAGATTAAAACAATATATGTTAAATATTAACTTCATGTTCTTAGATAAATAATTATGGAGAATCTTCTATGAATATTTGCAATCAATTAACTGTGTAAGGTTTTAGATGTAATTGGTAAAAAATGGGTATTTTAGATACTACCGAAGTATGTACAAATCAACCATGTTAATTGTATGGATCATCAAAAAAGTTATGTCATGGAAATGAAATAAATGGTTACTCATGTATACTTTCTAGTTCATTAATATGTTAATAATGCGAATAAATTAAAGAAAAATGTTAATGTGAAAATTAATAATAGATTTGTTCTTATGTTAATGGAAAATGTGTTTCAATCTTATGTTCTTCTTTCCTAACAAAGATTGAATGTTAATAGGCCTAAGATCGTTGTTATTGGAGTACACAAATGATAGAGGATAATACTATTGTTGAGTAATGTGTCATAGAATGTATTAAGATAATTGATTCTGGAGAATGTGCTGCTCGAAAATAGGAATGTTATTATGAACCATTATAAATGAAATGTTTAAAGGGTTAAAAAGAAATTATAGATTTAAGTACTAATATAAGTATAGAAGAATTTTATTCCAATAATTTATCATTATTGATCCTTATTTTTATGTTATTTTTATGAATTTAAATCATTATACTAGTAATTCTAATGATATTATCAATAATTTTTATTAACTAGATTCTATTATTATCTTATTTTTAGATACTATAATAGATTTAATTTATATTTATTTAATTTAAAATATATTTTATTTATAATTGCTGTTAGGAATTAAATAAAACAAATTATGAAAGCTTTAATATATTGAATAAGGAAGATAATAATCTTAATTATTGAATAGATAATAATTAGATATTAAATTGTGAATTGTTTATGATTTACTCATCTATTTAACTAAATGAAAATATGAAATTTAATTAATTAATTTAATATATAATAAAATGGCAGACGTGAGAGAATAGAGAATTTATTGTGCTGAATAGATTGTAGTACCTCCTGAATTACCAGTGATTTTGAAACATTATGCAAAGGAAGTTATTAGAAACAAGCCAGGAGATATTGTAGACTTCTCTGCAAAATATTTTAGATCATTATTAGAAAAAAGAAGTAACTGTTTTGTTTAATTTGAATTTGCTTAGCCAAAGAACACGAATTTTCTGAGATAGTAAAACAATGAAACCAATATTAATTATTATTAAAATATTAATTATCTCATTTTTTAGTTTTCATATCACTAGCTTATTGTGAATCATGTTAAGCTTTAAGTTTTTTAATTTTATCTTCCAAATGTTTTTTATCTTATTCTCTTCTTTTTTATAATCTTTATTAACTCAATACACCCAATTAAAGTTTACGTAGATTACAGAATAATTCTTCTATTTCTTAATTTAAAGCTAATTTAGTATTTTAAAGCACTTCTTTTAATTACCGATCCAATTTATCTTTAATTGAAGTAGGTAATGGTAATGCTTCATTAATCCATTTATTTCTTAAATAAACTATTCTCTCTGTTGTAGTCTTTTTAACTTCCTCATTTCTTTATGACATATCTATAATATAATTAATAGATTAATCATCAATGTCCTAAATGATAAATACATTTTACATCATATTCTTATAAATTTATAGATTTGCATAAACTTTTGTGTTCCCTCTCTTACTTTTTTATTTATAGATCAACTTTCTTTAAATCTTCTTGCAACTTCTTTTCTTCATCACATATTTGTTTTGTTCTTTTTAAATATTTTTCAAGTTCCATATTTCTAAATCGATCATATTCTTCATCATAAACATAATTGTATAGAAAATGAGATGTTTCATTTCTTTTCTATAATACCTCATTAACAATACTATAATATCTATCTTTCAATTCATAAATATCTCTATTTTTATTTTGATATTAATATCTATCAGAAAGTACTATAAAATTGTAATTGTAGTTCCTTAATTGATTGAATAAATATTATGTCTCTTCAAAACTCCAATCATTATCAACACTTATTTCTCCTTCCTTAAAATCAAGATATTCTGGATCATAATTGACTTTCTCTCCAGTAAACATTTATCCTTTTTCTTATTCAGGTACCCACACCTTTACTTTTTGAATTTTCTAATTAGTTAATAATATCTCTTCTTGAGCCCATTTCTAATGATTTAGAGGTTTTGTTTATGAGAAAAGAGCAAATGGATAGAGGCCACCTGTTAGATTGAATACTTCTTTATCTACAAATGAATTAAGCTTCCTCAATTCTTTTTTATTCATAATTATTAATATTATATCAATAATTTACATCCTGATCCTTTATGAGTATTTTTATTCTAAAATGCTGGAAACACAGGACCTATTAAATTTTAGAATCTCTCTCCATTTGGATGCATTTTCGAAGTTATAGTCATCCATTTATTGTCCATATCAACTAAGACCTTAATAATCAAGGATTCTCTTTAATACCCATAATTTAATGTAGTTCCAATAATCTTTCTCTATTTATTAGCTACACCAACAACTAAACTTGCTGTTAAATCTTCAATTATTCCATTAATTATTAATTTGATTTCCCAAGACCATACTCCAAAATATAATGGATTAGTGCCTAAAACTAATCCAGGTTTCTCAAATTATACTTATATATCATTATTAATTATTTTTTTAGATATTATTAGACTATCCTCAACAGATTATTATTAAGATGTAGTTAAATTTAAGATTTCACTAAATTCACTTGTTTTATTTTCAAATATACTTTAAACTCTAAATTTATAATTAGTTTTTGTTTATAATCCAGTGATTGTAAATTATGGCTCTATACCTTTATAAATTTATTTAAACTATTCAATTCCTTTGATTTTCATTCCTATACCCATTTCTAAATTATAATCAACCTTTTATTTAGAATGAGTCCATTATAACTAAATAGAATTTGATTAGCATAATTATTTAATAAATTTTCTCTTTTCAAAAGTTTCACAAACTTCAATAATTTTTTCTTGATTATCTAATTTTTTACAACTTGCACTTCTTCTAACACTTGACTAAGTATGAATTCGACGTGGACTAATTGTACTTTAATCAAGATTTTTTTAAAAATCAATATTTAATATAAACTCGATAATTTATTCTTTGGCGGTTAAATTAAATGTTTCTTTTTAATAAATTAGACATTCTGGGATTTCAAAAGATTGTTCTGAATTTATTTTGACAGCTGCTTCAATTATATTTATTCTTTATTTAAGCATTTTCATTTATTAACTACGATAATTGGAAATACCATCAATTAATTATTTCTTTTTCCTATCTAATACTTCTTGAATCTAATCAAAATATCTCAGAACTGAATTAATTTGTTCTTAAGAGTATTATTCAAATTCTGTAATAATTTATAATTATTTAACTATTTATTAGTGTAATACTTAATTGATTGCAATTTTGATATGAGTTGAGAATTTCCCTATGTTATGAACTTATTGAAAACATTCTTAACAAAATTGAAATTTGCATTATTCACAACTTAATTCAGCTTAGATTTAATCACATCTTGAACAAAGTGCATTTAAATCATTGTCGGGTAAATTTATTTTTTTTGGATTACTACAACAAATACATTATTCACAGATTATTTATTGACAAGTGATACAAAATGATTATATTCCTTTGTGTTCACAAAACATTATGTAGAATTCTGGTCTTTTTTAAATTAATTACTATGTTAAATTATATGTTATAACTGCATTTTTTTATTTATATACACAAATATATAAAAATATAAAAAGTATACCAAAAAGTGAGACAGTAATCAAAAATATTAATCTAGAAATGAATTATACTAAAAATTATATAATTTGAATACCTATTGCAATCCAGAATCAATTAATTAATCATATATATCCATTTTATTTAATAACCTTAATTCCATTATTTCTTTATCATCTTATGTAGTTGATTATATGAAATTATCTTCAAAATCTATTTCATCTACATTCTTTAATAATTATAATTATTAATTATCAACATTAGATTTCAAAATAGATTTTTTTAATTCTTCAACTCCAATACTTTCAAGCACTATTAATAATGATAATATATACATGATTAAGTTGATATATTTTAACAAATTGGACAAAACTTATTTTCTAGACAAAATGGATGCATAGTATGGCCACATTTTAAAAGAATGACTTAATCTTAAGTATATGGTTATTAACACTCTATACAGTTTATTTCATATAGATTTGATTTATTCATTAATGAATATAGTAATTTAAGCAATTTAATATTATCATTTCTAATAATCTTAGATATCTTTTCTACTAATTATTTTTCATATCCAAATTCTTTAAAAACAGTAATAAAACTACTTTTTAAATGAACTTGATTAAATGTCTCATGATTTATCTCTATTATTTTAATTAATTCTGTTGGAGAATAACGGAATAAATGCATAAAGAGTTAACTAAATTATTGATTAAACACATATGATCTCTTGAGTTTACACCAATGAGTTTAATGCATTAAAGGATTGAAAATTTAATGTGCTATATACAAATATAATTCTTAGTTATAATCATCAGATTATACAGCTATCTTTGTAGCTCTCATTAGATTCTAGAATAATTATGTTATTCTATCTTAATTTCTAAATGTCAAAATGTAATTCCTAGATTCCTCTTTATAAATTTAAAGGTAATTATCAATAGCCTATTGATATAGTCCTTTCTATTCCATTATGTATCCTAATCCTTCAATATTATTGGTTTATTAGAATATTTATTCCACATCTTCTAATTAATATTATTTATTCTTCAACCATGAAATAGTGTTTTCTGGTTCATGAATACTTATCAATTCAATTAATTTTAATTAAAGAAATTAAGAAAGATCAATAGATAAATATTTGAATACGTGTAATAATTCCCTTTTTGGTTGATAAATTATGAGTTTCTATAAGGTTTCTATAGGCCAACTTTGAAAGACTTTTGCACATTTCTCAGGATCTAATTCAAGTAGTTTATCTAAATGATCTAACATTAAAGGATTATAGGGTTGATATTCTAACCATTTATAAACTCTAAGTTTGAATTCTTCATAATCGAAGAATATTTTAATGGCTTCATTAAATTAATTTTAAGATAAGAAATAATAAGCTATGTAATCAACACATTTGCTTTCATATGCTTACTCAATTAATTATGTATGAGGCATTAAATAATAAATAATTTATAAGATCTAATCTAAATCTTCAGGCATTGCTACATAATTATCAATATAAGATTTATTGATTTCAAATATTTATAATAATAATTTTTCTGAATCTTTGACTTTAATCTAATCAATTATTTTACTGATAAATAATAGATATTATAGTAAATATTATTATTTAATACTACTTACTTATTCAAATATCTTTGTTGCCAATAAATTCTCTTAAGTTATGTTAAAATATGAATAAACAGATTCATGATGTAATGCACCTAAACAAGGTTATTTAAGATAAGTTGTTAAAATTTGAAACAATTTCTCACTTTAAAACACGTCTAAAACTTCCATTAACCATAACATCTATTATCTTACAGCTTTTTTCCATATTTCTAATGGTATCTGATCATTTGGAAACAGAATTTATTTTTATGTAATTTCTATAAACCATAAACATTTTTCATAAAGTTCATATTTATGTTTCTCAAACATTTTATTCAAAGGAGTTAGAAAATCTTCTTCTTTTCTTGGACATATATACAATAATGGAGTGTAAATCTCTTTACTTAAACATACATCATATGTATATCCAATATCAATTGAATTTAAATCCAAATTTATTACTAATTACTAAAAAGACTCAGGAGAGAATTTATTTGCTAAATCAAAAAATATCTCCTTTGGCAATTAAGTAATTTTCTTTAGATGTAGTTCCAAAACTCTATAATAATCTTCCAAAATTTATTATTTCTCACACCCTTATCGTACTATCATCAAATGTTACGGAATTTAACATAAAAGAATGAATTAAATAACTGCTGATATCAATTCTCTATTCATTTTAGTATTAGAAATACTAGTAATTAAAGTAGGAGCTAATGTTTAAATTGCATTTCTATCTTCATCTAATTCCAAATTAGGCATTCCTTTTACTTTACCTCTATATACTTAGATCAGAAATCTTAATGCTATTGACCATTGTGGTGTATCGTTTTGTATTAATGTTTTCAAATATTATAACCAACTTAATGCATGTAATGAATATAATTTATTTTCAGATATGAAATAGATTATATTACTTATTACTCTTAGACAATATATATTTTGATGGAAATTTGTGTTGGAGATCTTAGCTTTACTATCAGATTTAAAACAATATTTGCCTTTTTAGAAATAAGGAATGTAAAGAACTTGAAATTAACCTTCTGTTGCAGCAATAATTAGGTTATCAGAAATGAATTTAGCTCCAATCAATGGTGTATCAGCAGAATAGAATGAAAAATACCATGGGGAATTTTCCAAAAAGGTTATCAATTAAATAAATGAATTCCATTAAATGGATAACAATTATATTTGATTACCTTCATGATAAAATTTACCCCAATGAAGATCATTATTTGATTTTTATTTATCAAAAACATGTACAACCCTCACTTCAGGATTAATTGATAAAGTTATTACCATGTTGCTATTTCCTAATGTTAATAGTAAACTAGTTTTATCACTATCTGAATATTTAAATTACTATGATATCAATTAAGTAACAGGGTATTCGAACTTATTCATTATAGTATTAGTTATTATTTTACTTCTGAATAAGTTTTAACCTGCTCTAATCAATTTGACATTACCATCTAAATCAGATGATGCTATCACTACTTCATTTGCTTACACATCAACTATATTCAAACCTATTATTGTTGTTTAATGTTCTTGTATTTTATGTAATAGTTTTAATTGATTTCCTTCATATATGTGAATTTAGCCATTCTCAAATCCAACAGCTATTATTTATCCTTTGATTGATATATATGAGACATCCTAAATTTGTATAGTTTTGCAATTCTTATTATTCGAGAATAATGCAAGCTATTACTCCCAATAATTGATTAAATAATTAGTTGATATGCCAAAGGTTTTGGATTAATGTCCCAATGACATTATTTAAATTGGTGAAATAAATTCTTCTTAATCATATATGAATGATTCATTATTCTGATTATTATTTTCCAGAGTCTAGGAATCACTATTCAAATGATTGATTTACTCTCTCATCTCATCATCTTCTTATAGAATATCTTCTAAATCAGCTTGACTAGCATCTTCACAAAATGTAATCTCCCCATTGTCTCCTTCTAGTATTTAACTTAAGTTAATCATTTTTATTATATATGAACAATTATATACAAATCAAAAATTCATTTTAATGTTCCCATCTTAAAGTTTGATTAAGATGCACATTTATGCATCTGATCATGAAAAGATTGAATATTTCACTCATTCCAAGATATATTATCTTAAAACAACTGATAATTTATTCAATGAAGTAATAATAATTACCTTCTTTCACAGAAACTGGTTTAAAATTTAAAACTCTATCTCATACGAATTCGTTATTAAAGCAAATCAGTAGTCAATAGATATCAACTAGAAGCAACAATACTACAGTCACTTAAAATAATATTCATATAGCAGAATAATTGAAATTAGCGAAGGCGGAACAAAAGAGTTAACAAAATAGTTTCCTTCTCAATTCAGTTGTCTAAAATAGTACTAAACAATTGAGCAATAAAACTACTTTTCGTAATCAATTAGATCTTGAAGAATTTGTAAAATTTACTAAGAATAAGAAATAAGCTAATCTTTTGTTAGAGAAAGACAGGAAGGAACAGATCTCAGTTATGTCTAGAGTTAGAGAGGATGTTAGTCATTATTATGATCCAATTAAAGCAGAAAGAAAGAAGTCTGATAATTTATTAGATGAAAAAAAAAGATTAGAAAGAAAAAAACCATTACTTAATAGAAGATAGATATCATAAATGAGTTCACCTCAATTATCTCTTTTAGATATGAATGAATATTTAAAATTTGAAACTTCTCTCAATTCAGAAATTCGTAATTTGTAAACTGATGCTCCTATGGGCAGAGTCTAGACTATAAAATTAAAAGAATGGTTTGACAAATAAAAACAAGATGATTAACCAGATACTTTAAATTTGTTATCAGTTACTATTAAAGAATTAATAAAGTAAATTAAATTTGAATGTTTTGAGAGAGGATTGTTAATTGAAGAAATTTGGACTAAAGTAGTTAATATGATAAATGATATGAAATTTTAAACAGATATGTTCATTTCTAAAGGTAAAATTTAAATGTTAGATGAATATGCAACATAATCTAAAATATTTAGTTATGAGATTGAAAGTCTTAAAGCAGAAGTTAAAAAGCTAAATGAATAATTGATTACAGAAAATAAAAAGAATCATGTACTCAAAGATGATTATAAAGAATTAGAAGATTAATTTGGAAAAATGAGATTGTAATCTAATGATCTAAAAAAAATTGTAGCCTTTTTAACTAAAAAACTAAAGTAGGCTAATAGTGAAATAGAACTATTGACAAAAAAATTGTAGAATGAAAAAAAACATCGATTTTCTTAAGTGGCTATTCCACATAATGAAATAATTGTTAATTAAACAGATAAACACTAATTGAGCAAATAAAATAGTATTAATAATGCTCCTTCAATGTTTTATTTAAAATAAGGACGTAATTCCATCATGCCCTAAAAAACAGATTCTCTATAAAATTCTTTATAATCCTAAGTTGTGAAATAAGAATCATCTTCAGAAGAAGAACGAGATGAAGTAATAGAAGAACTTATGGATGATAAGAATATTATAGAAATGGACAATATGGTGATGAATATGGATAAAATAATTACAGTTGCTTGTTTTGCTTAAATTACAGGTTTAGATTTTCTAGAATATGCTACCAAAGAATAATCATGTCAAACATTAATTTCAATGTAAAAATCCGATTTTAATTATTTTACATAATCACAGGAAAAATTTGATTAGGTCTTTGAACAATAGAAAATTAAATAAAATATTGAAGAATTAGTTAAAGTTTATGAAGGTAATAATGATATATATATATTATATAGATAAATTCAAAAATCAAACCTCAAGTAGACAATTAAATTCCTTAATTGAGAAGAAGTTTTTCTTATAAAAAGACGCTACTGAAATGCCTTCTTTGACAGACAAAAATATGTTAGATTCTGAAATTTTTGATGAGAGTAAAAGGATAATTCATACATAGGTTGATATATAATAACAGAAATAACATAATGTATAGTAAGTAGATTTAGAAAAAGTGAAGACTCTTATAGAATTATTATCTGGTGCTGAAATGTAAAACAAATAAAAGGATTAAAAATTAAATGAGATGCATAACTCAATAAAATCTTTGAATGAGTAAATTGAAGAGATGAAAAAAAAACTATCTTTATTTAGTGAAGCTGATTTATATAATGTTGCATGTGGTAAGGAATAGATAAAAAAAGAATAGAAATAAATAGAATAATTTTTAGAAAGTTAAAATTTAAAATCTGAATAGAAGATAACTGTTAGAAAGAGAGATGCTAAAAAGATGACATAGGCTAAATTAATTTTTAAAGGACCATAATTGGGATAAAAAGTTACAGTAGTATATGAATTCCAAAAATAAAATGCTGGACCTATGCTTATTGAAAAAATTAAGCAAAAATAATTACCTAAAATTAAACATTTTATGCCTCTTAAATTATTAATAAAATAGATTAATGTTATATATGCTGATAGAATTGCATAATAAAAGGAAAATAGTAATATTAAAGAATAAGATTTAGCTTCATTTGTTTATTCATATTTTCTATCTCAATTTGGTATTAAAAAGATAGCTGAATAAAAATTTTTAATTTTAGTTGTTTCTGTTAAACACTATAAAAGTATTGTAAGGATTAATAATTTTGCAAAATTTTTGAATCTTTTTGATACTTATGTTAATTTTAATTTGGATGAACTCAAACGTTATTTAGAAGCATATGATTATATAACAAATGTTTCATAATTGGGTATTCTGAATACTGATTAAGATTAAGAACTTAGATATATGGTTCCTTATTTAAGGGTAGTATAATATATAGGAATCTTTGCAGATTCTAGAATGACATCTGAAGAGAAAGAAGAGTTAAAAAAAGAATTAGATTTACTTAAAGAAAATGATCCTAAATAAGTAAATAAATAACATTTAATTGATTTTGATTAATTTATGATACAGTTATTTGCTAAATATAAAATATTAGTAAGTAGAGCAAAAGAATATGTTATTAATGCTTTTGCAGCATGTGATTTAGGTATTATAAATATTAATTAATAATAGATGGAAATGGAATGTGTAATTTTGAAGAATGGTTTCTATTATTACGTCATATTGAACCTGATCGTTTAAGTAGTGAATAGATTTCTGAAATATTTTTTGCAAATGCTGATTTACTAGTTAAAGGAGAATAGAATTTCTCATTTGAAAAGTTTGCTGTTGTTTGTGTTGAATTTGGTTTATTTTCAGAAGAAGCTTAAAATTAATTCTTATAGATTAAGGGATAAAAGACTGAAATCATGAGTTAAGTAATCATTTTAACATTTTATTAAAGTTTTAAAAATTATTGGATTCATGGCCAACTATTAGAGGTGTTATAGAATAAAGATTTGATTAGATAGTTCTACTTGATGCTGATCGATTAGATTAATGGAGACAAATAATAGACACTTTATAAAAGAAAATTTAAGAATTGTCTTCACATTTGTAATAATCAGGAATAGAGAAAAAAGTTAAGCCTTTATTGATAGCAAGTCTACTCTTACAAAAGGAATCTGCCATGTTGTTGGAACTCTAAAATGATTATGAAGATGAGAGTATGGGATCTCAATTATAATCAAATTAATCTATAAGATTAGCAGAAGACTAAATTAAAGAGTGAATGAATTACTATGATTATATTATTCTTAATATATATATATATATAGATTAGAATATATTAAGAATGACTTAAGTTAGATGTATATGTAGAATAAGTATAATGAATTTTAATATATTTAATTATCAACTGAAATTCAAAATTAAATTATGCATCATCGAGATGATAATGATCCATATAGTACAGCCATCGTAGAAGATTTGCTGTAGGTAGAATGCATTAATATTAACAATAGTCTTAATCGGAATGGAAAAATATCAATGATATTATCAGATTAACATTTAAGGCTTTAACGGATGTTGTAAAATCACAAGGAGAAAGTATAAGAGAAATAGAAAAGCAACTTTCTACAAGAGCTTCTAAAAATGAACTTCATTCAGGGTTAGCACTTAAAGCCAATATCAATGATATATCAAGAACGATAGCAGAAATAGCTGCTAATCTTGATACTAAAATTACTTATGAAGATTCTTAAGTTTTATTAAAGGATTATGTTTTAAAGGCAGATATGTAGTATTTGTTAAGCAAGTATTATATTTATTCAATGATTTTTTTAGTAAAATTGATGTTGATGAGATGAAATAATTGTTAGAGAAATAATAATCAGGAGAATTTAAAGGAGAAATGTAAAATATGAAACACAAAATTGAAGAATTACAAACATAAATATCTAAGAAATTTTAATAAGTACCTAGTATGAAAGATTTTTCATAATTATCTTAATAAGTAGAACTTAAAGCAAATTTATAAGAAATGAATGAATTACTTGAAACAAAGGCTAGTAAACATTAAGTACAATAGGCAGTAAATAAAAAAATTAGTAAATAAGAATTAGATTAAATTTTATAAAATTATTCTTCTTTAGAAGATTTATAACCAATCATCTAAAATCTTGATTAAAAAGCTTCTTTAGATTAAATTGATAAAATTGCTTCAATTTTAGAAGTTAAAGTTGATAGATAAGATTTTTCAATTCTAATTAATTCATTATAAAATAAGGCTGAAATACATCAATTAGAAGTTATTAAAGAATAATAATAAGAATTAAAGAATGTTGTGGAATCTAGATTGTAAGATAATAATTCTATGATGGTTGAAATGAAATAATAAGTTGATGGAGTAACAAAACAATTAAATAAAAAAGCTGATAATAAAGAATTAGATAAACATATGCAATCTATAAATTCACTTTAAGGAGAAATGGATGGTTATTCTTAAAGATTTAATAAATTTTCTTAAGAGATTATTTCAGATCTTGATAGATTGAGAAATGAAATTTTAGAATCTAAATAATTCACAAGTGAATAGATGTAAACAACTATTATGAAATCTACACATTTATCTGAGAAATTGACAGAAGAATTATATAATTTATCTGAAAATATTAAATAAATGGATGATGACAAAAGAGAAGAATTAGATGATCTTAAAAAAGTAATTAATACTATGAGAATATAAAAAAAGGATATTTAATAAAAAGTAGATTAAATGTAAGAGTATTTAGATGAATTTAAATCTGATTAAGTATTTAAATAATTATAAAGATAAGTTCAATAAATGAATAAAGTATTTAATTATTATAATTAAAGGAAATAAGTGAAGTTAAAGCTAAATAGTTATCATATGAAGATGAATAACATATCTAAGTTTAAATTGAATAATAATTATAAAGAAGAGTTAATGAAATCAAAAAAACTGGTTCCAATTAAGATAGCTTTAAAAATATCAAATAAGAAGTCTCATAAATAGTCTCTAAAAAGATATCTTCTTTTGAATAATAATTAAATCAATTAGAAATTAATTTAAAATAAAGAGTACTTTACTAAGATTTTGAAGAATTAAAAAATATTATTTAAAAATTATGTATTGATTAAGATGAAAGAGCCTATTAAAAGGATTTAACCAAACATATTTAATTGACAAAATATACATTAGATTTAATATAAAAAGACATGATGCTTAAAGCTGGAATATAAGATATGATTACCATTCTAGACACTAAAGCAAGTATTATAATAATAATATATAGATATTCCTGAAATCAATTAAGCATTTGAAGCTATACATAATGATTTATAAACTAAAGTATCAGCAGATGATCTATCTAATTATCTCAAAAGTTAAAATTAAATATATGAATCACTTTGTTAAGAAAATATTGTAGCAAGATTTTAGTGGAGATCAGGTGAAACATAAAATCATTTAATTCCTTGGGAATATGAAGTAATCAACACTCTACCAGAAAATTTTGTATGGGAAAAAGGAAAAAGTTCTATTTTAATTGTGGCACCAGGGGTTTATCATATAGCCTATGCATTTTTCTCAAAAGAAAAATAAACTGTCTCTGTTCTAATTAATGGAGAGAATATTGCCACTTTAGATTAAAAGAAGAAATCTTCAGAATATACTGGTATCTTTTGTAGTTATCTTTAGGTTTAAATGCATAAGACTTTATAGTATTACCAAATAGAGCTAGACTCTAAGTTAGTTATAATGGAGGAAAAGGAGAAGGATTCCTAAGTTTAAAGAGACTATGACAACCAATTCATATATTTAAGACATTAATCTTTCAATATTTTATAATTATTATAAATCATATATAAGTTGCCAATTAATTTAAACAATAATATTTTATTTAGATTCCTTAATATTTTAATTCACTATTAAAAAAGTTCAAATTATAACTAAATACATAAGAGAGTAAGAAAATATAATAAAATGAATGAAGATATAATATTATCTATAAGTAAAAATTAAATAAAGGTTTAATATTTTAATGGCAAATTCAATATAATTTAAAATTTTCATATTTTTAACAAATATAATTTTATAAAGAATTCTCTATCTTTTTTTCTTTCTTTTATCAATAATTGTATTTAAATCAAATAATATCTCTTTAATTATATAAACGAGTCATTGTGTAAAAAGCTTTTCGTATATGTTATGATTGTATTCTTACTTTGAAACTGCTTTATCAAGTATCAAATGAAAAAAATAATAGTACTTATAAATAAAAATAAATTTGAAAAAGAGATGAATAAAGTTATAATAATCAAAGTTTATATATTAATAAAAATAAAATAGTATGAATAGTTTTTAATAAAAAAAGGAAGACTATAGAAGATAATGTAATAGAAAAAAGAATAGTTATTGCAAATGATATATATAACTCAATTCTCTTAATATATTTATAAGAGAATAACTAATTAAATTTTATAATTATTAATTGTATTATTTAAATATGACATTAATTTATGAATAATTTATATAGAAAGGTATCAAGTATTAAAAGTTTCTTGTTAATTTTGGAATTAATTTTTAAAATTTACACATTTTCACATTTTAATTTTACGTATTATAAATTAATTCAAATCCGATAAAACGCATTTATCTAGTACAACTTTTTTTTTAAATATGGTAAATACAAATTACTTATAATGATTATAAACTCAATGCAAACATTAATTTATCACTATTTATATCTGAGATAACATTGGGATCAAAATATTAGACAAGTCTTGGTGCAAAAATGAATTGGCGACTAAACTCTAGAAATATGATTCTTCCTTCTTTTCATTAAGATAAATATATTCTCTATTATTTTAAATAATTTATATACTTTCCCAAGACTTCATCCCATCTATATCTTAAATCTCTATAATATCTATTTTTAAGTGCATTAATAGATTTTCCAGGGATTAATTTGGCAATCTATTTAAACTTGGGCCCAAGATTAAGAACAAGGTGTAAAATTTTTTAATCTTCATTTAAGGTGAAAGTTCTAGTTTTTCTTTTGATTCGATATGATTTGTTAAGGTTTTTATGGAAGATTTGATTTGATTGAGTTTCATTAGTTGAAAATGTAAATTGGTTAGATGCTTTGGAGTAAGGATTATCAATTAAAGTTGAGGGATTAGGTAGTTTATTGTCTTTGTTGTTGGTTAAAGTTATTTACTTTGTTTGATTATTCATATTGAAGAACTTTTTAATAATCTAATATGAAATGGAATTACTTATTTTTTATGTATTTTTTAATTTGACTATATCATTGTGACATAATTTAAATGTAATTAATTTTAATTTATGTAAAAATGAAGAGATTGAAAATGATAAAGGTAAGGTAGGGAATTCAAATAATTAATAAACTATAATAAAGAAAAGAAACTAAAAATATAATATATTGCTAAATGATTAATACATTCAAATAATAATGAAGATAACTGTTATTAGAAGAATGCTTAAAATGTTTTAGAAGCATTTTTTACAATCATTTCCATCTAAATGATATAAATGTCCTGTATTTACAAAGCATTAAATGTTGTTAGTCTAATTAAAAGTTTTTGTTATTGATTGGGAAGCATTTCGACAATCAAAATTATAGGAATCCCAATAACAAAGAGTGATATCTCCAGGTGAATAAGAGGTATAGACATAAGTACAATCAGATTTAGAGGTATATGAGTTACAGGATTGAGTGATACATGAATTTAAGATAAAACTCCATTAACATCTGTTTGTTTATAAACTACAAAGTGCAATATCAGTAATCTATTTGCAATTATTAATAGTTTAACATTTTGTATTGATTACAACGCAATAAGGAGTTGCAACTTATTAATTATAAGTATTGCATGTAGTAGAATTAAAGTTACTGCATTGTTCTTTTACATTACATGTACCATATTATCCTTTATCATTATTAGGAATATATTGTGGACAATTGATTGAAGCTCCAGAGCAATCTAAAGGGGATTTGGCAGTAGTGATATTTACACATCCAAAAGTTGAATTATTAGTAGGCTTTTTTGAATAATTTTTGCAAGTTCCAATATAAATACAATTAGGATTTGCAGCACATGAATACTTAGATGTAATGGATGTGCAGGTTGATGTAGTACATTTAGAGGAAGTTTAATTGTATGAACATTAAGGGGAAGCATAAGCACATTCATATGAGGATAAATCTGAACATGAACATGGAGAGTTAATCATTTTATTTAGACTATATTAGGTGCATGATGCACAATAACCAGAATCTCCTGAAGTAGAAGTCCATCTTGACATCATTAGTGTATTGGAGTAACACTAACTAGATGAGAGAGTAGTTAAGATATTTGTAGCTTATTGACATCCTTAAGTTGGTAACCATTCACACGTTATAACTTTTGAAGGCAAGTAATTAGATAAAGAACTTAATATATAAGTGCATTCAAATTTATTAGTAAATTAATTGCATTAAGCTGTTTAACAGGCACTTTTGGTTTAATCATCTGTAATAAATGACCATTTACACTAATGATTAAATTGTTGACATCTCAATTAGGATGTAATTTATGAGCAATTGGTAACTAAAGTGCATTATTGATTGATTGAATTGAATTAACAAATACCATTTTAAGCAATTATGTTTTCACATTCATATTATGATATAGTTTCTGTGTTAATTGAACATTATTAGCTTGTTGTAGGTGAGCAAATATACTTTTATTAAAGTGATAAAAATGTTTTTGATATAGCTGCACAATAAATTGAATAACTGGCACATTCTCCAGCATTGACACCTGCTAGATTTGAACATGATGAAAATGGTTAACATAATAATTAGGATGCTGACCATGAACATCTTGGAGTAGAACTACATATTTCTTATGTCAATATTTCAGAACATGGTTTATTATAACAATTTGGTATATTTGAGGTAGTTGACCAAGAACATTAAAGATTTGCTTAACAATCATTCTAGTAAATCAATTGATTACAAGCACATTATCCAGGAAGATATAATTATTTTAGAAAACATTTAGTACAATAACCATCTCCATTTTAATTTTTTGATGGTATCCATCTATAAGTAAATCCTGTATTACGTGAACAATTCACTGAATTTAATTATGAAGATGTAATTAAATTAACACAAGTTCTTGTCTCTATTTACCATTGACATTATTAAATCTCTCCTGTTAGAAAAGAGGATATGATATATGTGCATGATGATGGAGTATTGAAATTAGCACATGTAAGTTATTGACATTAGTCATCTATTAATATACAAATATTTTAATAATAACTACAAATCTAAGGATTTTTTATATAAGAACATGTTAATATTACACTACATGATCCTTTATCAAATGAGTTCCATTAACAAGGACCATCAGATCCAAGATTACCATTACAAGTATTTTAATTTTAATATGAACTACATGTATTATTTGGAAATTAAGTACAAGTTTTTCCATTGAAACCTTTGCATTGAATAGAATAACTCAAACAATTATAAATATTTAATCCTTGTCCAGTAATTGATTCACAAGAACTGAAAATTTAACAAACTGAATTGTTCCATCCACATCCTATAGTTTGGGCACAAGCTTAATTAGTATAAATGTTGGAACAATGTTATTATGTACATTTTTGATTCTCCCAAATACATGATTACCCTGTGGCTCCATAACAATCATTTTATGTCATATATTAATAACATTAACAACTTTAAGATGAATAAAATGGAATCATATTTGCAGAACAAGAATAACAAATTCCATTATTTCCATAATTGGATGGAATCCATCTTGCTGTTCTATTTGTATTACTAAAACATTGATCTTAAGATAAATTAAAAGGATCTTATATTGGAATACATTAATTGTTAATCAATTCACAAGTCTAAATATTCTTAATGGATGTTAAATTTATAACAAATGTGCATTATCCAAAGTATTAAAGAAGAGTACTACATGTTAATATTTGGCAAGATGTACTTATAGTATCCCAATAACAAGATTTAGATCTTAATTAACATGCATATTGAGGTAATTGATTACATGAAGAAACAGCAACACATTTTTAAGTATTATTATTCCAATAACATGCTCCATCACTACCAAGAGCTGTAAGACATTTATTATCCTCATTATTATCTTCACAATTATTCAATTATTTATTGCATTAAATTCCATTGCTACCAACACATTAAAAATTTTATTCCATACATTAAACTTAAGAATTACCTAATAAATTTGTACATTATCCATTAAATACTTTACATTAATTTTAGTTCCACATACAACCTAATTAAGATGCACATATAGTTTATAATAATATTTAAGGACATTCTAATTATAAACAATATTCACCATTCCAATAACATTCTAATGATTAAGAACAATCATTATAGCTTAAAAATGTACAGGGACATTAATTTGGAAGAGTGATTTATTCCTAACATTTAACACAATACCCTTTTGTATTTGAAATTGTTATCCAAGTATAAGTATTATGTGTATTGGATGGACATGTATTTTAATTTAATTATGTTAAAATATTAGAAGCTGTCACACATGTATTATTATTTGTATTCCAATAACATGGAATAATTTGAGATGAAAGTAGGTTTGGTATATAGAATTTACAATTTAATTATGTTTTGAATGATGTACAATTAATTGATGAACATTAACCATTCAAAGTATTCCATTAACAAGATAATTGATTTCTTAAACATACTGTTTCACTTTAAGTTTAATTACATTCAGAGAATCCTATACATTAAGTAATTTAGTCAGTAGTGCTTAAGAAACATACACCATCAGTACCAATATTATTGTAACAATTACCATTAGTATTATACATTACTGAACAAGTTGATGTTGGATAGGATTAACAAACTCCATTATTAAATCCTTTACATTAAACATTCATATTTACACATTCTAATTAATTGGTAGGATTTGGTAATTCAGAACAATTAGTGAATGAAGAACAACCATTTTTACTATTCCAATAGCATGTACTTAATGAAGCACAAGTAATCTGATTTTAATATTCAATACAATGTGATGGTTCACAAATATTATTATTTGTGTTATATTTACAGAATCCTGAGTTTTTACAATTTTCTTAGGAATTTAATTATTAACATTAACATGAAGATAGTGTTTAAAATGATAATTGATTAGTACCACATGAGACACACATTCCTACAGATGCATTATTTGTACTCCATCTATAAGTATTACCTGTATTATTAACACAAGTATCTGATGTTTATAATAATGCTGAATAAGCATTTTCACAACCACCTTGAATTCCTAATGATTAATTCCATCTACATAATTAATATTAAGTTTATTAGAATTATATTAAAATATATGTACAATTTTATTGATTTGTAATTTATGAACATGTCAATTATAAACATTATGAACTTGTTGCATCCCATATGCATTAATTCTACCAATTTACACAAAATACAGAATCATTTATCTAATTACAATTTTTTAATAATGAACATGAATAATTAGGGGTATTCCAAATACATAGACCTTAATTACTAATAAATTATGAACATTCTTATTATGATTATTAATTACTACAAGTAGGAACTATAGTTGATGTACTTATACAAGTTCCTCCTTCATAACCAGCACATTATAAACTTTATGATGCACATCCTATTGAATTAACTGTAAATGTTAAATCAGTGCAATTATTCAAAATTTAACATTTATTAGTTTTAAAACTCCAATAACAATCAGATACTGTTATACAATCATTTTGAATTGGTATATTAATACAATTATTTTATGTACAAGTTCCAGTTTATGTATTCCATTGACATAAATAATTTTTTGAATTACAATCACTTTATAAAACATAATCAGAACAAATACATTAAGTTTTTGTTATTATTTAAATTTATTTACAAGGACCACAAATACCTTAATTTGGATTACTTTATAATCCATACCATCTAAATAAATAACTTGTATTTGATAAACAATTCTATTAATTCAAATTATTTAGATTTGTTACAGAAACACATTAAGGTGGAGTTGTATTTATAGACCAATAACAAACATTCAAAGTATTCAAATTTGTAAAATAATATTTACATGTGTCTTCACTAATAAATTGATTACAATTTGTAATTGTTTAGCATTAATTCTAATACCATTAACATATTATTCCTTAAGGAGAAACAGATTTGAATTAATTGAATTACTAACATTAATCTTGATTTTTAGCTTATGAACATTGATTAATTACTTAACAGGTATTATTAATCAAATAACATGGTCCATCTTTACCAAAATTATAGGAGCAATTATTCTATGAATAATCACTACAATTTGAATTAATTTGATTATAATATAAGCATTATTAAGATACTTAATTAAATCCTAAGCATCTAACATTTTATTTGATACATTCTTAATTATTAGTAGCAATTAAATTTTAACATGATGTAAATGCTGAACATGTAGCAGAATCTTCTGATGTATTCCATTAACAATAATACGAAGCCTTTAAACATTATGATTGATCAAGTTATGAACAATTATTTTATGAACATGAATTATTTATCCATATACAACCTGGTAATGTACTACAATCATTTTGATTTGTTAATTGTATACAACTACACATAGTTTATTAAGTAAGTATTATTTAAGATGTAGCTAAACTTATTAACATAGCTACTACTAAGATGAATGATTTCATTAATTTTAATATTGATAAATCCATTTTAAAAAATCTAATTATTTCTACCATAACTACTTAAAATAAATAATTATAACCAAGATTTCTTTTTATATACTATCAAATAAAAATACATCTATTATCAACATGATTCTAACTGTAATTTTTATATATTTATAATATTTTAATTAACATGTATATATATATTAATCATTTAGATTCTGTTGGAAGTAATACTACCTTGGTTGATCCTTGTTATCCTAAAATTGTTATAGTATCTAAATATCTAATTTGCATAGCTGCTTTTGAATCTAATAATTCAGCTGCTTACCTCATCAATTTGGCTGATTACACATCTCCTTAAGCTGATATCACTTTAGCTTAAGCAGCTCTTTATTCTTTGGCTGCCATTGATAAAGTATTCTATAAATCAGCATTTAATTAAATATCCTTAATTAACATATTTTCAACATCTATTCCCCATTCCCATACATGTTCATCCACAAAACCCTCTATTTATTATTGTACTTCTGCTCTTTTCTCCAAGAGATCTTGTAAAGTCTGGGAACCTGCTATACTTTTTATTGTGGCCAATGTCAATTATGTCACTGCTTAATGTAAATCATTTATGTAAAAGATCGATCTCCTGGGAATAACTATTCTATAATAAACTGTTGCATCAATGCTAACTAAAATATTATCTTTTGTCATAACTTATTATCTTGGACAATCGATCATCTAAACTTTACAATCTACTTTCTAAATTGTATCAGTACAAGGATTCATGTATATCAATCCAGGTTACACTTATTATTATAATGTTTATACCTGTCTTTATATACTTTCCAAAACGTGAATACACTCCAACAAAACTCTACTCTACTTAAATATAAGGATAATCAACAAATGGATTACATGGACAAACTGCCTTACAATTACCACAACATTCCCCACAATTATATAGATAACTTTAATAGGAACCACCTAAATCTAAATTCTATTCTTAATTCTCAGGCAACTCTTCTCTAGGATATCTTGGTGCTTTGTAACCTAAAAAATAAATAGTTTCTCATAATACCTGAAGGAGGAATATTATAATCCCTTTACTATTGAACTGGAATTTGTTAATTTGCTTATTACTGATACATTATCTAATTTTATTAATTCATAATTTAATATTGATATCATTACTAATATATATAAGACTCTAATAATAGATTTATATATACATAACATACAATTCCTAATTATATATATATATATATTTCATTTATTTTAGATTTACAATGTATTGTAATTAAAAAATCTATTATTTAATATATATATACATTTAACGAATATTATTTTCAAATGATCAATTCACAAACTAAAAAGAAATTGCTTAAACTCTTTAACAAATTAGAAGAATATGAAATACATTCAGAATCTATGAGATAAATACTCTGTCAATAAGATGAATTTGAACCTTATTCTGTTTTCAAGAAAATCTGCAATTCTGGACATATTAGTTCATAAGAGATCTACTAATTATTATAATAGAATGGAATGATAGTCTAATTGGAATAAGTGAATCCAATAATCAAATGGTATTCATAAAAATGTGATAATCGACTTACTTATGCTGATTTCTTGTAGATAGTACTTCCAGCTAATAATCTAGAATTAAGAAACCTAGTATCACAAAAACCTACATTTGCAAAAGATATATCTTATGAAATAGAATATGGTGTATGCAGAATATTTTATAAAGAAATTCAAATTGCAGATGAAATTCAAGCTTATAAACAAGATCTGGTTTAGTCTCCAGATTTTGATTATCGTATTACTTTCTAAACTATTGATTAATTCAATTCTGGATTTATACAATTAGATTTATTAGAACATTTTGTAGATAGAGATTGCAATGCATTAATGAGAAGATTAGATTAAAATAGAGATAGTTAAATTGATTTAGAAGATTTCAGAATTGCTTTAGAACCTCAATATGGAAATATATATTCACAAAAATCATCAGCTTCTACTGTAACTTCAGTTAAATAGATAGAAGTCTAAAATCAATTTCCAAATAGAAGAGCTAAATAGAGTGTAGCTAAGCATATTGATAGAAATAAGAAGATAGTATAATAAAAGAAAGTATAATGTTATGATATGGATTATTTGGCAGAAGCATTAAAGATTATTTCAGAATTAGAATATGAAAATGAATTTAGAAAAGAAGAATTAGGATATCTTTAATATGATTTTCTTGAATTATTTTCATTTTTTGATTAAGATAAAACTGGTAAGTTGGCACCTGGAGATGTCAAATCAGCTTTAGAAGAATTAGAAATATATCCTACCTAATCATAATTATATTTGTGGATGAAACGATATGATATTGATAGAGATGGTAAATGGAATGTAAGAGAATTCTTAGCTGCATTTAAACCAATAAACTATTAAAAAATTAATACTAGATAATTAGATAAAGAAATATTAAATGCAGTTAAGAATGTTATTAAAACTGAAATTGAGAATGAAGTTGCTATTGAATGTATTAGAAAGAAATTATCACAAAGACCAAACTTTAATTTGAAATCCTTATTTGCTGTGATTACTTCTAATCAAATTATAGTTGAATAGGAATTAAGGACCTTCCTTGAAAATCATGGAGTTTATTTGGATGAAAAAAATAGGGAATTATTAATGAGAAGATTTGATAGAAATGAATAATAATACATTACTTATAGTGATTTCCTTAATGAAATGTAGCCAAAATAACCTAAAAATTGATTTATATGTATTTTCATTTTTTATTATGATATTTATTATAATTAATACAAATTATTACTCTAAATAAATTAACGTTATTTTTTCATAACAATTCTATATTTTAGCTTTATTTTCTCATTTACAAAATATACTCATTATCAATTAGATATTCTAAATATCAAAACTATTTTAGTATTAAATTATTAGAAAATAAGAAACTATTTTAAGTATTGTAATACGTTATTTATTATTATGATTTTGCTAATGTATCTATTCATTTTCGAAATACTTATCGGAACTAAGGAAATAACTCTTTATTAATGCTTAAATGTTGAATAACTTTTTAATTATTCATTAATTGTGAGATATAGAGATGATTGAATTTAATTAATAAAATATATTAAATTAATTATTTTTAACTAAACACGTCAAATATTGAAATGTGATTGTTATGAAAATCCAATACTTTTTAAGTTAAGCAAACAAAGGAATTTAGATAATCTATACTTAAACTAATTTTTCAATAGTAATTTCATGATTATGAAAAAAGAACATAGAAAAGATATAGAGTTTATTTACTTTTTTGGAAAAATACAAAGTTTTAATATTGTTATCACCCATAAAAATATGCATGTTATTTCTCTTACAATGTTTTTTCAACATAATTTAAGAAAATATAACAAATCATATTTGTAAATGAATACCTCCAATAAAATTATAATTCTTTAAGTAATATTATTTATAGATTTTATTTAGTATTGACCACAGATGATTACTAATTTCAATAAAATTACTCAAAAACTTAGCAAATAAATTACTACAACTACAACGTTTATCAATTAAATATATTAAGTCAATATAATTATTTAATTATTCAATTTCAATTTTATGAAGACAAATAAACTCCTTTTTGATAAAGTGATTTGAATATGAGAATATTGAAATCATTTATTTGTATGCTCAATAATTAGGGATATAAATATCAATCTGATTTGTATATGCGTTGATTATAATTAATTTAATAATATAACTTGCTACCACTCTAGTAATATGTAGTAATTGTAATTACCTTTACTAACTGAACAATTAATTAATATTATATAATTTATACTAGAATCGTATAAATTCAAAAGATATTATGAAATTTTCTTTATATATATCCCCAGTGAGTAAAAAGCTTAATTTCATATTAAATTTAATGAAAGATTGTAAAGCAGAGCAAAATTTCATCAATTTCTTACAACTGGAAAAAGATGGAAGTTAGTTTGAAGAATATTCTTCATAATTGATTATCTCAAATCAAGAGAATCCTTCATTAACTTAGATAGCTGATTTAAATGTTATGCCATAAAATCATTAAGCCAAAAAGATAAAGAAAAAGAAACGAGTTGATTTCCATTATAAAAGAAGAAGAAGAAGCAATAAAATTTCTGAATTGAATAACACAACACCATTCAATTTTAATGAAGATTAGAAAATATTATCACTTGTACTTGAGCATGGACCAAAGTTCTCTGTTGTTTCTAGATACTTTAATGATAGAAATCAAAATGCTATCAAGAACAGGTATTATAAATATCTTCGATTCAGGTGGGATTAAGTACTAGGAAGGTAATAAGAATTTTCTATATTATTTCTAGTGATTATATACATCTTAATTGTAGAAAAGAGGAGGACCAATTACAAAGCTAAGACATGGAATAAATCATTTAAGGGATGAATTTCTTTCCTGAAGTTACAAACATTTTGTCATCATTTATACAAAGAGTCCATTCATATTTTAATTGATAATATGTTCTCATATGTTTAATTTTATGTATACAAGATGAATTAGGGCTGAAATATAGTTAATATTTTTAAAGTTTTAAGGTCTCCTTCTTTCTCTAAAAAACATGCAATTATGATTAAATGTTATATGAGCGAATAAACGTATTGGAAAAATTAATTTAAAGTAGCCTAACGATTAGCTCAATAATTTTTCAAATTTCAATTATAGAAGACGAGACCTTAAAATATCACTTTTACTCAGTGTTTATTAATATATGTTAATAATATATGACTATTACAACCTATTTGTTATAGTTTCAGATAGAAAAGGAATTCTAGAAAAAATTTGTAAAGTAATGACATAAAGAAATGTATTAGTATTTCTTAATATTCAATAATTTTAATCAATAAATGTAAAACGAATTAATCGCCAGTTGACAGACAAATTATATATTCCTAAATAGTCTTTAACTTTTATTAGTCTATAATATTCTTCAAAATTAGACTAGAAAATTAGAATAATTTTATTCTTAAGAATTTTATCGAACCTTCTTTCTTATCACATTTTTAAGAAAATCAAAAGATGAAAAGTGAAATCTACTCATATTAGTAAATAAACTAATAATTAGAGTATATTTCATTATTAAGTGTTGTTTATATTTTTTAATATATAATAAGAATAGAGTCATATTAGAAATTTAATATAATAATAATAAAATTTAATAAATAAATTATTGAATATAAGAATCGGTAGGATTAATTAATTTTTGTTATTAATTTATCAATATATACTCTTATCAACTTCTTTTGGAAATGGTTTAATATCAGTGTCTAGCTCTTATTCAATTTAAACCAAAGTGTCTTTATCTGTTTCGGTTATAAAGTTAACAGCCAAACCTAAATGACCAAATCTAATTATTATATGAATTAATATATTACCTTCCTGATCTACCTATACGATGTAAATATGTTTCAGCAGTTCTTGGGAAATCGAAATTTATGACAACATTGACAGATTAAATATCAATTCCTCTAGTAAAGAGATCTGTAGAGACAAGACATCTACCTACAGCTTTTCTAAAACTATGGAATACTTTATTTCTATCCTTTTAATTCATTTTTGCATGAATGTAGCTAATAGAATGAAACAAAATGCATACAAACATGAATACCCAAATTCAGTAATTTTTTGAGTCAATAATTCTACTCTTCTTGCTGAATTGCAAAATATAATTGCTTAATTTATTTCAAGTTTGCTAAATATGAAATTTAAACAATTGACTTTTTATTTCTCATCAATAAATAAATAATATTAAGTAACACCCTTTAATGTTAATTCTTCCATAAGATTAATTTCTTGTATTTATGGAACATGTTCATTAATAAAACCTTTAACATCAACAGGAAATGTTGCAGAAAACATCATAATTTATACTTCTGGTGGTGCAAATTAAAGTATTTTAACAATAAGTGGTTAAAAATCAACTGAAAGTAATTTATCAGCTTCATCTAAAACGAAATGTTTTAATTTAGATAAATCAGCTAATTTCCTTTAAGCCAAATCTAAAATTCTTCCAGGTGTTCCAACCAATACATGAACTACCTACAATCATTTAACTCTCTACCTATTTCAATCTATATATATCTTCTTTAAAATCAGTGCCTCCTGTTGAAACCATACATTCAACCTTCATATACTTACCAATCTCCTTTACTAAACTAGAAACTTATAGAGCTAATTCTCTTGTAGGCACTAAGATCAGACTCTAGATCTGACCTTCTATCTCCATCATTTCTAGAATTGGAATAATGTAAGCTCCTGTCTTGCCTGTACCATTTTTAGCTCTTGCAATAATATTTGATCCTGCCAATGCAAATGGAATAGACTCTTCTTAAATAGGAGATGGCTTCTCATAATTTGATGCTGCCAATCCTTACATTAATTCTTATTTCAAATCGAACTCTTCAAACTCTACTCCTTTTGTCTTCGTGACATCCTTACAATTTAGGCAAAGACCTTACACTTGTCTTATAACGTGTATCCTTCGGTTTAGGTTGTTCATCTATTGTTTATGTTGTTTGTGGCTATTATGAATCACTTTGTTGCATATTAATTATTTAAATAATATATATATAATAATAGTATCATTCTAACAATTTTCCAAAACATCTACTCAATTATGGTGTTTACAATACCTTCCTACTAAATAATTTAATGTCTTATTTATTTGCAGACAAACTTTTAAATTACTTCTATAATCCTTCTAAGTATAATACATCCTCTGGTTTTGCATTCTAAACTCTGTTAATCCATATTCTTTTGTCTTATCTAAATATACTTTATAACAAGTCATTCACTATTAATTTCACTTAATCAAATAATTGCTCAGTACATTCCTCAACTTCTTAATAAAAAAATCTCTATAATTCATTTATAACTTGTTCATTAATTAATATCTTCTTATCTTATGGTTTACGATCATTATTATACTTCTCTAATGCTAAAGCCATGAAATCAAATGCACTTATTTTATTATTATCAAAATGATTTCTAAAATATTCCAATAACTCCTAAACCTCATCTACTTAATTTTCATATACTGTCGATATTATACTTTAAACTTAACAAATACTTAAGTATTATTTTTATAAATCTAGACTCTTTCTTGATTAATATATTGATTATCCTATTTCCTTTTCTACTATTGCTCTTAAAAAAAGATAATACATTAAATCTTCTTCTTCATATTCTTTTTACAAGAATTTCTTAAAAAGAAATACATTCTCATCCTAAATTTGCATACAATCTTTTATATCAATTTATTTATTCTAAGCAAATCTCATTACATAAACTCCAAAGTCTTCATTAACAACATTCTTTAATTTTAATTATTTTGAAGCATCATCAAATTTCTTTGAATATATTTCTTATATCAAATTTATTGCATCTTCTCTTGTAAATTTTCTTCTTAAAGGTGATACTGATCTTGTTGGAGTTCTTTAGTGTGGTGATGCTCTCTTGATTTATTCTATCGATTTTCTAGTTGGATCCACATTTTCTTTATTTTATACTTTGAAACTAGCAGTGAATCCTTAATCAGATTGTTAGAATTCAATCTTGTTATCAACTAAAAATTTGATATATTTCTCTTTCTCCTATTTTGATAATTTAGCAAACTCTATCATAACTATTCGTTAGAAATTATTAAATACTATAATCCTGTAAATAAATAATAAAAAAATAGATATATTCAAAAAAATGATATATATATCTAATTTCTATTATATCAAAGTAGTTTTAACAACTTCTAATAAAACTATTATTATTGTTAATGAATTTTAAATTCTTTTTAAGTACCTTTATGTGGAATGTCCTCTTCCAAATAACTGCAACTTAAGTATAGACAAACTACTTTCATGCAGGAGAAAACTAATTTACATCTGACCTTAGATATTATGTTCCATTTCAATAAGAATTATTAGACTCAAAAGAAATTCAATTTAATGTTGAATTAATAAAAGAAGTGAAAATAGAGAAACAACATTTAACTTTTCTTTCGGATAAAGCTAAATTATTATATTTTGTTAATTTCACAAACGAAGAAAACAATATGATAATGGCATTGGATAATTCAACTCTTTATTGTTTATACCTAATTAAAAATTATTTTTTGAATCAATAATTAGTTATCACTCCTCATTTTTGTAATATAACATTACCATATCAATAATGCAGCAAAGTAGTATAAGTAAATAGAGAAATTTTTATTAGTAATTGTTTACTTAATAATAATCAAGCAATCATATCAATAATTAATTTGGATGGTAAAGTATTTGATTAATTGATTTTTGAAATTGAATCAACATGTGAAATTGAAGTCTCCTATCGAGATTTTATTTTGTTTATCTATTATTAAAATTGTGAATCAAAAAATATATATAATGTTGAAATAGATGAACAATTAAATTAATATAAATCATTACAAAAGATTAATGTAACTTTAGAAAATAATAGAACAGATTCTACTTTTGGATTAGTACAAAAAATAAATATTTGTGATAAGGAAAGAATTATTTTAATTTATAAGAATTTTATTGTGTAGTATAATAATACTTCTTCTATCAGTTTTCTTTACATAGAATTAGACATTAATAATACAATTTTGAATTAATTTTAAGGTTGTGAAGGAGGATAATTTATTTTGTATGTTGATAATAATAGTTTGTAGTTAAAATATGGTATGTATGATTTAAATATGACCAATAATTAATATATTAATGCTTTATTGATAGAAAGGATTCTAGTTTTACATTTTAAAAATTATATAATTGTTGAAATAAATGATTAATTACATTAAAAAATACATATGTCAATTTCAGAAATAATACCAATAGTTGATTCATAATATTTCTTTGGACTTTACAAATCTGAATTAAAACTATTTTAAGTTTAGCCTCCAAAATATTTCCACTCATTTAATACTTCATAGAGAATAATATTTTTAATCTTTCAAAGATGGACTTATCTAACAACATTTATTTTAATGTAATGTAATATTGAAATTGTAAATGAAAGTGAGCCTAGAATAATTATTGATAAGAAAGATATGATAATTGAATATAACAATAATGATGAAATCTGTATTCAGTAATCTAAAATAACCTAAAGTTTACCAATAAATTTATAAACTATCCAAGATAATGATAGATATTATTAGATTAATAATTTCTAAAATATAGAAACTTATAATTTGTATTTTGGTGAATATTCTAAAGTATTACATTTTTGGAAATTAAATGATTAAACAAACGTCATTTTAGTCTTAGTTTAATCGAAAGATCTAATCATCTTGATATTTTGTAAACGGAATATAATTCTAAAAAAATAAAATTTAAAAATACATAAAAATTATATTGATATTGGAGTATTGTAAAATACTAATATCTTGGTTTTTTATGAGGATCAAATTTAATATTATAAAATTGTTGATTCATATTAAATTCAAAAAACATAGTTTATTTAAAATTAGAAAATAATAAAAATAAATAAATAATATAATCAAATTGTTATTTCATATGAGAACTGTAGAAAATCAGTTGTATAATCTATTGAGAATAATTTCATATTTATGTAATAACCATAAAATTACCCCTTTGATTGTACATAAACGCAATAAATAAGTATTGCTAATTTATATATTTTTCAAACTTATATTGTTTACAATTTAAATCGCTTTAAATAGTACATTTATGTAGGGAAAATAATAGATGTTTTAATAGATGTAGATTAGAGATTATATGTTTTGATTGTAGATGAAAAGGATGAAATTGTACTCAAACTCTTTCGTTTTCTTAGAACTCCTGATTTCATTTTTATTTACAAAATTCCTACTTATAACTTTAAATTCTAACTTTCAGTTAATTAAAAAATAGAAAATTCCTATTTAATGATTACAGCCAAATATTAAAATAAAACTTATTTACTTGTATATAATTTAAGAAATTAAGCCATCAATTCTCTAATATATATTACGGAAATTGATTAATCAAATTAATTTTATTCATACTATGATTTTGCTAGTAATTCTATTGTATTTTTTAGAGATGGAAAATTTTACTTTCATAATTTAAATTAGATATGTTTCTAATACTCATTTTTTGAAGAAAATTCTATGATTTAGAAAAAGTAATTAAAATTGAATTTTAATTCTTTTATCAATAATTTTAATTTCACAACTAAACTTTTAGTTTCTAAATTAAATAGTGACTACTCACTTAGCTTATTGAATTAAGGATAAAAAAGATATATTTATTATTAAGGTAATTTAGATTTGATTTAAATCAGAGGAAATATTAACAAATTTGAAATATAACCTACTTAAGATTTTATCATCAAATTACCTATAAATATTACATAAGAATACTTTATTTGTTCATATTATTAATCTAGTATTTGTTTAAAGAATAGAACTACAATTGTAATATAATCTCTAAACATAAGTGTTCAACTACCATTTGAACTTGACGATAACTCTATTAAAGGTATTGTATGTAATTAAGAGTCTCTTACATATTCAATATTTTTTGTTGATCCCAATCATATTCTTTTATAATTAATGTTATAATTGGGAAATAATGAATCAAAATAATTCACAATATTAACATAGGATATTTTATATAATGTACTCAAATAAGAAGAAATAGAGTTAATAAATAAAGTGAAAATTATTAAAGAAATAACAATATTTTTTAATTAAAGATTATTTGGCTTAATGTTTTATAATAATTATTGTTAAATAATCGATATATCAGAAATTAATAGTTCATAATATTTTTTAATTGATGGAGCTTACTTATCAAATAATACATATGTATTTTTATATCGGAATTATTCAATTATTTAGATAAAGATTATTGCATTTAATAATATTTAATTGATTTCAGAATTTTAATGCAAAGGTGATATTATTTAAGAATATTAACTTAATCTTATAGAAATATTTGAAAGAGTTTACACTCAAACATATCATGATATATTAATTTAATTAGAGATTATTCATCTTGAAATGAAGAAAGATTAATTTATTATGAAATTTGTTATGATCTATAAGATTTACTTTAATATAATATTTGAAATCTCTTTCAATAATATCAAATATGATAATTTTGTTTTGTTATCGTATCGATTTCTAAGATATGAATAAAATACTCATTTTTTAGATTTACTTTATGCAGATAATAATTTTGTTTTGATAACACTATCTTCAGATTCCAATTAATTTATCGATGTTTATGATATCAAAGGAGATATGAAATATAAAGATTATTTAGATAGTATTTAGAGAATAGAATCATTTTAATATAAAAAGATAGAAAAATATAATGCATCTCATTATGTCATTAATAATCATCAAAATAATAGAGTATCCTTTATGACTATAAATTAATTGTAAATTGAGTGCTAAGGTTAATGCAATGAACCTTCAAATTTAATACTCTCTAATGATGTATCAAGCATAAGTTTAGAAATTTAATTAAATAATTAATCATATATAAATGTTATTATAACAATTAACTCAGGAATAATCATGACTAATCTAATATCTATATTAATTTATATTAAATTCGGAAAAAGAGTAAAAAGAAATTATACTAAATAATTCTATGGTAATTCATGATATTATTTTATATCATAATATATTATTAAGATATATTGTATTGTAATCAAAGCATATTTTTTGGATATCTTCTTTCTCTATATGGATGAGAATTATTATACAATATAATAAAGAATTCAATAATAAAAATTATTTAAATGTTTGGAGATACATTCGACACAATAGAAGAATAATTGAATCCAACGATTACCACCTATTAAACAAGAATGGCTAGAAATTGTGCTGATTATATGGAACTACCAGAACTTCCAAGAGTGAAACATTTTGCAGGTTTAAAAAATTAAGGTGCCACATGTTACTTAAACAGTTTAATACAATCCTATTATATGTGTCCTGAATTTAGAAAAGTCATTCTTTCACTACCATTATGCAAAGATACAATTGAGGATTCTGCAAACTTGGCATAAAATGAAAGCAGAAACAGATTCCTTTTGGAATTTTAAAAGCTATTTATTCAATTACAAAGTTTGTAATCTAAAGCAACATCAACAGAAGCATTGACTTCTAGTTTTGGTTGGAATGATGGTCAATAAATGTGGTAACAAGATGTATCTGATGCAAATAAGTAAGAAATTACATAATTATTTTTAAGAGTATTATTTGAGACACTCGATCGATCTTTATATGGGACTCCATTTATTATTGCTCCATTTTATAAAGGAGTAGTATTTCATCACATAACATGTATGAATTGCAATAATTCTCATGGAAATGAAGAAATAATATATGACTTGAATATTTAAGTGGAAGGCAATAAAAATTTATCTGAAGGTTTATTCAGTTACATTAATCCTTTTTTATTGGATGGAAACAATTAATATTTTTGTGATATCTGTGGTTTTAAAGTATTATGATTATAAAATATTAATAATAGGTAGATGCATTGAAAGGAGATAAGATTAGAAAATTACCACCAATATTGACTGTAACTTTGAATAGATATACATTTGATTATGAGAAGATGCAAAGAGTGAAGTTAAATGATAGATTTGAATTTCCTTTAGAAATGGAAATGGGAGCATATTTGGAAAATCCTGTGGATAATTTAATCTATGAATTACAAGGAATAATAATACATAGAGGAAATGCTCATGGAGGACATTATTTAGCTTATTTTAGAGATCTTTTAGATGAAGGAGATTGGTTAACTCATATTCCAGAATATTGGCAAGAGAAGGAAGAATGTTAATAATAGAAGAATAAAAATACAGATGAAGTTGACTATGATGAAGTGAAATTACCATTTGAGATTAGTAATCCTAAAGTAGCTCAAGGATGGTATGATTTTAATGATAGTTCTGTTATTCCAATACCAGTTAATAAGATATAATAATAATATTAGGGTTCTGAAAGTGCCTATATTTTGATTTATAGGGATAAGAATTTAGTAGCATCCAAATTGTCTAATGAAGAGATACCTAAATATCTATTTGATTATGTGAATAAATTAAATGAAAAGATAGAATAGGATAGATAGGCTTATGAAGAAGCTAAATAACATATTATTATAACAGTAGCAGATGCTTCTGTTGTTGATATATAAGATCATAAATTACTCAATGAAAAATATGAAAAGGTTACATACAAATTAAGATTGTCTTCTACTGTCTAATAATTGTATGAATAAATTAATAAGGATTAATATTGGTTATTGGAATTTTAAGAAAATTATTAAACTAAATTATTGCATTTTACAAGATATTTGAAAAATTTAGAGAGTACATTAGAAGAAGAGAAAGTTGGTCATGAATCAACATGGATTTTGGTAAAGAAAGAATAAGATATTCCTTAAGTGGGATTATAGAAAGTGCCTTATAGACTTAATTTTATAATTAATAAAAAACCTTAGGCTTATTTATTATATACATCTACTACATTATTGGAATTAAAATAATTGGTATTTGCTTTGTCTGGTATACCTGAAAATGAATAAGAATTAAGAAATATCTAGAATTAGAAAATAATATCTGAATTGGCTGAAGAAACATAATTGGGAGAGATGCAATTAACTTTGGAGACTTAAATCTTGGTTAAGAAGAAGAATTAAGTTTAGAATGTTAATAAAAATTAGAAGGAATTATAAAATTAATAAGTAGGTGAGGATATTATTTCAATTTTGGTTGAATAAGATGATAAAGTTGGAGTTTCAAAATTTTGTAAATATTCTTTTTTTATATTTAGATGTGAATATTAATTAGACTGTTTAAGAATTGATAGAGTTTATCAAAGAATAATTTGGATTGTTAGATGCTCATAGATTAAGAAATCTTAATGGAAAGATTCTATTTTGTAAAACAGATCTTGGAGTATAATTGAAGGAATTTTAAGATTTTAGAGAAGGGTAATATATAATTGTAATATTATTTTAGTGGTGCAAGATTGTAAATAGAGAAGGGAGAGGTTCCAGAAAATGGAAAGATTTCAATAGTGGTTTAATATAAGGAATAGAATTTAGAAATACATGTTGATCCTAGATAAGATAAAATTGAATAGATTAAAAATGAATCATGTAAATCTTTTAATTTGGATGCTGTTTAACATAGATTATATAAGGTAGATTGGTTATAAGTTCCTTCTGAAGGATTGACTGATGAAACTAAAACAGTTTCTTAATGTTATTTAAGAGATAGAGATTTACTTATATTATGTGAAAAGACAGCATAAATTGATTGTGAATTAATACGATTTTAACTTTATTCAACAACTACTGGATATCCTGATGATTGTGTATTTTAAAAACATGAAACAATGAGAAAGGATGCAACTTTAAAAGATTTGAAATAGATGATTATTTCTACTTTTGGATTGAATATAAATATTGATCAATTAAGAATTAGAGATATAAATAAAAATAGATTCTTTGGATAAGTATTTAGAAAATTAGAATAAACTTTACAGAAATTTTAATTCTCTACTAATGATATTGTATATTAGGTTTTAAATATGCCAGAAACACTTCAAGATGATGAAATGCTCTTATTAATAAAGGAAAGAGATCCAATTAATAAAATATATATTAAACCATAAGAATTTATTTTTAAAGTATCTAAAACTCCAACTTTATTGGAATTGAAGGATTAGATTTAAAAATTTGTTGGAATTGAATAAGGGACTTAATTGGAATTGGCTAAATTTGTAATCTATGAATTTTAATGGTTACATTTAGATTCAAATATTATAGAGAAATAATTATAAGGTAAAGGTAAATAAGGTAAATAAGGAAATTAAAATAAGAAATAAGGTAAGAATTAATAATAATAATAATAATAATAATAATAATAATAATAATAAAATCCTTGTTTAAATTTAAGAAAAAATCCAATTAATTTAGGTGAAGGAGGTATTTTATAATATAATTATATTAGATTTTATTGGATATAGATTAGGTAATCATCCAAATGATGATTTCTAAACAAAAGAAGATAATGAGGTATTTATAAACTTTAATAATGATTAGCTTAGAGAGAGAATGATTGCTGCTCGCAAAAATAAGCATAATGGTTTGGGATCAATAAAACGACAATAGGAATTAGGATTTGCTGTAGATATTGAATGAAAAATTCTATAAATTTATCATATTCTATATTGTTATTAAATTATCAAATGATTAAAGCTCCCAATACAATTAACCCTGATAATATTAGATCGTAACAACTCATACAATATCCTGTAAAACTTCCTTCATCATTTACTTTATTTGAGCTAAATGTATATGTTCCTAATGTATTCAAGAAGCATGTATTATATGAATATTTAGAAACTTGGGATGTTGTAGCTGGGATGCAGTTTCCATTTTACCATGTACATAATTATAAAGTCTTATATGTGGTATCTACAGCATAATAGAGACAATCTTCTTAGGTTCTTAAATTTGGACATCCAATAGGTTAACATGTACCTGATCCTCCTGTAATTGATTCCCATTTGCATGCCAAACCATTTTCAGCACATTTAGTAGCTGTTGTGATATTACTACATGAAGTATATTATGCTGATCTATTAATACATGTCTTATTAGCATTTGCACTGTCATTTACACAAAATATATTGGCTGCATTGCAATCAGAGAGACCTTGTGTAGGATTTAATGTGATTGAAGAACAGTTCAAATTTTTCAATACTGTGCATGCTGATCCATTCCAAAAACATTAAGAGTTTATTGCACAACTATATTAATCTTAAATGTCTGTGCATGTAATTGATCCACATGATGATGATTAGAAATTCCATATACATCTATTAGCTAAAGTGCAATCCAATTAAGAAGAAATTTAGCCACAATCACATACATCTGAAGGAATTGATACAATAGCATTTGATGTTCCATATACTGTTAATATCAAGAGTGATAAGCTTATAAATATCATAATTTATTGAATTAAATGATTTCTGCCAGATTATTTTCGTATTTTAATGATGTTATCATCTAATAATCCATAAAAGAAATTTATTATATTTAATTATTTTATGAATAATTATATAATTTTTATATAGAATGCATAAATTGATCTAATTAAAACATTCATTCACTTAGTAAATTAAAACACCATAGATTATATCATTTACTATTCTTTAATTAAGTTAGATATATCAATTTATACTTCAATCCTATTATTTATATAGATTTAAATACATCATTATTGAAAAACTAATACATAATTCATTTATTTACTAGGATTATAAATAGAATGGAAAGACAACTAAACTTATAATTTATTTGATTTCTATCTTGTTGTTAGTTTTACTCATTTTTATAGGATTAAGATTACCAATTATTTGATACAATTTAATATTGTAAATTAGATGTATAATACTAGAATTTTATTTACATCATTATTTTTTATTCACTCTATAGCTAAATGTATAATCATATGAATTACTTGAAGTAGAATCTATCTTAGATAAATTTATAGATTTTTAATAAAAAAGAAAATAACTACTTGATGAAGAAGAATTGTAAAATGAAATTATAAATTAAATAAAGACAACTCATTATGTAGTAAATATAAAACAAACTTATTTTATTTCATGATTCAAATTCTATTTAATAATTCAAATTTTTTATTAGTTACTAATTTTTATACTATTTTCTATTTAATTATTAAGTTTGATTTTAAACACTTAATTTCTTTCTAAAGTAATCTTATATTATATTTTTATTAATTCATTTACAATAACATGATTTTGAATTTACAGTGTGTTTGGATCTTATAATTCAATTAAAAAATATTATCAAAGAAATAATACTTAAATGATTTATAATAATAATATAACTTTATTGTTAAATAATAAAAATATATGATATAATAATCAAAATTCAGTATTAATAGTTTCTCCTTGTGTTTAAATAATTAGTGTGAGAATTAATGTTGCTATTCCAGAAACTTTCTTTATAGAAACACCTAAAAATCTTTATTGTAGAATGTCAACCATTTCACTTTAACCCAAATCACCATTCTTTTTAAATACTTATACACATTATTTAATGACTTCATCGAAATGTCTACCTAATTTTTAAATCAATCTAGCTCTTAAATTCTAAATAATTTAATAATTATATTATACTTTAATCTATTCTGGTGGATTATCAAAATCATCTTCTACTATTTCTTACAATTATGATATCATTTAACTCATTTCATCATCTTTTTTGAAAGGATCTTTAAAAATAATTTTATTTTTTTTTCTTCTTTCTTCAATAGAATTATTAAAATCTTAAAATTCAATATTAGATTTAGTCAATGTCAAAGGTGTACTATCAGCTTCTTCAATAGGATCTAATACTTTCTCTTCTTCTTCTTACTACTTTCTTTTTGGACTAAAAAACAGATTACTTTAATTATTAACTATTTATCTGCCACTTTATTAACGATCAAATGATTTAATTTATTTCTTTAATTAAAGATATTTATCTGTAAGTACTTTACCACTCTAAATCCTTATATTCAATGAAGGTGATTTAATTATTTTATTAGGTGTTTCAGGACCTTCTGATAATTGATTCTTTCTTCTTGGAGACTATCTTCTAGGAGATTATGTAGGTAGATATGAATGATTCTATTTTAATTATACTCTTCTACTAAAATTAGGAGTATCAATAGTTCTCTTGATTTCAGGTAATTTGTGAACACTAGGACTAGCTCTTTATTTTGGAGTAGCCATTCTTTTCTTCAATTGAGGTAATTATTGTACAGGTTTTTTTGTTTTTACTATTTGATTAATTACTTATTATTCTTTTTAGAGTGTCTCACTTAGAAATGACTTGATTCTGTCTCTGATTAATTGTTCACGTAAAATTTCATTGATAGTTGGTCGTCTATGTTCTTTACAAGATAGAAGTTTTACTATTAAACTGTACTAGAAGTGAATGCAATTGCATACTTTCTTAATTTGATTGAATAACATTCCAAAGTTGGTGTAATTTCACATCTGACAACTTTTAAAGCAAGTTAAGCTATATTATCACCTTCAAATGGTGGTCTTTTATTACACATTTCATATAAAACTACTCCTAAACACCAAATATCTTATTTAAATCCATATGGTTGATTCTCAAACATCTCTGGAGCCATATAATATGGTGTACCAATAACTGATTTTGCACAAGGAGTGGTTGTTGACAAAATCTTAGCAATCCCAAAATCACCCAACTTAATCATACCTTCTTTAGTTAAAAACACATTAGATGTTTTGATGTCTCTATGAAGAATCTTTCGATCATGACAATATTTAACTGACAAACTCAATTAAGTGAACCAATCAAGTACTTAAGATTCTGATAAAGAACCTTATGTTTATTTTATCTTTTGAGATAAATCACCACCATCAGCATAATCCATAACAATACACAATTTACCCTTCTTTGTTTTGTATACTTCCCTAAAATTAATTATATTAGGATGTTTCAATGTGGACATTATTTTAGCTTCTTTATATGCTTGCTATAATATTTAATAGTAATATTCTCTTACTGCAATTTCATCCTACTTCATAAAAGACACATCAATCTATTTAATTACACATAACTATCCATCTCTAATACTTTCTGCTAGATATGCTTTTCCATATGCTCCTGATCCAAGTAATTTGATTCTTTTATATACTTCTGACTCTTAGACTTACATAATTTAAAAATCTAATAAGTATAAAATATAGTATTTAATACTCATAATTTACATTATGTTATCACTTCTATTTTAACTGCTAATATTTTATTATATTTCTTTTATATCTCTAATTTTATAACATCCATATATATATTAATATTCACATTTACAATAAACTATTATAATTTAATAATAACAAATAATGAACGATTTACAAGATGTTAATCCATATCCTTAATTTGATGAATAAAATGAATCAAATCAATAAATTGAAGAACCTACTGCTTCTTAGGCAATTCCAGTCATTCAATAAAATATCATTTTAGACAATTCAACTTAAACAAGAACAATTGGAGAAGCTTCAAGTGAAGAAAGAAAATAATTTCTTATTCAAAGTCTTAGAGCCTTGTCAGTATAATAGATATTCTAATTATTTCTTGCATTGGGTTTTGCATTTGTAGAAGAATGGGGATTTTGTAGTAATTTCTTCCTTTTCTTTTTCATTACATTGAGTCTACATTTATTTATAGTCACATATAAAGCAAGAGGAATGAAAAAAGAAGTATCTATAAAATGATAAATAAATAATAGGAAGGAGTGATGAAATTATAATGGCTTGGTTGGATGATATGCTATTCATTTGCAACAACTTTATTTTCAACTTTGTTGAATGTATTGTACTTAGGATGGTTCTTTTATTTACCCTATCTAACTATGACATTTTTATTTCCTATAATAACATTAGGAATGATTATTCATCTTTCATCTGGAAATGCATGTCTAAATACTAAATGTATAGAGAATATCGTATCAATATAGAATACACAATTATATTCTTTGTGATGATCTTCTTCCTAAATCTATGTCTATCAGTATTTGATGGTGGATATATCCATTTTGGATATTTGATTGGAGAAGTTGTTTCATATCTTTATGGATTATATTTAACATTCATAAATGTTTAAATTTAATATGTAAGAATTTAACAAAATAATAATTTAAGCCTGTCAATGACTTATCACTAAATCTTTAATAGGAAGAAACTAAATTGGATTAAGTGATGAATTTATTTGATAGAGGAACATAAAAATTTGAAGTTGGTGTCATTCCAACTGAAGCATAGGAAATTACAATGGAAGAGATCAAGAAATAGAATAATGCATAAAGATTAATTAAATTGGCTATCTTATAAGTTTTCGGTGTAATATTCTATGTATTTCCATGGTTGTATTTGGTTTTAATGACATGGTTAATGATGGCAGCACATAAAGCTGACACAAAATTTGTATAAATTGGTAAGAAATAAGAAGTAAAATTGAATGAACAATTTGTTGCCCCAATATTAATTAATCTAGATATATTGGGAGGATTAAAACATGCAATAGAATGAATATGTATAAAAATATAAAAATTCACTGTTATTCATAGAAATTTTAATAATAATGCAAAATTATGTGTATGACATAGATTCAATCAGGGGACTCAATCTTTCCTTAAAAGTACCATTAAGTCTCTTTGCATATATGGTAGATGAAATTTATAAATTCACACTTTCATATTAAAGTGCCTTTTCACTCTAATCTATGCTTTAGATATTTTAGCGTGAATCTGTAGCATTAGATATTTCAGAGTCAGAATTTTGCATTAATAGTTATGTTTATTTGATTCGATTTGTGTAAAAGAATAATATAACTGCAGAACATTTAAGTAAATGGTTGAAAGAAAATACACTTGTTTAAGATGATCATAGAGAATATCTAATGAAAGTATTATAAGGCTTTGATCCAGAGACAGTTAAGAAAGTATTGAGTTTAGGTAAGTTGAAAGAATTGAAATGGACAGTTAATTAATATAATGGAGATGTCAAATATCCTAATTTAAAGAAATTATATATTTTATTAGAATTCCATATCTAAGATGAGAAAGGAAATCTATAAAAATAAATTATTAATCTAACCATCTAAGAATTTAAAATGCTTTAAATGGAATTTAAGGAAATTGGTGATATTTTGAGAAGTTTTATATGAATTTATATATATATATACACTTATTATTTAAGAATATTATGTTTGTTGTTTATCCAAATTCTATAAAATAGATATTATATATAAACTTTCAAATTATGATCTATAAAAAATCATTTTTCACTTTTAGTTTCATAAAATTTTATGTATTAACTGACCATCTCATTTACTTATTAACCCAATTCTTATTACATCTACATTTTCAATCTCCTTCTATAACACAAAAACAAGAATAAACCAAAAAGTATACAACTCACTACTGCAAATGCTATCAAAGCCCAATTAATTTCACTTCCATTACTTGGAGTATCATCATCTTATTATTATTATGCAAAACAAATACTTTCATTTAACATATCTAAATTACATTATTAATCATACTACTGCATATATCTTCAGTAACACTTACAGCCTCTAAATTACCATGATATGGTTAACCATTTACTAAAACACCTGGAAAATATATTATTCCACTTAATGATTTATTACCTACCCATTAATCCATTATTTTATTTTCTTGTAATTCTCTTGCCTTCTTTGAATCTTTATCATATGAATTATCTACACATTCACCTATACTCTTTTATTTTGCTATCCAATTTTCATTTGAACAAACTCCATAATGTTGTATCTAAAAACAATTCTTATCAAAATAATCCTAAATTTTCTTATATTCTCAATTACCATATACTCAAACCATTGAGTTGCATTATTTATCCATATACAATGTTATCTTAATTATTCTTCTATCACCTATCTTCCTAAACCCTCTCCCCTCATTTACATACAATATCTACCACCTCCCATGCATTAATCATTTGATTCAGTAAAATTTAATCTTTAATCTCTCTTGCTCACATCCACCTCATAACTAATGTAGAATTTCACATCTTTCTATAATTATTTATAGTATTATTAAAATTCTCTTATAAATTTAAAGCCTCCCTTATCATTAAGGGTTATGAACAAAATTACTTCAGGCTGTAATATATGTTTATGTTGCATACTTTTTCAACTTTCTTTGAATCTTTGAATGTAATTACACCATATGGAAATATCTCCTCTACATTTATAAATTTCTTCATAAAATAATCACCATCCTATTTGCCAATCTCAATTGTTGGGATATGCACCTTGAAACCCATACCATCATTATTCAATTCCATTGTATTACTTAAGTTCTCCTTGTTACTTACAATTATCAAAAGCTTAGCCCCCAATTCTTATGCTACATATGCCTAATTCTAAGATATAAAATTTACTTTTGTTGTTGCTGAACAATTTCCTACCCTTCCAATAATCCAGTAGCTCTCCATTATTGGTAACTTTTTGATATTTGATTTATTGCATAAATCCAATTAGTTATCTTCTAATTCTTTAGGAATCACCAAAAATCCCCCTAAAGTGCGTCCATATGGAATGTGTCCAAAATTTGCTATTGAATAATTTACATCCTTAAATTATCTTTCTACAAAGAATTGTAATTTTGCACTTACTGAATACAACAAAATAGAAAATATCAGCATCTATTTGTTTAAAATTTTTTATAATTATATTTAGAATTATCTTTGATAATTTTTACTAATTCATAAACAAAGGTTAGATTAAATCAAAATTGATTGTCTTCCTAATAATTTTATCAAATTATTCAAATTATATCCCTAAATTTGTAAATAGCAAAATTTTAACTTATCCTTACATCATATAATCAATTACCATTCAAAATTATCTTAGTCAGAATTACTAATTCAACTAATATATAAAAATGTTAACAAGATATAGTTTAAAAAGAGTTTAGAGAAATTTAATACGAAGATTAAACATTTATGACTTTGATTATATATGTGTGTTAATATTAACAATAAATAATTCATAAAATCTGGAATCATGAAATCTACTTTTATTCATTTATCAAATTATATATAATCATTTGAAATCTTATTAATTTAAATTTTTATTAAACTACTCCTTTATAAATTTTAAGGAAGATATTCTAAATTAATTAACACTACTAAGTATTCAAATTCAATTAAATTTGACTTATTTAATTTTATATTTAGATGTAGTGGTATATTTAATACAAAGAAATTAGTTATCAAATAAGTTTATAATAATGATAATAATAATTTATTAAAAATAAGATCATTATATATCTCCTGATATTTCTAATAATGAATGTTAATGATGCATTCTATATACTTTTGATGCTAATGATTAATTATAAAAATTTACTTTCTTATTATTTTTAGAATGCCTTCAGGAATGATTAAGGTGATTATGGTAACAATTTTCTATCAATTTTAGTGTTCAAATTTGATGCTGAAGAAGTAGGTTAATTTTCTTTTTATCTAGCATAATTATTTTATTAGGGAACTTCTTCATATTTCTATTCCCTTGAAGTAGAAGCACCAATAGCGATTTATTGGGTTGATTATTTCCAAAAAGGCTTAGGCATAACTGATAGAGAGTCTCTTCCATAATCTCTAGATGATTAAAGTCCTTCATTTTTAGGTGATCCCACTAATATTATGAATAAGTTTTTACTTTATGACATACTTCTACTTGGTTATTCAACTTAATCAATTGTATCCAAATCTAAGAATTTACGATATGCTGCACAATTTCTAACGGGATCTAGTTTTGCCAAATCTCTAATATATGATTGTAAAGCTCTTCTTCTATCTTCAATAACTGTAGGTCTTTTAGCATTAAAGACACTGCCAATATCAGCTGTATTAATGATGGCTGAACTTGATTCTGGCATTTTCAAATTTGGATATTATTGAATGATTGCTTAATGTAATTCACAAAAGTTTTTATATCTTCTTGAAATAGTCCATTTCTTTAAATTATATTGAACTCTAATCATATATTCAGTATAAGGTTTATTATCAGGAGTTTCTCTAACCATGGTTTGATTAATTGAAATTTATAACTAACTTAAATCAATTGGAGGTGGTAGAGGATGAGTAAGAGATTGATTATGAGTTTATTAATGAAGTTAAGCTTATGATTATTATTATTATGACTATTATTATTATAACTATTATTATTATTATTATTATTGTTATTATTATTATTATTATTATTATTATTATTATTAAGTTGATACTATTGGATTACAAGGATTATTATCAATACATGTTGATAAATGTTAATTAAATCCATTACTTTAATATTGTCTATTACAATGTAAACAAACAATACTGGAACTATTTTTAAAGATCTTTTTGAATTTTTTTAATTTAGTAACTTTTTCTTCTAATTATTTACATCTCATTTCCATTTTATCCATAGCAGCTGAAAGATTTCTATTTGTTTCTAAAAGTTCAAGAGTAGACTCTTAATAATCATTACTAGGATTGTTTTAAGCTTGAATTTAATGATTGATATATACATTATAAAGCAATCAAAAGAGCATCATGTAATCTTTTGTTTTCATCTAACTAACTCTTCAAGAATGTAACTTAATTTTCTAAATATGATTTTTCAACCATCCATTCACTTTATTATCGAGCTGTTTATTTTTTTGAATCAATATCATTATTCAATTCTTGTATTTTTTTTTCAAATTCTAATTGTAACTTTTATATCTCTTAAGCTCTTCCATAATCTAATGAATGACATTTTTATTATAATTATTCATTAGCTGCTTTTTAAGTAATCAATTCTTATCTAAGTTTTTTATTTTCATTTTCTAACTAAGATGATCTATCATTCAAAGTTTATATTTCTTTTTATAAATAAACATTTTCTTAACTAATTAAGGCCAATTATTTATCATGCTATTATATTTGATGTTAACTTTATTATTAAACTTATTGTGTTTATTATTAAATTTATTAGAATTATGTTTTAAGTTGTAATTCACTTTTTGATAATAATTCATTTTCCTTATATAATTTTTCTAATTTGCTACTAGATTGTAATTCTAATTAATGTTTTTCATCTTGCAATATCTTTAACTCTTTCTCCAAATTCTATATCTTATATTATAATTATTTATTCTCTTAATTAGTTTATTGAGAAGCTTTTCTTGTTAATTTTTCTGCTGCCTATTAATAAATTTATAAACTCATTTCATCAAATAATTATGAAACTTATTAATTTCTACCGACTTCCTTCTGAAATTAATCTCTAATTTTAAACATTTCTGATTATAATTCATAATAATTAGAAAATTGATCATTTTTCAATTTATCAAGAATATTTTCAATATGAGGTTATAATACTTTAGATTGATGATTCTAAATAATGATTTCAATAATACCTTTAGATTTCTTTTATTACTTTATTTAAGTTCTTTGAATTTCTCTTCAAATTATTCTGATAATTTCTCTGTAAATTATTTTAGATCATCCTCAGATCCTATGGCTTTCAATTTAAATTACTTCCTAACCTAATCTAATAATTGCTATTTAACAGCAGGTAAATCTTAAATCACCTAAGTCTTCATCTTCTCAATTTATTATTCAGCCAAGTTTATACATTCTCTAAGTGCTCTCTCTCCTTCTGCTTTACATACATAACCCCATGCAGATTCAACATTTGGCACTTTACCTCCATTTATTAAATCAACATAAGCCTTCGCCAATTATAGTAATTAAATTCCATTAACCATGCTTCCTTAAACAGATTTAGGTTTAATTCGTTTGAATATCTTAGATCTCGCTTCTTTCAATTACTAAACAAACTCTCCTCTAAAATTATTGTCATGTAGAGAATCCAATTTTTAAAGATCTTCCTCTCTTTCAACTGGCCTAACCATTGTCATACAATCACGTTCTCTAAAGAAATGTTTAATCATTCTTCTTATACGATTCTTCTATTCCACAGAATCAGATAATCCCTTCTGCAATTCTAAGGCATTTTCAAGATATTGTTTTGGATTGATGGAATTTCCTTATTGATCCACCATTTGAAGAGCAAAATCTCTAACAATCCATAAGAATTAAGGAAATGTATTCTCGTTATTTTATTAAATGTCCTAATTGTTATGTAATTTATTATTACCTTAGCAAGATTGACTATCAAATTCAAAGTGTTTAAGGCATTCTCATCAATGTTGCCAACAGAATTGTAAATAAAATAACTACTTAATAGAAGACTGAAGAGAAATATCCTTGTATCATGATTAACATTCTCATCCATACCTCCAAAACCTTCAGTATCAATAATAATAGCCTTCATATCTGGAAATTCAGCATTTTAAGCTGTGATTGTTTAACTCCATATCCACAAACCCTTGGTACAAGGATTTATTGTAGGACCTACTGAAAAACCTCCTGCTTGTTGATTCAGAAGAACTCGATTAACAAAGAAACTTTTGCCAGTTCTATATTTTCCTACAATGGAGACAACTCCAAGTTTTTCTGAGCCCAAGGAGGTCAGAAATTATTCAGCTTAAGGATCCACCTGAAATTGATTGTTGATGTATTTTATGAAAGGAATTGCTTTGGGTGCATTCATTTTTTGAATTTTAATTTAACGATTTATTTAACATAAACCAAAAGGATGTAACAATCTCAAAATTTGTTTATTTGTATTTTTGTATATATACTTAACAACAGAACCTGAGATCATCATAACATATTAACTCAATATTTTAGTGTAAATTGATATTTTACAAGTCTTATGTCTATTAAGTAAATATCGATTAATCATCATTCAATTAACATTCCAATTATTGGTCGTTCAAATTGGGTTCTCACATTCATATTCAATAGTCCACAATACATAGGTAACTTAATCTTATAGATTTCTTCTTATCTATTTGGATCTTCTTCAATTTTCATTGTTTACTCAATTGAAAATTAGGAATTCAATGCAAAATCAATATATAAGAAATTCTGTTTTTGGTGTAAGTGAATGATTTTGTAAAATTATTCAATCCACACTATTTATAGACTGCTTGAATATTTAGTTACGAAGGCCTTGTTGAAATATTATATGTACTTGCGAAACCTGACTTACTATACTTTGTTAATCCTAATTAATTTGTTCAATCAAAGTTGGATTGGCCAATTCAATAAAATACATGAAATAGAGTGGATCTTAAGTAGCAATAAAGAAAATCTTTTAATTCAATTGATAATTTTCTGACTGAAATATCTATTGTAATCCATCAAAATTAGGTATTTCAAGGTATTTCTTATCTTTATAAATCACCTATCTCTACTTTTTAATCTTTAATTAAATAATCATTTAAAGTAAGTCAAACTAATTGTTAATTTTATAATGTACCTTATCAAATTTATTCTCAAAAGTAGGTAAATTAATAGAGAATTTGATTTAGGTTTTAAGCTCATCTAAAGTGTGAATACTCAAGAATTCTGTATTAGGTAACCTACCCTAAATAGATTATAATTTCTTTTATAGGAAAGAATTGGAATCAGGAACCTGACCATGAAGATGACATTAGAAGCAATCTTCAAAGAATTAATATTCTTTAGAAGAATGTAGGTATTCTAAATGATTTTAGATTTGATTTCTTTCTTCACTTTACTAAGTAGCATAGTAATTTCTTAATTAAATAGAAACTTAATTGGGTGTTTTGTTGGGACTAGATAATAAATTAAATAAACATAATACTAGTCTTAGATGGGTCGCTTAAGATAATATATGGTCTTTCTGATTTTGGTTTTGGCATCATTATCAACTTATCGCCATCGAAATTTAGCATTTTTGATTGATTCCATTATAAATCTATTTTCAATCAACTGATCTTATTCTTAGTAATGTATCTAGATGTATTTAGATGTCTTACTTAAATAATTTGTATTTCATTAGCTGAATTATCTATTGTGAAAATATATTCAGTTAATTTGGAGAGTAATTGTGTTAAATTTGTTAAATTATTAATCATGACTGTTTCTATAATCCATCTCTTCTCTAAAATGTGATTCTCATCAACATAAACAAGTGCATGACCAATGTTAAGATTAATTAGTGAACATTCGAGGGAATATTTAAATTTGTACAAAAGAACAGCAGGATCAGAACAAAATGATTTCTTAATCTCTTAAGCAGAGTTTCTCAACAAATCTTAAAATACAGACTCAAATTCTTTAGGTTATAATTAAAGTGAAGTAATATGAGATAAATTATTAGTTGATTTTTCTGATATTTTAATGATATGTTCTTTGTCTATGAGAATGGAAAATAATGGTTTATTTATTTTTTCAAGATCACTTTGAATAATACCGAAAAGAAATGGAGGTTAGATTATTTTATCGTTATCATTAAAGTATTGGTTTGTATGCAATGATGGATTTCTGGGATACATAACAGATAAATAGGTGTCATTTTGAAAATAAGCCTAGATATTAGTATCACTTAATTTCAGTTACTTTCCACAACATTTAAATTGAGGTAGCCAGACATGATTTTGGCATTCTTATTTTTTATCAAATTTTTCAAAAGTTTAGTTGATAAAAGATTGAATATTAGATTTAGATATCTAATTAGGTTAGACTTCCTAAATGAATCTATTATTTTACTGTAATTTAATACATTTTAATAAATGGGTCAATTGTGGAGATCAAATAAATCATACTATTAGAGATTTCTGAGGAACTTAATTAAAGAATGGAGGGTTCTTATTCATTCATAGTTGGATGCTAGATAATAAATACATTTTAATTACAGCAATCAGTCGAAGATATGGTTAAGTGTTGTTACGATAGAACTCACTACTGAAGTATTTAAAATGGAGTCTCACATTGAATAATTGAAAATATACTGGAGTCTAAATTGGGGTGCTAAATTCAATTTGGTATTTATTCTTAATATCATTTGGTTTCTAAATTAACATATACTATAAACCATATAATTTCTAATAGATTATTTAATTTATTACTTTGAGATATGGAGATAAAGCCAATATATTATTTTCAAATTAGATGATTGTATTCTTTCCAATATTTGCACAATATTAAGCAATAAGTAATTCCTCATTTGTTATTAAAGTTGATTCTGTTTATGTTGCATAAATTCTAAGCATTTTCAAAGTTACAGGAGCGAAGTATTATCTACTCATATGTTATTAAACATTTTAAATTTTTTATTCGTAAATGACCACATTAAATTTATTATAAGTTATATTCTTTGAGAATATGAATTTCAGATCAATCAATACTTTTTTGATAGATTAATCATTACTACAACAAATAGCCAATGATGTGAAAGTGTCCCCTTATTTTATCAACATCTTGATAAAATGTTGGATTATTATAGTAAATTTCTATTGCCATTAGGGATCCTTATGAAGATAAATTTAATGTAATATCCACCTTCTTCCTTAATAATCTTAATCTATTGAACATATTATTAATCCATTTTCATTGATTCTTACTATTGCAGCTTCTTACCAATACATTAATAGATCCTTTATATGAGTTATAGGATATTTAAAACTTTCATTTAATTCTTAAACATTATTTGTAGACCAATTCTCTAAGATTGCTTCCAAATCCTTAAATGGATATGACACTAAATTAAACTAAAAATCCTCTGCAGTATAAATGACTTTACTTGCATAAATAGACAAGTTAATAGGATTTTTACATGAAAAACCAGGTGAACCTACATGATCTATATTTGAATTTTCATAAGATTACTTATGAAAATTGAGTGGTCTATAATCATTTATCTACTTATTAAAATATTCTTAAAGATCTATCATATTATTAATGTATTTCTTATCCATCTTGTGTTTTATCAAATGATCATACAATTATTATTCATCTTTTTCTGCTTATCTCACAACACTTAAATAGAATATATCTGAATCTTTAAACTAGAAATAATCCTTCATTTTAGGATGATGATTTTGTATAAAGTTGTGATCGTCCATTATTTAGTGCAAATAATTACGATCTTTGATTCTCCAAATATAGTTGTAATTGAACTTAGAATTCAGAGAGTTTTTCCATTTCCTATGAAATTCCATTAGATTTAATGTTAGTTTACGTAGATCATATATAAATTTAGAAATTGTTTTCAAAAAATCTGAAAAGTTTCCTTGTTTAGCTCTAGATATTTCTTTTAGACACCTTTCTCTTCCGATAGTAAGTTGATATAATGTTTTGACCACACTTTTATTATTTGTAATGCTATCAATTTCAATCCTGATTAATTCATCAGCTTAGTGCTAATGTTCCAATAACACATTATAGTAGTAATTTTAATGACATTCAGGTATGTCATGTTCTTTCCACAATTATAACAATTAGTTAAATCTAGCATTATTATTTTAATTAATTTATTTGACTACTTAATTTACATTCATATTACTTACTTTCCAATTATTCCAATTTCCGATCATTATTACTATTTCTAATACTCATATTTTAACCACCCTTGTTACTAGACATAAACAATTTTTTTATTTTATATTTTTTTATTTTTTTAGCATATTAATAGGAATAATTTTATAGAAATACTTAAGTAATTAAATCAACACTTTTTTTTTGAAATACTAATCAAATAGAAATTTATATCTTTTTTTTTATTTATTTTTATCTACATTCAAGTTGTGCTTCCTATATTCTCAAAATAATCGCATATTTCTATAACATCATTATTTCAATTTTATTTTGATAAGCAATTATTTATATTAATATAAATGGGAACATGTTGTGGTGCTTAAGTACCACATACTGGAATTATTTTTGAATTCTCTGCTCTCACCTATTACTCTCGTTATGCTATTATTATTTAGAGAGCATATAGAAGTATTCTTTTGAAAAATATTTAATCTGTAGAGTGGAAACATAAAAAGGAAGGATAAGAGAATCGTTTAATAATCACAATTGATAGTTAGCATAGTCATGAACCTCCTGCATTAGTAACTGTTTCAATTGATAATCCTATCGAAGTAATTGAATAAATTGTATTTTCAATAATCATCCTAGATTGATCATACACCTTAAAATGCTATTAAGGTAGATCGTAAATATAGTGAATATTCAACTATTGTAAATAACCTGATCTTTAAAATTGGCAATTTTAATTACAAGGAATATGCAAAATAACTTAGTTATACAGAGGAAGAATTAGCATTACCTCATCAAGAACCTTATCAGTTATAAGACAACACTGTATATGTGGGATAATGGAAAATGGGATTGCGTCATGGTAAAGGTAGAGCAATCTTTCCAGATAAAAGTATCTACGAAGGCTTTTGGAAGGATGATTAGATGTGGGGATATGGCAGACTTATTTTAGGAACAGGAGACTATTACGAAGGTTAATTTTTAAGGAATATGGCTAATGGGAAAGGAAAATAAGTTACAACTTTAGGATATTCGTATGAAGGGGATTGGGTGAATGATAAACAGTAAGGTGAAGGAATTGAAAGGTATCCAGATGGTACGAATTTTAAAGGAAAGTTCGTTGATGGAATGAAAACAGGTTTTGGAGAATTTCATTTTTAGGATGGATCAAGGTAATATTAATTAGATATATATAATTAGTTATGTTGGACAGATTATAGAAAATAAGTTTAATGGGAAAGGAGTCTTTAAATTTGGTGATGGTAGAAAATATGAAGGATAATGGAAAAATAATTAGATGGATGGTTATGGTACATTTACATGGCCTGATGGAAGATAGTATGATGGATATGTATCAATTTATGATATCTTTTTTAGTATGTAAAGGATAAGAAACAAGGGTTTGGAGACTTTACTTATTAAGATGGGTCTATGTATAAAGGGAATTGGTTTGAAGGGAGGGAGCATGGAAATGGAACATTTTATTCAAAAAGTGGATTGTGCAGAGAGGGAGAATGGTTAAATGGTAAACGAGTGAAATGGTTAGGTCAGTATTAGACTGCTTGAAGATTTTGATACTTAATTAATATATATTTATAATTTTGCTGTTAAATTTTATGTGGCAAAATGCAAATTCTGTGCTGTCAAATATAACAAATAGTTACGAAAACACAAGAGGTTTTGATGGTTTAGAGAAGAAGAAGCCAGCAGAAGACTTTATTGAAGAAGAAACAAGAAACAATTATAGTGAGGAAGAAGATATGAATAAGGACTAGACTAAAGAATTTGATCCTAATTAATGGAGTTTAGGTAGGTTTGAGATGGGTAGGTATTTAGGTAATGGTAAATTTGGACATGTTTATTTGGCGAGGTAAACACTATAATTTATATCCAATTAGAGAGCGTGAGAGCAAATTCATATTAGCTCTTAAGGTAATAAGCAAGAGACAATTGAATTTGTGTCAATTAACAGGTTCATTAACTAGGGAAGTAGAAATTCTAAGTCATTTGAAACATCCAAATATTATTGGGTTTTATGGTTTTTTTTAGACAGAAAAAAGAGTTTACTTAATGTTGGAATGGGCTCCATTAGGGGATCTATATGGATTAATGAAGAAATAAACAAATAGAAGATTTAGCGAAGAGATGGCATCAAAAATTATTAAGTAAATCACTGAGGCTATTGGATATATGCATTCGATGAATGTTATCCATCGAGATTTAAAACCAGAAAATATTCTTTGCTTTAATAATGAAATCTTCAAGATATCTGATTTCGGATGGAGTGTACATACTCCATCAAATAGAAGGAAGACATTATGTGGTACACTAGATTATTTGTGTCCTGAAATGATCAATTATTAATCTCATGATAATCGAGTGGATGTGTGGACTATTGGTGTTTTGGCTTATGAATTAGTAGTGGGTATTGACTCTATATTATTTTTCAGGCAGACCTCCCTTTGAGTCCCACAATGAACATGATACAAAGAAGAAGATCATGAATCTGATGTTTTAGTTTCCTAATTGGAGCAGTAAAGAATTTCAGAATTTTGTGAAAGGGATTCTCTAGCATGATTGCAATAAGAGACCTTCCATCACTCAAATATTGAATCATCCTTGGATCACCAAATGACTTTTATATATATAATAATTAATATATAAATTTAATTATAATATATAAATCTAATGGTACTATTGTGCAATATTATTCGTAGATCAGATTTATTTTACTTTAGAATAGATAAGGTAAAACCAGATTATCTAAATGGTATGTCTATTATGACGATGCTGAAAAAGTTAAATTGCAAAACGAAGTCCATCGATTGATTGTTTGCAGAGACACCAAGCACACTAATTTTCTTGAAGTACTCATTTCTATTAATTACAATAGTTTAGGAATTACAAGATCATTTATAAACGATATGCTGGTTTGTTTTTTGCTTTGTGTGTCGACGTATCAGACAATGAACTTACCATGCTTGAATTAATACACCTTTACGTTGAAGTCTTAGACAAATATTTTGGAAACGTCTGTGAATTGGACATCGTCTTTAACTTTAACAAAGTAACAAAAATATTAATTAAAGGCATATTCAATCATAGATGAGATGATTGTTGGTGGGGAAATAATTGAAACATCTAAGTAAGTCATAATTAATGCTGTCAAGAATATTGAATTATTAGATTGATACATTTTAAGTCATTTATTCTTTTTTTCATCTTCTCATCATCTCATATTCTGCCCGCATAAAATAAATTTACAAAATTTTTCAAATCTAAAATAGTAATGTAAATGTTGTCAACTTTGATTAAATCACTTGTTTCAATTGTAAGCTTATTAAGTAAATATGTTGACTCATCTTTACATGTTTATTGAAATAAATTAAATCTCTAAAATTAGAATTAGACTATAATATAAGATAATTGCTCTTATCAATATCAATTATACTAAATTAATTAATGAAAATCATTATAAAGATTTTTACATTTTTTATAATGTTGATGTAATTACCAAAAGAAGTTTTTGTATGTTTTTAAATCGAATTATTAGGCTTAAGAGCTTTATTTTGAAAATGAAAATGTATTTTAATATGATAAAGTATATGCAATAAATATAAATGATGATTAATTGAATGAAACAGATATTGAAAATTATAAAATCGAAATACTAAAAGAGATAAAAATAGAAAATGAGAAATAAATTGATTTGAATGGAAATGAAAAAATATTTAGTTTTAATTAGAATACTTATAATAATAATAATAATAATAATAATAATAATAGTAATAATAATAATAATATTGATATAATTTTATTAAAGAATGGTAGTATAGAATGTTTATATGAAATACATAATTACATTTAAGATGATGAAATAATAATAAAATAAAAGGATTGTTAAATATTGTTAAATTAATAAGATTGCATTAAACTATATAAATTAGATTAATTCATTTATATAATTTAATGTAATTATAATTCAACTAATACTATTATTTAAATTCTTAATTAATCATAAATATTTGATCAAATTATTATTCCAATTCAATCAAATTGTTAATCTGATTCAATTTTTAATAATAATCAAACTTTAATCATATTTAATAAATTATGTTAAACTACACTATTTTATTCTATTTCAATATCAAATCTATTATTTTTAAATCTTACTAAATATGATTTATTAGATGATTTTTCTTGTTATGATGTTCCTCATAGTATTTTAATCAGTATTTTATTTTGTTCAAGTGAGTAGATATCAATCAACTTTCACAATATTTTTGTCATGTATTTACTAAGTGAGAAGAAAATGTACATTCAACATCGTTTTGAAAATAACGCTAAAATTTTTTAAAGGTTATCTAATTGTGAATCTATAGAAAATTATATTGAAGAAAATATCACAAGTAAGTAACTGTTGATAAGGAAAAAGTAATTAAATATGAGTAGCTAATTTTATATTTAATCTTATTTGATTTAATCTTTATTAATTTTGCATAATAAAGAAGAATTATTATCCTTAACAGTATTTTAAAGTATAGAAAGGTTGGAAATATGTTAAAAAAATTAAAATAAATTCTGCTTAAGTGCTTCCATCGGCAAGCCTGGATTTAAAAAGGTTTGAAATCTTCACTGAATAAAATTTAAAATTTTTACTTTAATCTTCTAAAATTACACATCTTATATACAAATTAAATGATACAATTTGCATCAATCACAGAGAATTATAAAAATCAAATCCTTTTGAAATACTGATTGTTTAGTAGAAATCAAAAAGTATCATTAATTAATAAAATTCAATTCTAAATCTTTGCTAGACGCAATTAATTTCTCAATAGAAAATGTTTGTTATTTAAGAATAAGATGTGGAAAATCATATTATATTAAAAATAGAAGATGATATTTTATCGATATAGGCTTGTGAATAGAATTAACTTAAACATTCTAATAAAATAAAGATTAAAACAGATTACATCAATATATTTTCTTTCCCTAATGTTTTGCAAATTGTAATTATATACAATTATCGAATAATTTTAATACAATTTAAAAATTAATAAATTATACAGAAAATTCAGAATTTAGATCTTTAAATTTTGAATTGTGTTTAAAATTTTGATGTGATATATATCATATTTGAAGATTGTAGAAAGGCCATTATGAAAATGAATTCAGAAAAAATATAGGTATTGTTTTAATAAACGTACCCTTTTGATTGTAAGCTTAGTCTTTAGTTCATATTTAATGAAGTCTTTATTACATAAAATGAAATTATGATTTCTTCAAAAAAGAACTTTAAAAGAAAACTGCTTAATTTAGAAGGTAACAAAAATATCATGACAATTGTACTATACCACTATTTGATAATAGTCAGACAAGTATAAAATGATTACTAATTGAAATTATTTTGGATGATAGAAGAGTAAGCTATTTTCTTGTATAATTTACCAACATATGATTTCAAAATCACACTTTCACTAGAATATTAAACCTATGAATCTTACCTAATGTTAAAAGCATTTAAATAAAATATCAATTATCTATTAATTTATGATATAACAAAAACAGCAATATTATCTCTTATTCGAATTACAAAGATTGATAAAGATGAAACATTATTTTTTATATTATCCCCAAATTAGATCCTTTATTATTTTCAAGGCTAATTTATAATTTAAAACATAAGCTCTACTTGTTTCAATTATTTCAATAATTTTGTAAATGTAAANATAATAATAATAATATTGATATAATTTTATTAAAGAATGGTAGTATAGAATGTTTATATGAAATACATAATTACATTTAAGATGATGAAATAATAATAAAATAAAAGGATTGTTAAATATTGTTAAATTAATAAGATTGCATTAAACTATATAAATTAGATTAATTCATTTATATAATTTAATGTAATTATAATTCAACTAATACTATTATTTAAATTCTTAATTAATCATAAATATTTGATCAAATTATTATTCCAATTCAATCAAATTGTTAATCTGATTCAATTTTTAATAATAATCAAACTTTAATCATATTTAATAAATTATGTTAAACTACACTATTTTATTCTATTTCAATATCAAATCTATTATTTTTAAATCTTACTAAATATGATTTATTAGATGATTTTTCTTGTTATGATGTTCCTCATAGTATTTTAATCAGTATTTTATTTTGTTCAAGTGAGTAGATATCAATCAACTTTCACAATATTTTTGTCATGTATTTACTAAGTGAGAAGAAAATGTACATTCAACATCGTTTTGAAAATAACGCTAAAATTTTTTAAAGGTTATCTAATTGTGAATCTATAGAAAATTATATTGAAGAAAATATCACAAGTAAGTAACTGTTGATAAGGAAAAAGTAATTAAATATGAGTAGCTAATTTTATATTTAATCTTATTTGATTTAATCTTTATTAATTTTGCATAATAAAGAAGAATTATTATCCTTAACAGTATTTTAAAGTATAGAAAGGTTGGAAATATGTTAAAAAAATTAAAATAAATTCTGCTTAAGTGCTTCCATCGGCAAGCCTGGATTTAAAAAGGTTTGAAATCTTCACTGAATAAAATTTAAAATTTTTACTTTAATCTTCTAAAATTACACATCTTATATACAAATTAAATGATACAATTTGCATCAATCACAGAGAATTATAAAAATCAAATCCTTTTGAAATACTGATTGTTTAGTAGAAATCAAAAAGTATCATTAATTAATAAAATTCAATTCTAAATCTTTGCTAGACGCAATTAATTTCTCAATAGAAAATGTTTGTTATTTAAGAATAAGATGTGGAAAATCATATTATATTAAAAATAGAAGATGATATTTTATCGATATAGGCTTGTGAATAGAATTAACTTAAACATTCTAATAAAATAAAGATTAAAACAGATTACATCAATATATTTTCTTTCCCTAATGTTTTGCAAATTGTAATTATATACAATTATCGAATAATTTTAATACAATTTAAAAATTAATAAATTATACAGAAAATTCAGAATTTAGATCTTTAAATTTTGAATTGTGTTTAAAATTTTGATGTGATATATATCATATTTGAAGATTGTAGAAAGGCCATTATGAAAATGAATTCAGAAAAAATATAGGTATTGTTTTAATAAACGTACCCTTTTGATTGTAAGCTTAGTCTTTAGTTCATATTTAATGAAGTCTTTATTACATAAAATGAAATTATGATTTCTTCAAAAAAGAACTTTAAAAGAAAACTGCTTAATTTAGAAGGTAACAAAAATATCATGACAATTGTACTATACCACTATTTGATAATAGTCAGACAAGTATAAAATGATTACTAATTGAAATTATTTTGGATGATAGAAGAGTAAGCTATTTTCTTGTATAATTTACCAACATATGATTTCAAAATCACACTTTCACTAGAATATTAAACCTATGAATCTTACCTAATGTTAAAAGCATTTAAATAAAATATCAATTATCTATTAATTTATGATATAACAAAAACAGCAATATTATCTCTTATTCGAATTACAAAGATTGATAAAGATGAAACATTATTTTTTATATTATCCCCAAATTAGATCCTTTATTATTTTCAAGGCTAATTTATAATTTAAAACATAAGCTCTACTTGTTTCAATTATTTCAATAATTTTGTAAATGTAAAGTTTCTATTCTAAGAAGAATTTACATTAAATATAATTTCTTAAATTAATAATTAAATTTTAAATGTTACTTTTGAACTAATTACTTTAAGTGATGATTATAATTTAAGGTTACTTAATTAAGAATAAACACTAATTTCTAATAATACAATTAATTTAAGTAACATATATGGAAACATAGAGAATATTTAAATTTTCCCTTAAGAAGATTATTAAATTATCTATCCATTAACATTTACTCCTCAAGAATAGCATTTTTTGACATATCAATCAGCTGTATGTTATAAGATCCCATAAAAAATTATTATTAATTGTTTTGATGACAATCAATTTTAAATACGTGAGAGCTCTATTTAGAATATCTTGCATGTTGCTAATTAAAAAAACAAGACATTTTATCAAGTATATTACGAATTAAATACACAGGAGATCAATTTAATGTTAATTAATATCGAATAAGATCAATATTAAATCAAAATTGAAAAAGTTTAAATTCCTGATGATCTTTATAAAGATGCATTAAGTATGAATTTAATTATAATTAAGGTCATAATTTTAATAAAATTGAAACGACATAAAATCTCTCCATCTTTTATTTATTAAATGGCGAAAATTATATTACATTCAATAACATTTATGGAAGAGAATTAAGTTCGACTTTTAAAGTCAATAAAAATTTGGTATCAGGTTATTTATTTGATTCAAATTTTATTTTTATATCAGAATCATCATAATATCTCAATATAATGTTTATCACAATTACTTAGGTAAATGAAAATGAAATTAATTATGATATTAGATTAGACTGTTAATAGATGTTAAATAAGATAATTTCAGAAAGTTTAATATCTATATTGAATAATGTTGAAAGGAGTTTAAAAATATTTTAAATTCAAATTGAAAAAGATGTAATACATTTTGAAATTGGTATTTTTTTTCATTAATATTTTGCTCTATTGATTTCATTTAAAATCGATAAAAAATTTGAATTGATGCCTGAATTATAAAGTACAACAATCTTGAGATATTAAAAGGAATTCTAACTTATGAGACTGCTCTATGTTGATAATAATTTTACAATATTGATACTAAAGAATAATGAAATTCAAGAATTTGTTTATGTTTATGATATTCGCAGAAGAAAAGTTTAACAAAATATTGATAGTATTTAGAAACTTGTTAATAATAAATATACTGCAATTGAAAGATATAATTAATCTCATTATATCCTTACATCTAAGGATGGAATAATATTTATAACTCTTGATGAGCCAAGATTCTCTTGTTAAACTGTGTGTTAAGCTATACAATCCATTCAGTTTAGCAATGAAGTATCAATAATATAAATTGAAATTTCAGATGTTTATTAGAATAAAGTTCATAGAGCATAAGTTAGTATAATTTTAGTTACATTTATATGTATTTTACTAATTCAAAAGTTTTAAAGGAAAAATAATTAATATGGAAAATTATAGAATCTAAAAAGTTAATTGATATGAGTTATAAAAATTATATTAAAATAATTATTCTATAATAATAATAATCATAATAATAAATTACTATCTGATAGATTAGGATGAGCAAATCTGATATAATTTAAAGTATAATGGATGAAAAACATGATTATGTTATTAAATATTAGAATTGATATCTTCAAATTTTTGAAAGGTAAAGAGGTTATAATTTGCTCTATTCATTTTTAACTCCGAAAATAAAAACTATGAATAAAATCTATATCAATTGATTACATTAAATTTCTTATTGAGTAATTAATAAACTCTTTTAGATGTTCTTAAAAACATATTTGCTTATAAGAATAGCTCTATCTTCGACTGTAAAACTCTTCATTATTGTAGATGACTTTTAATGTTTATCCTGATGAAAATATTGATGTCAAGATTCAATAATATGCAATAAATATAAATGATGATTAATTGAATGAAACAGATATTGAAAATTATAAAATCGAAATACTAAAAGAGATAAAAATAGAAAATGAGAAATAAATTGATTTGAATGGAAATGAAAAAATATTTAGTTTTAATTAGAATACTTATAATAATAATAATAATAATAATAATAATAATAATAATAAT